AATGTCTAAGTGGGCTGTTTTCTTTATTCTTTTCTGTCTGTTCTGGTATTTAGAATAGTTGATCAATGCAATTTTTTCTGACGCTCCAATCAGATCTTCCACACAATTGAAATTTTAATAATAATTTGCTTTATTCCAATACAGTACTTGTGATACAGAATGGAATTCTCAGCATTTCACTACAGTATTGCATTCAGTTAGTACATGAACTATAACTAAAATTCTACATAGATTATGGGTAGTTAGTCCCAGTTAATTTTGACAGCAACATATTAGCTAACGGTCGGTAGCAAAGCCAAAATTGAACAGAATGTTTGAAGGTGTTGGAATAGTAGATGGTAGCATATTTACTAGCGTAAGCGGTAACAAAAATGATCGAGATATACAGAGTGTGAAAGAACGCAGAAGAATGTTTCAATTAGAGTTTGTAAGGAGGAGAGAAACAAAACAGCACATAACAGAGAAAAGAAAAAGAAAAAAGGAAAAGAAAGAAAGAAAACGTTGTATCTATAAGGGATATGAGTTTAAAAGACCAGATCCAATTGTTCTACTGACTATTTAACAAGTCATAGGTGTCACACCTAATGCTTTCTTTATCACACAGAACACTAGCCAAGTAGGGTACGGTTGAGTTGCTTTTGTACTTGATAGTGTGAGCATATAGTTTTCTATATAGGCTTCTGGTGTGCCTGCCTGATGACATACAAGGGGAGCGTTGTGAATGAAGAGGGTGGTGTTGTAAGTTAGATAGATAGATGGAATGGATTTAGCCCATTTTTCACATGAGTCCAAGTGCCTGTCGACCAGAATATTAACAAGCTGGTTGGTGAAGTGGCACATTGCTTACCACCCTCCTGACAACCTTTAACATTCTACGTATTAAGATATAGTCCTTCTTCAGTAGCCAGCCCTAGAAAAACTAAGGAGGAACAATAGAGACTAATAGGCAGGAAGGATGCAAGAGTTAACGAATCGTAGGAGTAAGGGTTGGGTTGGGTTTGATTATTCCAGAATGTCTTAACTTCTTGATGTAGAAGGTAGGACGGAATATTTTCTTAGAAATCATCATCAAGATATGAGACGACCAGGAAGGGAAGATCAGCAGATAGAATGACGTCTAGGTATTTAATTTCTGACTTGGTTTTTCTCTATTTCAGTGTCATCTATGGTGCACACCTCGTGAGTGCTAACCAGTTTGTTTGAGTACAGAATAGCAATTTTTACATGATACATACATACGGCTTTTATAGTAAATGATTATTTCCCATGCGAAAATTCTTACGAAAATGTAGCCTGATGCTTAAAAAAATTATTATTATTCCCTACAGTTGACAAGCAGCTGTTGAATGAGTCTGATATGTACAAACAAAGATGAGAGAGTGTTATCATTTTTGAAATGAGATTTCAACAGGAAGAAGGACTGAATGATAATTAAGCTTAGATTTTACATTTACTTAGTTACTAGTCATGCATTAATCAAATTGTCACAAAACGGATCATCATTAAACAAAGCTTGGAATGGCAGTCAGCTCCCTACCTCACTCAAATTCATCGACTTTGAAACGGCCTTCGATAGTGCAGTATGGATCGAGAGGTGTTTTGGAAACTACTTCGCTACTACTGGGTGCCGCCGACAATTATACACCTCAGCCATCCAACAGTTAAACGACAATGCTGCATACCAAGTAATCCACAACGGGAAACTCACGGAATCCTTCGAAGTGAAGACGGGAATATGACAAGGCTGGTTGGCTGCTTGCTATCTCCAATGATTTCCCTGATTTCGGTAGACTGGATAATGCGACAGAGAGTGGTGGGCAGCGAGGAAACAGACATAAAATGGACTCACACAAAAAAACTTGCAGGATATGTGTCTGGACTTTGCCGGTGATATGTGTCTGACTTCCCACAAACTGGAAGATATGCAAGTGAAAAGCAACGAGTTGGTAGAAGAAGCATTCAGAAAAGATAGGACTTTAGGGGAACATCGAGAAAACAGAGGTGATGATGAAGATTCCAGGCTAACAGCAACAACAACAGACAACAGTCAACCAGGAGAATTTTCTGGATTACTTACCATGATATATTTTGATGATTGGTACTTTCAAGGGATGCAATATTTTCTTCTAGGTTGATGTTTCTGCCGTCCGTAGGACATGCTGTGAACAATGCAGGTAGCAATCCCAACCATCTGTAAACCTACTTTTGCTTTCGCTTACAAAAAATTAATTTGTGACTCTTTTGTCCTCAGTGATATTATATTATTATTACTCCCTTGCAGTGCGTCGATGGCACAACGATTCGGACGCTCGCCGACCATGCACATGGTCCGGTGTTCGATCTCCGGCCACCGACGCACTTCTTTACCTCACTAAGTCAGAATTAATGCTGGAAAGGTTGGGCATGAGGCTAGCAACCCTATTCTGTAAAAAAAACACTTCTACAGAAACTTCAAGCCACTAGCTTGAAGGTGCCCTATGCTCCACTGGGGAACGTCAAGGAAAGAAAAAAATTATTATTCCCTTGGGTTCCGAGTGTAATATAGAGCTTCAACAATACATCTGCACTTTGTTATATTCTCCGCTGGCCCCTTCAGGTGGCCCCATGATCACCCGTAATCTCTGATCTCCTCCTCCGACTCACATAATCGCCCGCCATGTCACCCTCACAGAGACGAACCACTCGTCACCTCGCATTTGGATTCCACTAGAGTGATGGTCTGCACTGAGCGCGATGTCATTCAACGGCCTCGTCAACGTATGCCAAATCAATCAATCTCCATTTTCCCCTATATATTTTTATTGAGCGATCAGCTCTTGGTTGCTTAGTTCCCGAACATATTTTCTTGTTGTTAATTCTTTCTGGCTGGCCATCTAAAATCTTCAAAAAGCAGCTGCCTACGGCAGCTGTTGATAAGATGGCCAAGTTAAACTTTAAGCACCACTTACTACCAATCAGCGAACGACGTCGAATTATCCAATGAGATTCACGAACGTTAGTTTAATGTTGTATAGCGCTTGATTTATATCAAATGCGTACCCTAACAAGGGTACGGTTGCAATTCGAGGAGGAAAGTGTTTTCCAGTATTGCATGGATTTAGGGTTGCTTCGGAAGGAGAGAACTTGTTTGTGTGGTAGTGTCATGACTTTAAAAAGCCATAGCAGGTCAACTAATGTATTTGTTCATCGTTGTACAATACGCTTGAAACGAGTTAGCATTAGAGAGGGTAAGATGGTAATTTTAATATTTCGTAGGAACCTTTTTCGCAAGGTCATACCTCTCCTTGACTCAAATTTTGTATATTTGGAACTAGTGCGTCCTGAAGTAGCCAGTGAGAGCCGCAGCTGCTGAGACGGAGAATAGCCTCTTCTTAACAGTTCAGTTGTATCAGCATTGCAGAGATATTGCTTCTTGGAAAATGGAGAAAATCAATTCTTTGTTGGGTGGAGAAGACGTTGTTATGGACGTCGATGAAACTATGTTGGTGAAGAAGAACTACATTCGTGGTCGGTAGCGAGTGAACAATATTTGGGTAATAGGTTTGTATGACACCTCCCTCCGAAAGGGATTCGTCGAAAGGATAGCAAGCAGAAAAGCAACCACTTTAATACCTATTGTTACCAGACTTGTAAAACGGGATCAATAATACACACAGACGAATGGAAAGCTTACAATTCTCTGTCATCCCTGGAATATATTCACCATAGAGTCAACCATTTAAGTGATTTTGTCGATCCACATACAAATTCTATTGAAGGATTTTTGGGCCGGTTGAAAAATAGGATAAGGGCTATAAATCGATCTCAAAAGGATCTCATTTATAGTCATTAAGATGAATATATGTACAGAATGTGGTGTGACTTTTCTATTGACAGTCCGATGCTTGACTGGGAGATGTTTCTCTCACATGTTAAAGAAAGATACTCCCTGTAACAGTTTTATGCTTTTTTCCATTTATAATAAATACCTCTTTCATGTGATTGGTCCGTTCAAGGTCGTTTGCTGATTGGTTGTTAGTGGTGTCAAAAGTTTAACTTTGCCGATAAGAGTCTACAGTGACCTTTTTGAAATGTTTCTTCGTGAAGCACTGGCCAAGTTTCTGACACATACAGAAGCACTGACCGAAACCACATGTGTGTTGAAAATCCGAATCTTGTTCTTTATGCTGTAGTGGAGTGCAGTAGATTTCCATACTGATTTCAGAGTGATGAAGGAGTAGCATGCCTTTTCGATTCTGGCTGGGTGTCTCTGACATCTGCAACCGTTGCGACTACCAGTGCTTGAAACTGCGCTTACCAGATAAGTGAAGGAAGTAACCTCTGAAAAATCACTCCCATTGGTGGTGGTTGGATATCTGCATCACCTCCACCTCCAACTTCCCTACGTTCATCTTGAGTCCTATCTTCGCCGTCAGCCAGCTTCTTCAGTCAATTTTTTGGTTTTCACCTGCAAGTCTTCGAGTATGTGTGACATCGAACATTAATCATCCACAAGCGAAATCCGGATCTTCCAGAGTTTTCTTATCGGTCAATTTAGCGTATTCCTGTCGTCTCACTCAACCACACCCAGTGGAAAGTCTGACGCATAATCCAGTCCACCACAATTAAAAATATCATCGTTGGTGCCAACAGGCAGCCAGCCAGTCAGCTTTTCTTACTCCTGTATTCACTTTGAACGCCTCTCTGAGTTTTTCGTTGTGGATCACCTGGCTGACACGTGACATTGTCACATACGCCTGTCACCTGTTGAATATGGTTGATAAGAACTTGTGGCACGCCGTAGTGTTAACAGTAGGTGTTAGCAACTGTAACTTTCAATGGGGAACAAGATGCTCAAAAAACACACACACAACACATCTGCATTACAGTGGAAAAGAAATATAAGAGGTGTGAGCGTGTGTGTGTTCTCATGAAGACAAGAAGAGAATAGAAATAGGCTTAAATTAAATGATACTGTTAATCAAAACATCTCTATTGAAAATTAATCCTACAGATCCTACCTGGTCAATGTGATCTGAAATACTGAATATTCAGCTATGAATGAGGCTAACCGAGTTAGCGAGCGTTTTCCAGAGCCACCAACACCAACAAGCAATGCATTACCTCTAGGTGAGCGTATAATTCTTGAAATTTTCACTAAATGTGTAGTTGCATCTTTGAATAACACTAAATCCATATTAGCTCCACGAACAACTTCATTCATCGTTCGCATGAAAAAGCCAAGTCTATCACGTAATGCTTCAATACTGGGTATCTAAAAGAAGGTGTGAAAGCTAAAGTTATATTCGCTTAAGATGCCTACAAATGCAAATCTGTAATTAATTTTATGTAAACCAACACACTGTGACCAGTTAATAAATAACTTAAAGATGAAAAATGTGAAACAATTCTATCTTCCTGAATTATATTTTTTTACTAGATTGTCCTAAGCCTGGGAAAGAGGGTAAACATTAAGCGATTGAGCCTCGTCGATACTGAAATTTTCAAGCAATGAAAAAAACAAGCTTATCCTCCTTTAGAATTAGAATGTCTCTTCTCATCTTGGATGGATGACAGATGACACCAGAGAAAGAAAGCCTGAAGCAGACTTGCCAATTGATATGCCTTCTTTCGATGAAAGTAAAGATAAGAGTAGTAGAGATATGAATAAAGATGACAAGAGTGCTTAAATTGCAGAAGAAATGCGATAAAATATTGACATCGAATGTTGTCACTATATGCTCATAGAAGTTGTTAGCTCAGTTACAAAAGAGTATACCTGAAGAAATAATTAATCCATAAAGCAATTTATCTCTGTGAAGGGATGATATATTCTGTCTGTCTTAAGGTAAAATAAATTTACTAATTTTTTAGTAAATCACCGCACACTAATAAAAACTGACTATTTAACATTCAAGTGTTGGTTTGTAGGGATTTGACTGCTTACAGGATTTCATCATGAGCTGAGATTGGTTAGAGATCCATTGGAAGACAAGCCGGGAGTACTGTACAGCTGTTTCGTCCTAGTTTGGGATCGACTATTCAGCAGTACGCACCCACACCATCGGGGTTCGAACCCACGACCTTCTGGTTACAAGGTGAGCTAGCTCGTAGACCAATAAGCCTCCGAGACCCGATCCAATGGCCTATGAATTCTAACTTCTGCCAATTCACAACATAGCACAACCACTAGACAATATCTTCGGCGAGTATTTGTCCCCACACCCGACCTGCTGCACTATACTGTTCATGATTTCGCACTAGAACCCCAGGTAACTATCTATCTCAAAAGGGCTCTAATCTACTCTTCAACACTTTCCCTTATATGACTTTGCTTTTAAATCTTAACGATATATACAAGACGAAAACAAAACACACGTAGTTCAGCTAAGAGACTCTTTTCGACTCTGCATTTTCAAAAGCAGCGGGGTTGATTTTTTGTGGGGTGCAGTTACTAGCTTCACGCTTAGTCTTTCCCCTTTCTAACAGGCGTGCCACCGGCTAATCAAGGTTTCGGAGTGCGTCAGCCGGAAATCTAATCCCACTCCTCGTTCGTGTTTGGCGGGCATCCTACCAGTTGAACCACAGACGCACTAATTACTCTTGAATATATTCTTTGAGTTAGACAGAAGATCTCAAGGCATTATTTTGTGCAACTTATCTATAATTAGCTTATAAGTAGACTGAGTGAAATAATCACTTTTGAGATAGTTTACATCCGAGGACAAATCTGGCAGATATGAGACTCAACAAGCAGATATGTTGTCAGTAATAGCCAGAAGTGTGTATGTGTGTTGGACACGGAGCCTATGACCCAGCTATGACAAAATCAACTGAACTTGATTTTGATCGATACTGTTTAATGGATCAGAAATTTAACTTCGCCACTTGATAATGAAGACATATAGTTCATTTCTCAAGAGCCCAAGTTACTGTAGTGCTGAATTCCCTGCATTTTTGAAACCATTGCATTTTCCATCTCTAAAGTATTGTTCTTCTTGAGTCACTTCACGATACCGTTATGACATACCAATTATATTTTTTATTCATCCGTAGTTTCACTCTTAAATAGTGAACTGCTAAAATACTTGAGCGATGGATAATATAGCCTGTTATGTCGTACTCGTTTTCATGAACCTCCCCCCACCTCCGCCCAGTTAGAAGCTTCGAAGAGAGTGTCTGCACATTTTCACATCCTACTCCATATAACTGATATGTCGTTAATACAAAATCCAAATGATATTTTTTAGACTGTGATTTATGGCTAACACTTATAAGCTCTGTTTTTGTTCTCCAGTACAGCATTCATTTGATTCTTCATAAACTCTAACAGCTGACATGAACAGATAGATGCATCTATGCAAAGGTTCATTTGAATTCCATATTGGTTTGTTTATTAGATGTATCACACAGTCAGTGAGTGAAACAGTATTAGTATTTACTGGGTGACAAAGTTTCGAACACAATTCATTATTGCTGTTCATAATCATTTCATCAATTATAATCACACGACTTCGAAACTTCAGTTTTATAGATTTCTTTGTCCTCTCCTACTTCTCGTCATTGGGGAAGTAGAATTTTCCAGATATCTGGGAGAGGTGTTGAATCAACCCTATCACACGTGTTGATTTGCAGTTGATTCGATAAACAAAGCTTCTGTTATCAATCTCTCCCTCCCTCCACCTTGTGACATTTGATTTTAAAACTGTCATCCTATCCAATCCACCTTATTGTAGGGTCGTGTGTACTTGCATGTCGTGTAGTGCTATCTACGGCTGAACTATTCTCTAGGTTTCTTATCTTATTCGGTCGGGTCAACCAATCTAGATTTTGCTGCAAGGTTTTTATGCTCGGCTAGTCTGACTCACTGACCCTGTTCTACTAGTTTGACTTATGTATTTGACCTGACAATCATTCCAACAGGCAGGGTATTAAATAAACTAAAGTGTTTTGTTTTAAAGGCTCCAAAGGATTGATCCTTTAACAGACAAAGCTTGTTTCTAATTGAGTTTGTGGGGAAGGGTTGAATGTCAGTCACTTTTGTTCCTGCCTGCCTTGTTAACAATTCTCCAGCGTAAGGTGGCTTCCAAGGTTCCTTCCTTGTATGGAAGTACTACTGATGATTTAGATTCCTGATTGTTGGTGTTGTCTGGCGCATATTTTAGGTGAATGTTGTCATTAATGCTGCAAATACATGTAATAGGAATGATTCAACTCCTGTCCACGTCGACATCTGGAAAATTCTACTATCCCAACGAACGACGACAAATAGGAGAGGACAAAGTAAGCTATAAAACTCAGGTTTAAAAGTTGTGTGATTACAGTTGATATGATTATGAACAGCAATAATGAATTGTTTTCGGAACTGTGTCATCCAGTAAATACTAATACTGTTTCACTCACTGACTGCGTGATACATCTAATAAACAAACTAATATGTAATTACTTACTAACACAGTGCCTAAGTTTTACACATATTTTAATAACACTGTGAGACTTTTTACCGCTGCATTTCTAAGGCACTGTGTTAGTATCTCGCTGATGTTTCCCCCAAGGAACTGCATTTGTAGGAATAATAAGTTAGTTCAGACATTATCCTTACCCGCCTCGCCATCCATTTAGGTTCGAATGATCCTGAATGTTTGTGTAATTTTCCTAATTTTAGTTGATATTCTATTTGCCACTATATCTTTATTATTATTATTATTGAAGCATGTTTAATGAACTGTGGTGATTCCACTGTGATCTTACTTTACAAATCGATATTATTTAAAAAGCACACTAATATTGTTATTGACTACTACTAATCTAGAATATTGTGTGTATATAAACATGCATATATATAGAGAGAATTGTAGTGCGAGAAGAGGAGGAGGAATTTTTCGAAAAGGGGATATTCTTTGCTGGCTGGCTGGCTCAATGATATTTTGTGTTTTCATGAATGAGAAAAACTAAATTAACTTACTTCATACAGGTCAACAAGATGTTGCAAGATATCACAATTAAAGGTGTTGATAACTCTAAAAAAAATCAATTAAACCTACTGGTTCATAAATTTTCGGTGCACTGATGTCCATATCTTCAGGTTCATCACCGGTGAGTTCTGGTGCATCGCTTAAATGAAGTCAGAAAAAAAATTAATCAACATGCAGTTCATTTAGCTTATGTTTTGCATTAAAGAAAGGCAATTACAAGACAATATTAGACTTGTGGATCTGTGCATAAAGGAAGTTTTCCGAATATGTATACTTGTGAAAGTATCTATCTATCTGGTTTCATTCCTGTTATTCAATGTTCGATAATGCCTACTAGGAAGGATGTTAACGTATAACTAACTAATGCACATATACATGTGTAGAACTTTAAAGAATTTCATTTCAAGCCCAACGTCAACAAACACTACTTGTTTCATATTAATATAAGCATTCGCAGTGAGTACTACAACCAGTAATTTACGTGATCAGGTGAAATCTGCTCGATTAATTGAATGAATTAGGTTTGTGCTCCAATTTCAGTGTTAATAGTGATAGAAAAACACAAACCTTTAATGTAAGTTTAAAAAAAATAAACTTATGCGCGAAAATCTCTCCCATATTACTGAATAACGTGGGACACACACTTCTTTGAATGTAGGATCCACCCTGAAAGATAATTAGTGTAGACATTAAAAAAAAGGAAATATCTAATTAGTCCTAGGTGTTTTTTTGATTCTATGCGTGCTGACGAGACTATCTGGCTTCAGGTTTTCGAAGACCCAGTAGTAGTGGTGTTGTTTCTAGTGGGTGGATTGTCAGCCTTACAGCCAATATTATCTCTTTTCCAGGCTCACTACTGGTAAGTGAACCAGGCGAGGTTTAGAAATCAAACCTGGGCCACGTGGGTGGTTGGTGAGCATATAACCATCGAACCACAGACGTGTGTTATTTATTTGTTATATTCTCCACTGTCCTTTTCCCTGGGTCCACGATTGTCCATAATCTCTCATCTCCTCCTCCGATTCACACGGTCTCCTCCATGTCACCATCATGCAGACAACACACTTGTCGCTTCCCATTCGGAGATTCCACTCGCCATTTGATCTTCATTGTCGAACCAGCGAAGGCAACTGTTGATAAAAGCATATAACTTGTTGGAAATCCTTTAGGTGACACGACGGCCAAGTTTCTGACTATTGGTGTTGAGAGTCCGAATCTTGCTCCTTATGCTGTGGATTGCAGAAGCCTTCCAAATTGGTTTCGAATTGATGAAAGCGTATCTTGCCTTTCCGGCTCTGGCTGGCTGGCTGTCTTTGAAATTTTCGTGAGTTCCGCCGGCCTGGGGTTGAATCGATGCTCCGTAAATAAATCAATGGAGTGACCTCTTTCAAATTTCTTCCGTTTATGGTGATTGGTGTTGGTTGGTTAGCTATCTTCATCACCTTCGTCTTCCCTATGTTCACCTGGAGTTCTGTCTTCGGTGACAGCCAGTCAACCTCTCCAGCCAACTCGCCGGTTTTCACCTGCAAGTCACTTTGAACGCCTCTCTGAATTTTCCGTCGTGGATCACCTGACACGTGTCATTGTTAGGTGGACTCTATAATATCTAAAAAAGCGCTGTGATTAATCATAACATAAATAATCCACATAACCGTAGTAATAAAAAAGGAAGAGGGAAAACATTTAGCTACAGTCACACCAAAAAGTTCTCCCCAGAAAGGATCAACAACAACAAAAAAACAAAGTTACCGCATGAAATCCACAAAATAAGCTTCTTCAGCCAAAGATGCCAGTTGTCTTTCCGGCAAAGAGTCTGCGGATAAAATTCCAACATATTTTTCAAACCAAGCGGTGTCCTCACTAGTGGTGAATCGGTCTGCCAAGACTCGCAACATTTCGTGTTTCCATAGCGAAATGATCCTTTCTTCATTATTGAAAACCTGTTGAAAATTTTGCAGAGATCTTCATTAAACATCAGGGTTAGGGGCAGACGTAAATATTTACAGTCTCTTTAGTAGCTATCCACATGTACAGAGTTTTTATTATATTCGGTACGAAATAGAAAACAACCATTTGAGATTACTTCCAAAGCTTCCTATGTACACTGCATTATGTCATATTTTAGCTTTCACTGCTGACATTCAATTGTCTTCCATGTGTACGCAAATGCTGATAAAACCACCGACACCCAGTGATCCTAATTACAAATTACTACCGATAACACCTACGAAAATGAGTTTTCCATCGACTTCAGTGCTTAGACATTTGTGGAGTCTATAAATTTAAACACTGAAAACTTCAAAAGACTTCTAAATCGTCCGCCACCTACAACGCGCCCAACAATACCAACAACGGAAGCAGAACTACCAGTGAATATCGATCCCCCGACGAAATCAGAAGTCCTGAATGCAATCAAGATGCTAAAAGCTGGAAAAGCAACAGGACCAGATGGAATCCCAGCAGAATCATTGAAAATGGCCCCAGAGACAACAGCGGACTTGACGACACCACTACTGGAGAAGGTGTGGAAAGAGGGCAAAGTACCCAAGGATTGGAAGAAAGGATACTTATTCAAACTACCTAAGACAGGGTACTTAAGCCAATGCAGAAACTTGTGCGGAATTATGCTCCTGTCCATCCCAAGCAAAATACTAAGCCCCATCATCCTGGAGAGAATCAAGCAAGCCCTGGATGAAAATCTTCGACCTGAACAGGCTGGATTCAGGAGAAACAAGTCATGCATCGATCAAATCGCCACACTACGGATCATCATTGAACAGAGCTTGGAATGACAGTCAGTCACCTCTCTATCTCAACTTCATCGACTTTGGAAAAGCCTTCGACAGCGTCGATCGAGAGGTGATTTGGAAACTTCTTCGCTACTACTGTGGGGTCCCATCGACAATTACACATCTCTTCCAACAGTTATACGACAATGCTGCATGTCAAGTAATTCACAACGCGGAACTTACGGAAGCCTTCGAAGTGAGGACGGCAGTGAGGTAAGGCTGTCTACTTTGGCCCTATGTTCCTCTAGGGATTAAAGGATATAATAAAAATAAATTTAAAGATGCCGCCTTTCTTAACTAACTTAGCAAACTACAGGCATCAAATGTCAAAATTCACTTTATTATCGATTGATTCCATTATAGAGAGAAGATCAGTAGTTCAGCAAAGAGTCTCTTCACGGAGGCGAATTCATTTTCACAGCTGTACAATCGCAAATATATATGGTTATTTTGTGTGTGGGTGTGTGTGCACAGTGGCTTTGTCAAACGAAAATACAATTAGTAAGTATTGTGGTGGAGTTACGTAATGCAAAAAAGAAACGTTCAGAGGAACTGAATGTTGACATAGGAGTGTAGTAAAAAAAGTGATGAGTTATCACAGACGATTGTTAAAGAAGAGTTACGTAATAACACAAATAGTTTGATAAAGATTTGTCCCCAGTGTGTACATGGAAACAAAATGAAATACGGAATTACGTAAGAGTTTTAAGCAGTTAGAAAAAACAAGCAAACAAGCAAAAGTTGAGTCAAATCAACAGATTTGTTACCATGATAGTAGAAGTGGCAGAATAATTTTCTTTTATATGCATAGTTCTGGTTCTTCTACCTGAATGTCCAGGGCTTCTGTAATGCAAAGAAGATGGAAACGTTTTGTCCTTGGTACGTTGTTCTTCACTTTGTAGGCAGATAACTTTAAAGCAGGAGGCGTTTTTTGAGATGAAATGGCAAGTAGTGGTGACGAGATGTTCGATTATTTCACTCCTTATATACGGTCACTACTTCCTTTCTGCAGCCAAGTTGGATAGTGTCCTGTGATGCCTTTTGACAGGATGCACGTCGAACGACTGACGTTCCAGGCTGGCTGCACAGCAGCAGGTGAATACTATTTTAAACCTACCTCTGGATTGAGTAAGTCAGGAGTATACGACTGAGAGTAACTAAACTTCTTTCTTTAGCCTTTCAAATAATCGAGGATTGCTGATATTTAGAAAAACAGTTTTTTCTCACACTAGATTTTATCGAAGTAGCTCTGTTAACTAAGTGTTTGACTCTTTCGCTTATGCGTGCTGACCTGGCTGACAAGCATTAAATTGGTAGTATTAACCTCGTGTCTTCCTGTTTCTACTGTCAGTAGCATAAAACTACGACTGTTTGGTTGATATAAGTAGTTGCATACCCCGCCACTCATATCAACCAGTTGTGCTTGCCAGTTGGCCAGATCGATCGAGGTGATCTAAACGCTGAATGGATCGTTTCGCCTGTTTTGAATCGCGATCATCAGGTGGTGACTTGACTTGGCCTGACTCAGCTCAAATCACATATCACATATCTGTCTCGATAGTTGGACGAGTTGGTGATACCCTAAGTCAAATGTACAATTTTCAAACTGATTAGAAATTTGCGATGTACACCACTTACGATATCAAGCAGATCAGTGTGACTGGGATTTTGATTTTCAGAACACCTATCACTTGTTGATCAGCATACTTATACTTCTAACCGGAAGAAGTGTAAGATCCTACTAGGCGCTGATTGAAAAGTGGTAGTAGTAGAACTTTATCTACAACTTATATCTTACAAGTTGATCACGGATTGATATCGGTTAGAGAACCATTGGAAATCAGCCACAGGGAGTACTGCCAGACAGCTGTTTCATCAGACTAGTTTGGAAATCATCGGCTGTACGCATCCACCACAGGCAGTTCGAACCCAGAACCTTCCAGTTACTAGGTTAGCTAGCTCGTATACCATTCAGCCACTGGGATCCGACTCAATGGTTCATGAATTCTAACTTCTACCAATTTGTGATTTAGCGCAACCCCAACCAATGTCATCGGCGGGAAATCACTCCCGACTGAATGGACTCCAGTGGTGACGAATTCTCACTGGAACTCCAGGAAACTCCATCCTGTAGCAAGTCACTAGCGACCATCAGATTAATTTTCGAGAGTTGGTTTGTGAGGGTCAGATGTGTTTCTACGAGTTGATCATGGATTGATATCACTTAGAGAACCCTTGAAAACCGACAGCGAATACTGGACAGCTGTTTCATCCTAGTTCGGGAATCATCATCAGTACGCACCCAGAACAGAGGGTTCAAACCCAGTACATTCCGGTTACAAGGCAAGCTGGCTTGTAAACCATTCAGCCACTGGGACCCGATTCAATGGCTCATGAATTCTAAGCTTGGAAGGTTCTGGGTTCGAACTGTCTGTGGTGGGTGCGTACAGCCGATGATTTCCAAAGTAGCCTGAAACAGCTGTCTGGCGGTACTCCCTGTCGCGGGTTTTCAATGGTTCTCTAACTGATATCAATCCGTGATCAACTTATATTTCTAACCAGAAGAAGTATAAGATCCTACTATGCGCTAATTCAAAAGCCGTAGTAGAATTCAAGAGGCATTGCATTCAAACAAGGCAATAATTAGCATTCCAGGAATAATTAGTTTGTTAGATGAAAATAAGCACAAATAATTTTCCACAAGAAATACAATTAAAACTACATGCAAAACAGCGATTCCGTTAAGAAAATGAAAAATGATACTTCGACTCATTTCCCCAGGAAACCAAACAGAATTTATTCGGTCATTAATACAAACAAAACTTTAAAAGTTGGACACACAATAATTCAACATTTTAAGTTCAAAAAAGAAGGAAAAATTAGTCCACAGTTGTAATAGTAGTCAACAAAAAGTCCTTCAGGTTTAAGAGTGCGGGCAGGCGGGCTGCCGGGTAATTTTTGCATTTTTGGTGTAAACATGGACAGCACATGAATCAGTGACAAAATCAACTGAAGGTATATGTATAAAATGATTGTATGCCACAAAACTGGGTTTCTGTTGATAAACCTATCCGGACGGATGGTTGTCAGCGAATGCTAATCAATAATAATTTACGGTATATGTAATAAAAAGTGCTCACAGCTCTGAGAATGAAAACTTCGCCTTCAACGAGATACACGTGTGATATTTCTTTTTCAATAGATCTTTATATTTTGGAAACTCATTAAAAATTAATGTTGATAGTTATTCTTACTGCAAAGGAACCATTAAGTGATTAGGTCTGGCGACTTTAACAGATATCTTTTAGTGAGTTCCTACCGGATATGTAAAATTTACTACGAATAATCCACGCTCAGTAAATATCAAGCAACTGGTGTTCACCGTCAGTTTAAAATAACAGGCCCAAGTATTTTTGCAAAAAATATAGTTGTTTTTCAAACCAAGTGTCAAACGTATTGTTAGAAGCTCTGTAGTTCACCGTGAAGTAGTATGTTAGAAGTAACTATATTGACATGATACCTGATGCTTCGAATAGTGTTTTTATGTGACTAGATTAATACCCTTTCTGTTCGTGACGGCTATTCTGAGTTGATATACGAAGTCTAGCCTAAAGCGAAGTGGATTTCGCAAATACATTTCACTCTGTCGAAGATTACTAGTAACTCAACGATTAGAACGTGACATACGAATTTAAATCCCAAGTGATTATAATTCTAACAGGAGCCAATCAGTTCAATTCAAGTGAATGTACAATTGAAAGTCTTACTTCCCACTGCCGTATAAAGCGGAAAAAAAGCGAAATTGGATCTACTAGTGTATGTATTATCAGTGATACCCGACTATCAATCAAAGAACGCGTGTGTGTGTATGTGTGCTGCGCACTACTTCTCTCTGTCCTCCTTTATGTCTGTGAAATATGGCAATTAAAATTAGAAGATATGCAAAAGTTGCCTGTCTTTAATCGTAATCGTCTGCCTCCTGGTGAGTAATATTGAGGTTATGCGCAGACTGTGTATCGATGAATTTGTGAAGCTACATAGAATGAGATGGCTAGAGCATTTGTCACCACTGCCATCTTCGTGAAGCAGTGTTAGTTGACATAGGATTAAGTTGGGAGAGAGTTGAAGTTGATTAAATTTAGACTTGGCATCAGTTAGTTCGGGTCACATAGGGAGGTGTACGCTGCCTAGTTACAGTCCTCAGGATGATAAGAACTAATAGCTGCAGACTATCGATGATATGGATTAAAATCCTTCTCAGTGGAACAGATGCATTTACTTTTTTCGTTTTGATCTGTCATATCCGTTTCACCCTATTGTTTCTCCATGTTCCTATTCTTCCTTCCTTACTAGCTCACATTTCTACTTACTATAGTACTTCCGAACCCCTCTGTTTTTCTGTCTCCTGTCTGTCTTTGTGTACCACATGGAATTGAACTGTTGCACTACTATTCAAACTCATTAATCCGTCAGGACATGTGTTACGTATGCCAAGCCATCGCCTCCCTCGACGAGCAATGTTAGCGGATGTAGGGTCAGGCTGGAAAAAAGCTAGCGGCGGTCAAACAAAAACTTGGCACCAGTCAATGAAATCCACAACAGTTGGTCTAAGCCACGTAGGAAGGTGTAGACTTCCAGGCTGGGGTCCTCGGGACGGTAAAAATCTATGGTTGGAAACAATTGGTGACATGGTTCAAAATCGTTCTCAGTGGCGCAGATACATCCACTCCTTGTGACTTATGATTTCCAATGAAACTGTTTTGTTCTTCGTTATTACTCTTCCTTTGTCTCACACCTCTGCTCACTGTTTCTATTATGCTTTTCTTGTACTTTCTTCTCTTGCTTCGCGTGCTACACGGAGTGTGGCGACTTGAACTTCCGCACATTTGTGCAAAGTTCTATGTCGAAAACAGACAGACAGACATTAATCCGTCAGTCAGCCAGTCAGTCAATCAGACAGTAATAGCTGATTTTATATATTTCCAAACAAAGTTCACATTTCGGATGATCTGATCACACACACACGCAAATGTCATGCGAACATAATGAAGAGTTAAGGGTTGAAAAAAATTAACTTAGGTCAAGATAAAGGGACGTATTGAACGTGAAAATAACAATCAAGATCACTAAACCAAATAACAGAGGTAATACTGTGGTGAGAGCAGGCTGCTAGCCGAATTAGTAGACAGTAATTTACGTCAATATTTTTGTCCCAAATATTGGTCGTGAGAAAGTATAAACAAAGACTGATTGAACAACCAACCACAGCAGACTTTGCGTAGTTAGGTACAGTTGACATATAGATGATCTGACATTCAAGAAACAGTCACAAAGAGATGCAAGGTTAACTTTCAGTGAGAAACAACCACCATTCAGAAGACTGTGTTTTTCTGCTAACAATAAGCTATAATAATGTACATGAAAATATATAAAAAGGTGTTGATTTCCTTAATAAACGATCTGTTTCCTGACCCTTGCCTTCAGTTGTTACAATAGTAGATTTATTTTTTTACTTTTGATTACAGCTTGATTCCACACTGTATTTTTGGTACAAGTATGGAATTTTCAGCATGGATATAGGTAGCCCAAATTTTGCTGGCCGACCACAGATATCAGGTGTGCGTCAGTGTCAGGGGATCGAACCTCGGACCATGTGCATGGTCGGCGAGAGTCCTAACCACTCTGCCACCGACGCACAGCAATTCTAAACCACCTTTACCTACCTTGGTAAACTTTGTTTTGATACTAGCCAGGGTAGATGTACTATTACCTCCCTTCTGCGGTTTAATGCTCTTCACTATATATATCTTCTGTAAGGACTTATTTCGCTGTCAGAAGCATTCGTTTATATATGTCCAAACTAAGTTCCCTTTTAACAGTTTGAAAAAACTTGGACGTCGGGTGGTATATGATATTCATTATAATAAAGGTTCTTTTATGTATTTCCAAATGAATAAAAAACAAAACGATATTGTTTTTACTGATGACATTTCGCTATTAAATGCTAATAGCTTTCTCAAAGTATTATTAAACCGGAATTTATAAAATCTCAGCATATATATAACAAAGAGTTAGGGGGTGAGAAAAAGATACATAGACTTAGTTCAACTTAAAAGGACATATTGAAAGTCAAAATAACAATGAAGATCACTAAACCAAAGGTAATAGTACATCTGCTATGGTTGATATCAAAATAAAGTTTACCAACTTGATCATCGTTCGTCTGTCTGGTGTCATTTTTCGTTGTCAAGTTGGTCAGTTGGTGGAATCAGACCACAAAATTGATTTTGACAATATTGAAATAATCCAGAAATCACAAAGAACGTCTCATATCATCAGAAGCACATCATATCAAGTGGAATCTACATTGTCTGAACTGAATAGGAATGATGGACTAAAACAGATTCTGACCTAGTTACAACACGGCCCCTCAATCTCCCCCATGAAGTTACAAAATCAACACGAATGTGATAAGCAATTTCATTATCTAAACACAGGCTGTTTTATAATTTTGCACACTGATCAAATCCAACAATCTACGTTTGGCTTTGTTATCTTTGGCCAATTTCACAACGAACGATGATCAAGTTAGTAAACTTTATTTTCGAACCTGCGAAAAATGACGTCACATCCCACTGTATTTACCAATTTGAATGTACGTGCGGACACACATACATAGGAAGGACTCATCAATCTCTGCAAGTAAGGGCTTCAGAGCATATTCCAAAATGGCTCCAGAAACAAATGGAATCATCATAACCTATTAACGGTGAGAACAGGAGACTTAGCTCCTCTATTGAGAAACATATTATAGAGACAGGTCATAAAATTGATGTTAACAGATCTTTTAAACCTATCTATAAAACGTGTTTGGGGCGTATCGTAAAGTTAGAAAGTTCAAGCCACTTTATACGTTCAAAAACAATTTGTCATCACATTAAACCTTCCTTGGTAAATTTTGTTTTGATACACCAGCCAGGCCAGATGTACCATTACCTCTGCTATTTGGTTTAGTGGTCTTCATTGTTATTTTGACCTTCAATATATCCTCGGTTTATAAGATTTGATAGTGTGAAATATTCCCATATTATGAATTAAAAGTCAATCTGAACGAAGAATATTCTTTTCAATAATTTCTCCTATTCAGGTTCTTACAATTATAAAATATAATATTTGTGGTCGTTACAATAAAGATAGCCAGGTATGCGGCGGATACATTTTTTAACGTAGAATAACAGATTAGTTATGGGGTGTCAAAATAAATAGTCATATTTGTGTGACAAACGTGCTAGGCTGAAATCGATTAGAAATATTGTAAAACGGGAGACAATAGTGGTGGTTAATCATAATGGAATTGTAGAGTGTGGGGTAGGAAAGTTGACAAATCAGGTCAAGGTTATAAAAGGTGTCAGGTGTGTGGCTAGTACAAAGTGGTCTGAGTTAAGCAGGATATAGTAAGACTGGAATGAGAGGATCATAGTGAGATAACGAATACATTAAATGAAACAGGTGGAGGCATATATTGAGAAAACAGATAATATCACTATATAGATATATATATATATATACTCCTATAACAAGTGTGTGTGTGTGTGTGTGATGGACCAGATTGTCCGAAATGTGTGTTGCGCAAATACAACATTACACACACGATTCAGACAAATTACGTTTTCTTATTGCTTTATCTAAATTCATAAAGGGAACTAATTGTTTTAAACTTTATTTTGACGTCATAACAGATGTACTATTACAGCGTCCAACAAATCAGATGTACTATTACCTTTGTTATTTGGTTTAGTCATTCATCTTCATTACTATTCTGACTTTCAATATGTCCTCCTTTTAACTTGACCTAAGTAGTCTATTTTCTCACCCACCTCTTTACTTTTTGTTATATATATGCTGAGTGGATTTTGTAAATTCTGGTTTAATATAGCTACTTTGATAAAGCTATTAGCAGCAGCATTAAATAGCGAAATGTCAGTAAAAGCAACAACATCGTTTTGTTCTTTTTCATTCATTCATTGGGAAATACAAAAAAACCCTCTTTATTATAATGAATAGCTGATATTGACAAATTCCCACTTACCTCACTTGTTGTATACAACATTCCTTGCCATATTCGACTCAAATCTCTTAAATTAAAGATATAATGAAATTTAGACGGTGTTGGTAGCAGTTTATTCTTTGTATGCTGCCAGATAGTTCGAGTTAACGGTACTAATTTGTCAATCAATTCTGTTATATTTGGTAGAAATCCACGTTCTTTACAAAAGTGTCCAACACCGATAACTCGAAATATTGTATCAATTGATTTATTACTCGGTAGTGTACAATTGAATGTACAAAACTGACGTTTCAATCTTTCCGGTATATCATTACGACCACCACCGGGATGATTCATGGCTGCAATAAACTAGAGAGAGAGAGAGAGAAAATAGTTTGGAAATAAATCATTTGAAGACATTTAATGTCTCTTTCGCACTTAATTTTGAATGGATTCATCCAGTGTGCTAACTTCTGATGAAAACACTTTCATGCCGTCACCGCCCTTAACATTATATGAATATTAAAACAATTAGTCCCTTTGAAAAAAATTGGAATAAGGCATTTAGAAGACAAATTTCGCCGCGAGATGATATCGTCATTTCGTAGTTTCCGCTTTACAACTAACACGGTTAACAATAATAAAATAAAGATCATGACAATTACTCACTTATATAAAATAACACAATAACCAATCATATTTAGATAGGTCAAGTAGTCAGTCAATGGTAGGCGAAAGTTGAAATCTATTGTTTTTTGACTGTATACACAGTTTAGACTGTATGTGATTAATCCCCGAAGAGTGCTTCCATCACTTTCAATAACCAAACTGGAATTAGAGTTATGTGATAAAATAATTGTGAAACAGTCATTAATATTGATTGATTTTGTGATCTGACATTCATTAATAAGTGTTTTGCAATGGATGATGCTGGATTTCTATTCAGATTAATGAATGCATTGGTGGGATTTTCTATATGAATTAGTAACCATTTTGGAACATGTTTTTTTTTGACGACATTGGAACATTCTATTGGTTCTACCTATATATGTGTGTGTCATCGCAACAACTGCAGGTGAACTTGTAGATACAGTTTGAAGTAGAGTCCACAGAATTTCGTCCTTTATTCGTAGGTACAGGGTTGTAAGGGATGCATCAAACGCACAATCTACGCCATATCTCTTTTTCTCATTTGCCGAACATTTTCGGCCCCTGAACCAATAGAATGTTTCAATGTCGCGGTCGAAAAGAACATGGACTGACTACTTGACCTATTTAAGTATGATTGGTCATTAGTATGTACTTTTGTTATTTATTTAACTGAGTAACTGTCATGAGCTTCATTTTATTTTATTATTGTGAACCATGTTAGTTGTAAAGCGGAAACTACGAAATGACGATATCATCTCGCGGCGAAATTTGTCTTCTAAATGCTTTCTTCAAATTATATGAATAGACTATTAAAAAAATTAGAATCACAGTAGAATAGCACTACTTCTGTATCTACAATCAATCAGCATCTGGTCTATTTAACTTTGATTAGATAATTCAAGAGAGCTATTAATAATAATATTATTATTAAACTCATCATCAGGCAATAATACTAATCAAGCGTTATGTTGATTTTAGTAGCTCACAACGAAGTTGTCAAATTACTTCTGACAGACGCAAATATTGTAAAGCTATCCGAGCCTTGTAACCAGAGGGTCCTGGGTTCTAACGGCATTCGGGTGGGTGCGTACTGATGAAGAGTCCCAAACTAGGACAAAGCAGCTCCCCAGTACTCCCAGATTTTTTTAATCAAAGTCAGTAAATATGTTATGGAGGATAGCCATACGAGAAAGTGTTGCCGAATGACCTTGGAAATATGCATATATGCACATATATATATATATATATATATATATATATATTTGTGCATATATGCATATATATATATATATATATATATATATATATAACAATGGTAAAGCTTTATTTAAGACAGTATGCGAATATACGGTACAAAAATTTTCATCATATTCAGTTCCAAAGTACTTTTTTCTTCACATAGGATTCACATGTAAAGTAATAATTTGGGAGCAAGTTAAATCATCGCGCAAGTTTATGTATAGGACATCTGATATAACTGGACGATTAAAACAATGATAAATCCAGATGAGACTAAGCATTCTGGAGGAAAGTAATTTCGGTAGCCCAATGATTTAAGCAGGCCGCTTTATATATACATATATATATATATAATGAAAGATAAAAACTAGCTCATGAAATGTCGACTCAATACTACTATTATGGAGTGTGCTACTGACTAGATTTACAAGTAGTAAATATATATATATGCAGACATAAATATGTGTATCATCTGCAGGAATTTCGAACAGCGCAGAAATGAATGCTTTATGAACAACTCTTATGAAACGAGATGGAAAGCGTGCCAGGAAGACAGAGTAGCACAACAGTGAAGATACGTGCAAATTGTGATTCAAATGTATGGTAGAAGTATTTTGCCTATATCTGTGTGTCCAGTCAGCTATGAATAATTCAGTCATCTAATGCTTTTGTCTTCTGCCCTTACATTTGATTTCGCTGTCACCAGACAATGAAGATCCTAAGGCCTGATGATTTCAAAGAGGCAGGCATAGGAAGCTTCTTGCTTAGGCTGAGTTGATTGGCATCCAGGATCTGGCGGCAAAGACAGTTTTGCTTGGGGACTCTGTGGACAGGTCGGGAGAAGGCGTCGTATTACACGGTGTGGGACGGTTAGCCGGGCAAGTGACCTTGGACATAATAGTGGAATGACTGGTGGCAGAGTTCGACAACCCGACGGACAGACAACAACCACTCTCATGCCATGAACCTGGGATTGGATGGAGACCACCTGGAATTGACAGTGAAGCTGGCTCGTCTACTTCGCCGCTCACTCCCCACACTCGTTGAAGAGTCTGAGACACATTTGTTGGCCTCACAATTTTTCGAAAGTACTCTGGAACACATTGCTCAGGAATTACAACCTATGCACACAGATGAGTTCGCTAAGGTAGCAAGACAAATAGTGAGTATAGTGGTAGCCACAGTACAGCGACCTAAATCTAACAGCTGGGTGAAGAGAATAAAAATTTGCAGCATGAGATGGTGGCACTACGAACCAGTGTCACAAAAGACCAGTTTTTTGAATGTGATAGAAACCAGGACATTGGAGGGATATACTGCTCAAAAAAGGAGGAAAAGGAAACATTTTATACAGTATAATGTGTGTACTTTTTCTCCTATAAGACTGGAAGTAGTGGTGGGAGCTATCGAGAGGAGGGCAATTTATTTTATCACTAATGAATCTAATACACAGTGAGAACAAGAGTAATTTACTTTCTGTTTTAAGTATATATATATATATATATAGATATATATAATTTCGGCTATACTCCTTCTTATATATGTTACCTTGACTTCATTGCATGGATTTCTTTTGATCTCTCTGTTTTTATTTTATATATTTATTGTTCCCTTGAGTTCCCAGTGGAACATACAGATTCAACTGCACCTCTCCACTTGCCACTTCTGTCTTCTGCTCTACTTCTCACCTGCATCTATCTTAGTCCACACTCATTCAACTCCTCCAACTAACACGATCTCCTCCACCATGCCACCCTTGCACTGACGTCCCACTCGCCGCCTGCTTCCCTTTCGGCTTGGTTCCACTCGAGCTATGGCCTGACGCGCGCGCGATGTCACCCAGCGGCCGCCTCCTCAGCGACCGACTGTCCAATCCATCTCTTCACTTTCTCCTGCATATTTGCTGTTGGTGGGCGATTGTTTTGTTTGTTTGTTTGTTTGTTCTCATAGTTTGGTGCTTGTTGATGATTCTTTCCGGCCCGGCCATCTGATCTTATTTTTTTAATTTTTTATTTTTGATTACAGCTTGATTCCACACCGTATTTTTGGTACAAGTATGGAATTTTCAGCGTGGATATCGGTAGCCCAAAATTCGCAGGCCGACCATAGATATCAGGTGTGCGTCGGCGTGGGCTCGAACCCCGGACCATATGCATGGTCGGCGAGAGTCCTAACCACTGTGCCACCGACGCACTTCAGTATAGATCCAGCGAAGACAGTTAGTAGTTGTTGATAAAGGTAAAATGTGAAACAGACTGTTGGTGGAAATATTCTTTGTGACACCCCCACACGTCGACTTTCTGATCCGTATAGAAGAACTGACTGACTGGACGTTGTTTGTATTGAAAATCCGACCGACGGAATTTTGTTGTTGATTCTGGCTGAGTGACGAAGATTTCTAGATTGGTTTCAGGTTGATGAATGAATGTGTTTCTCGCCCCTCTCCCCCCGATTCTCGGTCGATTTGACATTTGTCGCTCGTCTGTCCCGACTTCCTGTAGTTGAGACAATGCTCCCTCTCTAGATAAGTAAGTGAATGAAGTAACCCATTTCAAATCTCTCCCGTTGATGGTGAATGGGTGGTGGCTGTATGTTGTTGCTGCTGTTGTTTGTTTGTTGGTTGGTTGGTTGGTTGGTCGGTTGGTTGGTTATTTTCATAACGTCCGTCTTGTCTATATTCACCTGGAGTCCTGTCTTCTCCGTCTGCTTCTTCGACCAGTTTGTAAGTTTTCGCTTGTAGGTCTTCGATTTTGTGTGACATCAAACATAAATCAACCACGCGCGAAATCCAGGTCTTCTAGGTTCTTCACGTCGGTCACTCCAGGATATCCCTCGCTGTCTTCTCGTTTCCCACTCACTGTCTGACGCATAATCCAGTTAGTCCATCACAATTAGGAATATCATCGTGGGTGATAATAAGCACCCTTGTCTGACTCCTGTGTTTACTCCAAACGCCTCGCTGAGTGGGTTTTCCGTTGTGAATCACTTGACATGTGCCACCGTTGTTGTTTTACTTGCTTTCAAACTGTAAGCATGCTTTGAAGAAGAAAAAAACACGCTTCACTTTCAATGTCGCTTATTATCAGTTTTTTTCTAAGTCAACAATATCAAGGAGTCAGTGAAAAAAGAAACAACAACAAACAAACAAACACTGAAAGTGAATACACTTCAAAAGATGAGATCATTTAAATTCACCTGTACATCAACAATATTGGTAAAATCACCAGGTTTTTCTAAACTATAAAAGCCATTCATTTCCATGGTTTGTCTAACAATTTCATTGGCTATCTGATCACCCCATTCATTAATTAATGGCATATTTATGTCATCAATGAATACAGTCATTTTCTTGCCAGCAGGTGGACCATAAGTTGTACCAACACGTTTTTCAACAAAACTTTCTATTGTACGCTATAGGATGAAAAGTAAGACAAATGAATGCAAGTGATAAGCTGATGCACAACAGTAATAAATGACATATCCTGTCATTATTATTATTATTATTATAACTTTGATTTTTATAAATCACCTTGGGGACATCCTTAGACGATTGGTGGATAGCAATGGAATTTGGGATGTACATGTTTGTCTGCTTCGACTTTCTTCAGTGAGATGCACCTGCAATCCCTAGTGATTAAGTGGTATTGGAGCCGGTGCCAATCATTTAAACGTCAAAAGGTTATCCACTAGACCACTGGGCTGTGACAGCAACCTCTTGTGCAGTATATATCAACTTTAATTTGTATTTCTAATCTATGCTAGGTCTCTGCTGATATGTCGGCTTGTAATATAATTTAATCAGTCAACGAGAAACACTGACTTAAAAGAATAACATTTCAGGGGCAGTTGAATATCGGAGGTTGTTGAAGAACACTTTTCCTTCAATTAAACAAATTGGTAACTTACCTAAAGGTTAAATTCAATATAGTTTACTTGCACTATGTAGACATTACAATGGGTCTACGGATTGGCAACAAATGATATTAGTACAGAAAATCATTTGTCGTGAATTGGCAGAAGTTAGAATTCATGGACTGGTCATTGGATCGGGTCCCAGTGGCTTAATAATATACGAGCTAGCTTGCCTTGTGACTGGAAGGTCCTGGGTTCGAACTCCCTGCAGTGGGTGCGTACTGACGAAGAGTCCCAAACTAGGACGAAACAGCTGTCCAGTACTCCCAGGTTTCCCAATGGTTCTCTAACCAATGTCGGCTCATGATGAAATCCTGTAAACCAATCAAATCCCTACAAACTAACACTAGGAAATCATTCGACTTACACTCAGATGGTAACTTCTGTGAATTAAATAACTCATTCATATGATTACCTGGCACGATTACATCGAGCAGTCTTAGGAACAAAAGGGTAACTCGAGTTAATCTATAAATTGAAAAGTAAGCCTTTAAAAACTTTAAAACACTGATATCATTATTCTACATAAATCAAAGCGTCATTGTAAGAAATTACGTGAAACTATCTCAGACAATCAAGCTTTTATCAAATAATAGTGTTCTGTGAGCTGGTTGGTTTAGTTGTGGAGCTTTCATCGTCCCCCCTTCAGGACAACATCCCCCTTCAGCGCAATTTTTAGCATAAAGTGAACTAATTTAATTTTTTTCATGAGTGATATAGTTGCGTCTCCCGGTAACCATCTTTACATTTCTGTTGATCAGTTTCTTTTGACTTGGATTTTAAACTTTCTCGTCACATGATTTACTTTTTATTAGTCGGTATATTTCGTCTATATTCACATGTTTGTTAATTGCACATTCGTTTGAGTACCAGGCTTCTTGGAATTCCCTGACTACAATTTTGGTGGTGTTTCCTCTGTCTAAAATTTCGACATTATCACAGTTATCAAAATGATGTCCATAATTATCTATATGCATTGATATGGAAAAGTATATATCATGTCTTTTCACAGCTGATTTGTGTTCTTATATCAGATGGATGGGAAAGTTCCAGAATAATTTGCGGTCAAGGAACAAATTAATAAAAATTACAATTAGGAATTAAAACGCCATAATAAACAGGGTGTTGTGACGGATAAACTCAAACAAAGTAGCATCATAAAAACTAAGAAGATTGACATTGTGCGATAAGGGGTTAGAAATGTAGAAATAACAAAATAGACAGGATGTTTGGATAAAAAAACTAATGTGATGAATAATTGTTTATGCAATCAGGGTTTAAATGTGTAGAAATAGTAAAATGACAAAATAAACACGAAGTTCGGATATGAAAATATGGTAGTGTAAACAGGGATTAAGAAAAGCTTTAAAAAATAACATGAATCAACAGGAAGTTTAGATAAGAAAGGCGATGGGATTGTCATTGATAAAAAAAACATAATACGCGAATGTACAGCGTAGTTGATGACTTCGTCGAAAACAAAATTTTCTTCGCTGCAACTGTCTTCTTAATAACTCCTATGACCCAGTGTGTATATTCCGTGATCTGCGTTCCTGGATTCTGATTCGAAGGGGATGCTCACTTCGACCACCGATGTAATGTCTGTTACAGTTCGTACATGGAATTTATTTTGTAAATGGTATTAATTTTATCTCCTTTTTCTGTTGGATGTGTCTTTCGGTTTGCACAATATGGAATGAAGTGATTTGACTGACTGACTGGCTGGCTGGCTGGCTTGTGTGCTATATCTATCTATTTCAAACGGTTTCAGTATTCTAGCTGTTATTTCAGAGATATTTTCGCTTATGCATGGTGGGATGAATTTTCTCGTGGTCTTTGACGATGGTTCCTTGTTGGTGTTGTGATTCATTCGATTTAAAACACTTTTTGATGAAATTTTGTGTAAAATCATTCTTTTTCAGTCGATTTTAAAGCCTCCTTTAGACTGGATACTGCTATTAATCAAATCGACAATTGCGTAACAGTTGAATAATATAGTTAAGCATAATAAATACTGAGATATCCATCGAGTATCAAAACCTATGGGTTTTTTCATTAAATATTGAAGCAACCAACTCTATTCTATTTTCACCACTATGCATTCATAGTACTGTTGTGTGTAATTTCAGGCAACTGAAGCAAAATTGATTACCGCCCAAGAGTCGCGTCTCTTATTTCATCTGATAAACATTCGAATATGAGAGAGAGACACAGGCTGCAAGGTTTCATCTGAACTTAAGTTGTCAATCATGTTCAGATGGAAGTAGCATGACTTTTTCTCATTTAATGAAAACAAAACTCGTAGATCAGCAAAGAGTTTCTTTTCTTCGGTGAATTCATTTTCTTAGCTGTACAATCGCGGATACATATATATATATATGTATATGTTATTTTGTATGTATGTGCACATTAGGTTTGTCAAACAAAACTACAATTGGTTATGGTTATTTGAACTAAACAGGTGAAGATTGATAATTGGAGTTACGCAGTACAAAATCAGTCAAGAAAATTAGGTGGTAATGAAATAAGGGTAGTAACAAAGGTGATGAGTTGTCATAAACCGTTGTCAAAAAAAGAAGTTATGCAATAATATGAATAGTTTGATGAGTGAGTTTTACTCACAGAAACATATAGAAACAAAGTAGATAATACGAAATTACGTAAGAGTTCTAAATGAATACAAGAATTATAGGCAACTGAAGAAACAGGCAAACAAACAAATTAAGTCATCAAAATCAAAAAAGTTGTTACCATGATAGTAGAAGTGGTTGAGTAATCCTCTTTTGTATGCACAGCTCCAGTTTTTTTATGTGAATGGCCAGAGCTTCAGCGATACAAAGCAAACGAAACCGTATTTATTGCCTTTGGTAGGTTATTCTTGACTCTGTAGATTACTTTGAAGCAGGAGGCGTTTGATGAAATGGAATGACTGATCAGTGTTAACCAGGTGTTCAATTATCACACTCCTTATAACACCACCACTATTGCCTTTTCGCAACCATGCTGGCTGAATAGTGTTCTTGAATCCTATTGGACAGAGTGCGCGTCGAACGATCGATGTACCTGGCTGGCTCCATAGCAGCAGGTGAACTGATATATATATATATATATATATATATATATATATATAGAAGTGGTCAGATGCGGGATTGCATATATAATATCCAGGTTAAGGTATTTGCTGGTTATACTGTTTAATGATCACATATCAATCAAATCCATAAAAGGGATTTATCACTACTATTTAGTTGTAAGCGGATCACAATGACAGCATGAAAAATTAACTTTACGTGGGCAAACACAACAATTTAATATTACTCACTTGAAATAAAGCTGGTGTTGTAGCTGATGAAAAACTGATTGATTTTGATGCATGCGTTTCAGGATTAAATTTACTCATATATTTGTTAATCATAACTGTTTTAGCTGTACCTGATTCACCGATCAACAGAACAGCTTTCCCTTGTTTGGCTATTATATCAATTAAATAATCTGTGCGTACATTGTCAACATTCGGTACTAGGATACTAGCGAATTCTGGTGTATGATCGGTTGGGTAGGTGTAATTATCGATATAATTTGACCAATGAATCCATTTACCTGCATCAATGCAATGAAAATATAATAATAATTTTTTGCTTTATTCCAGAAACAGTACTAGTGGTACAAAGTGGAATTTTCAGCACATATCTACAATATTGTGTCTAATTTTATCAGACATTTAAAAAGAGTATTTCAAAAAAGAAATATAAAAACAACAACAAAAACAAAAAAAATATTAAAATAACGAAAAAATACCAAGTAGAAAGGAAAATAAACAACAATAATAAATAATATCTCATTATTGGGTAGTGGAAGCTATGATATGTTTATGCGTGGTGAACAGTAACAGCTATAATCATACAGGAAGTTATGAAATGATATTCAAGAATGTTTATCGACAAGATGATCAGTCAATATGATTGAACAACACTAAACAATCATAAAATAAACATTTCAGCTGTGTGTTTTTTTATTGTCAGATCTAATGCGGTGTTTGTAGTGGTAGTGTGAGTAATCCTGAATAATTCAAAATTTTTAAGATGGTAATAATGGCATTCACAACCAAGATTGTCAGTTAATATTGCCAAACAAAAAAAAACAATCACAAAACTAATATTACATGTAAGTTAATGACGGGACAATTTTGTAATACTCATAGTGCTAATATAGTCGGAACCAGGAGATACACAAAAGAAGGAATAGAGTAAAGTACAAAAAAGTAAGCCAATGTTATTAATTTAGGTAGCTATGTATGTTTAAGCAGGTGTTCACTATAGATAACAAATAAGAGAGAAAAATAAAAGAGCCTAAAATTATGTTATTAACAACAAAGCAAGTCACAGGTTTCGCGCTTAACATTGTCTGTGTCACTTAGAACACGGGCTGGCCAAATATGGTATCGTTGAGTTCCTATACTTGGTTGTATGAGCATATATTATTTTGTACTGATTTCTCGTTCTACCTGATAAGATACAATGAGAGAATTGGCAATAGAGTAGGTGTTGGAGGTCGGAGAGTATGGTTGTAGACCATTTTCGCATGTATTCAGATGCCTTACTACTAATGTAGTGACGAGCTGACTGAGTTTTATAAGACTAATCCTACTAACTACCTTCAACATTCTTCTCAGGATGGTATAGTCCTTTTTCAGTAGCCCAGGAAAGACTAATGGGGAGCAGTAAAGTAGAATAGGTAAGATACAAAGGTTGGCAAATTGTGAAAGTAGAGGTTGGGTGATTCCAGATAGTCTAAGTTTCTTTATGTAGTAGGTTAGACGGAACACTTTCTTAGAAATCGTTAGGATATGAGATGACCAAGTAAGGTCGGAAGATAGAACTAGTCCGAGGTATTTTGCATTAGACTTAGTTTCAATTTTAGTCCCCTCAATAGTACAGGCTTCATGAGTACTTACTAGTGTTTGTAGATCTCGTTTATGCCTAAAGGAGAAGTCAATAGTCTGGCATTTCGAGGGATTCAGCATGAAAACATTTAGTTAAGACCATTGACTGATGTCCGACAGGAAGCTATTAAATTTGAAACAGTCTGACTGATACTCAACGGGAAGCGAAACAGTCAGGTCATCTGCGTATTTGACGAAGTTGATTTCATACATTTATTCCCCTTAATGAATTTGAACAAAGAGGTAAGTCATGTAAGAAGAAGGAAAAGCATAAAAGAATTAGACTATTTATCAGTGTGCACTGAAAATGTTGTTTCAATGCATTAATTCAACCTTCCCCCCTACTTTAATAATTCGTGTGACAATACATACTACTAACTAACTGAATGGTATCAGTAGTTGAATAGCGCTCACATAAGACTGTAGTGCTTTCTGTTGTGAGCTGAAAACTGGGAGGATGTTTCGTTCTTTTTGTTTCAATCTGATCATTGGTGTTTGAAATTTGACTGATCTGAGACAGCCGAACCAATTCAAATTAGCCAAACTGTGGTTAGCTAACCGGAAGAAATGGTAACACATGGAGACAAATTTGTCATTTCCAAATTACATAGTTCCAAGTGATCGGTAGTATATAACACTATACATCTATGATTCCTTTTTTGATTTCCATTTATATTACCAAGCAGACTATATACTATTGTGACTGTAGAAGCTGCTACTCCGGCTCTTCATTCACTGTAGGGAGTGAACAACTTAGTAGATTTGTCAGCTTCACCACCAACACCAGCCGGTCTCCGTCCATCTGTTGCTGCATCATCGGCAGCTACCTCTCCTTTGGGCTGTCAAACTCTACCACCTCCCAGGTGCCCATCTCATCTGACAACTCCACACTGTTGTACGCCACCTTTGCTCAACCTCTCAGCAGCGTTCCCAGGATGACCTTTCTCGTCGTCAGTTCAGTGACACGCACCAACTCAGCTACGGCTTCAAAGTCCCGTGAGAAACTCCTTATGCCTCATTCCTTGGAAGTAGCCAGCCATGGAATCTTCATTGTCTGGAGACAGAGGCACCAACTGTAACGGTAGAAGGTGGAAGACTTGGACAAGGAATGTTTATTTGCAATTTGGTATCTCCAGATAGTCAAAGAATGTACGCCTTATCTTCAATGCACCATTTGCATAGATCTTCCGTGTTATGCTACTTCTGTTCTCCCTCCTTCATACTGTGCTTCTTTGTGCTCCTTTCACATCTCCCATGTATCTCTACGCAACACTGTATCATTTGCTTTCTCTTATATCAAATCTATCTCCCTTCTATTTGGTGTTTTTTTTTATACCAGTGAACATCTCTTTATCTAAGGCTGATAAGTCTTATGCGTAGCACACGCCACACTATGATCCAAAGGGAATTGTAATGATATCTCACCCTAGATTTAATCATTTCGCGTAACCACAGTATTATAAGGTACTGCAGGATGACAATATAAGTCTGTCAATCAGCAACTTTGTGATTATTCAATTATAAATGCTGCTGTGATAACAAGAAAAGGGGATACAGTGAATACACCACGCCTTAAGAAATCTGATGAGTGTAATTATCGGTGAAGTCACAGGATTTTCATTCTCAATAAAAGTTCTTGAATTAGTAATCAACATCTCAACATCTTAGAACCTTAATTTTGAGTCTGTCTGTTTGTTTTCGACATAGAACCAGTTTGCACCGATGTGCACCAGTTCAAGTCGCCACACTCCACTCCTTGTAGCACACAAAGCAAGAGAAGAAAGTAGAAGAAATGCAAAATAGAGAGAGACAGTAAACAGAGATGTGAGACAAAGGAATAGTAATCACGAAGAACAATATGGCTTCATTGGAAATCATAAGTCACAAGGAGTGGATGCATCTGCGCTAGCCATTGAGAACGATTTCGAGCCAGCCATATCACCAACTGTTTCCAACCATTGGTTTTACCGTCCTGAGGACCCCAACCAAGAAGTCTACACCTTCCTACGTAGCTTAAACTAACTGTTGTGGATCTCATTGACTGACGAAACCATGTTTTGGTTTGAGCACCACTGGCTTACTCTTTTCCAACCTGATACATCCTATGTCAGCTAACATTGTCCGTCAGTTGAGGAAGGCAATGACTAGGCATACATAACACATGTCCTAACCATCTCAGTCGATGTGATTTCACAGCCTCGTCGACTGATTTCCCCTTCTTACCTAGAACTCGACGCCTACCCTCAATATTGCTCACCTTATTATACAACTTCATACAGGACATAGAGCGCAGGCACCTATGATCGTAGACAGCTAGCCTGGCTTTTCATGTCTTCCACTCTCAATGGCCAGGTTTCACAGCCAGCCAGCCATAAAGGAGGGTGGAGCGAACTGCTGAGCAGTACAATCGCCCTTTGGTCGACAGCCGGTCAGCCGGATATCATGTCTACTGAACCAGAGGCGGCGTAAACTGGCATATGTGAAACTAGCCCTATGTATCCGTACTAAGCTGAGATATTTCGTCAGAGATCAACCCGTTGGCGTTGGTTGATGGTACTTCCCAAATAAGTGAAGCGGTCAACGTGCTCTACCACTTCACCTCCTATTTCTAAACTAGGAGTCAGTGTAGTCCAGTCAGTCCTGTACCATCATCTTACATTTCGAGTAACTATATCAGTCTACTACCTGATGCAACCAAAACACAAAACGCCTTTATATCAAAATCATTATCTATCTAGCCATGAGGAAAGCACACCCCCAGAGTCAGATAGAAAGGTTAATGAGTATGGGGACATAAGTGTGCTAGACAAATCGTAGAAAACATCTGCCAATATACCAGATTAAAGCAACATCCAGTTAATTCCACAAGTGTGGTTCTTTATGGTTCCATTAGCTTTATCAGAGTCTCATATGAGTAAAACTGCATTGGTGCACACTACATCACTGACTTTCAGTTATTTATTTGAAAGAAATCATATCCTGTGTCACACCAGTTTGTTTCCAGTTGTGATTAAGTTCATTGAATAACTGAGGTAGACACGCCTAAAAGTTAATACAGTCAGGGGATTTCTTGGAATGCAGCATTCTGAAAAATCTGTTCTTTACATAATCAATGAAGACACTCTTTACCACGAATTTGTAATCAACCTCAATAATCGTGTACACATTACTATGGTAGAGCCTACCATGTGAACAATTTTGAATCACTAATTCATGACAACAATGACAAGTACTGAAAGGCGTGAAATTGTATTTTCGTTTACCCACCTGGGAAGCATCGTTTCAACTAAAGGAGGACGGAACTGACGAGGATATCAAAGCAGCGAGGATCGGAAAAGCAAAACAAGCTTTCATTAATCTCAAGTCTGTGTGGAGGTCAACACCACTCAGCATGAAAACGAAAATGAGATCCGGATTTTCAACTCCAATGTGAAGTCAGTCAGTGCTACTCTCCATAGGGATCAGGGACTTGACCAGAGCGTCATAAAGAGCATCTCAAACAAACTACAGACCATCATCAACAGCTACCTCCACTCAATTCTACTGAAGATTAGATGGCCGGCCAGAAAAGATCACCAACAGGGTGGGATCTCTGGAAATGAGCGAACCAACCAGGAACAACCGATAGTGAAAGAAATATGCAGGAAGAAATAGAGGTGGATTGGATTGACCATACTCTGAGAAAACAAACCATCAAGTGAGTGACATCACTAAACAAGCCATTGCTCGAGTGGAACCCGGCCGAAAGGGAACCGGCAAGCTTGTCGTCAGTGTGAGGGTGACGTGGAGGAGGTCATGTGAAGTGGAGATGAAAGCACGTGGGCAGACGTGGAGCGGGGTGAAGAAGTCGGTAGAAGACCGAATGCAATAGAGGCGCGCGGCTGAAGCCCTTTGTTCCTCTAGGAATGAAAGATTATACAATAAATAATAATAAGTAGCACAATGAACGATAACACTAACCTTCACTGTCAACTCTGTACTCAAAGATTGTATCACTTTTGTCCTGTAGCTTTGGTAATTCCAATCCTAATTCATTCTGCCAGAATGTTTGCAGTTTACTTCGGTCGTCCAATTCTAGCAAGGCTCCAAATGACCACATAATTGCGAATATATAACAGTTCATTAGCATTTTGTCATTACCCTGGTAAAGAAAGGGGGAAAAAGGCGAAAAACAAAAATTATTACTCAACTGCTTGTCATTAGGCATATCGAGTGTCAGAAATGAAAGTAGGATCGTTGATGACTGTCTGGGTTGTATGCGCATAACTTTCGTACATAAATAAATCTCATACTGTTTAGCTAGACATATATATATCACTTATGAGAGATCTATGGTTATTGAACAAATACCTCCCAGGTGAATGCATCTAGCACACTAACTAGAAGCGTCAGCGATGCACACGGAAAGTAGTTCTATAATAATAATAATAATAATAATATCCGCCTGAAGTGAATTTAGTAAACACCTTAGTAAATACACTGCTCAAAATCATTATTCTAACAACTTGCTTTGGTCTAGTACTGTAAGCAGTCTTAATTAGGGCTTTAAGTAAAGTAGTATTACAAATTGTCATTAGACACACTAAGAACGTCTAGTGAGTCTGTCTACACTTATTTCTACGGAACGACTTCGTAGTGTATTCCTGTCAAGCTCTTACTAAGTACACTCTTCCACCATTTTACCACTAATCTTCCATTTTACACTTAAGAGATGAGGCTTAGCAAAAGCCAGAAACCTCACTGTAACCATTGAATGTCATTTGCATTCTGCAGCAGAATATATTATTCACGTGCATAACGTTGCTAGGGTATGAACTTAAGCGTGAGAATCTAACACATAAAATAAACATACAACAACCACTTAATGACGAGCACAAATTTTATATGTAAACTTTCCTTTCACAAAGTTAAAACAGACAGGTGGCTTCTGTTAAGCATAAATTAAATATGCCTCCTGAAGGGAAATAACGTGTCATTATCAATTTATTATTATTATTGTTCCCTTGAGTTCCCAGTAGAACATACAGATTCAACTCCAAAGCCTCAGGATGGTCGGGGGTGGGTGCCTTGCGCTGCGGGTCGGCCACCCCTCCGCACACCTCTTGAAATGCTCCCATATGACCGGGCGTCTTACATAGCCTCTCCTGAGGAAGTCCTACTCACTGCCTTCACGTGGCGGAGGTGTTTCTCACCAAAGTGAGAGGGCGAAAGCGGATGCCTGGCGCTCTCCACCGGGTTGACTGTCCATTGGATGACAGTCTAGGGGAGATGGCTAAACCCTGATTCCAAACCTGCAACGACTGGCGTATGAAGCTCACTGGAGCTCACCGGCAGACGTATGGACAAAGGGCTTGTTGGATGTCCTGGATGTCTGGCCCCATTCAAAAAGGCGTATGAACCGAACTCCGGTCATCGGCTGCCAATGGATAGTGGACTCCTTACTCCACTCCTACTGCCTTGTAGGTCACACTTGGTTGTGTAAAGGCTAGAGCTGCACTCTCAAACAAAAGGCCGAGCGATTCTGGGGACATCACTCGTACCAAATTCCCATGAAACTTCATGAACTCTCTTACAAATGGCCGCGCCTGGGCAGCGATGATTCGAGACGTTCTTGAAGCCGGCTCATCCTCCCGTAGGAGATAGCCGAAGTAAAGTAAGTAAGTATACAGATTCAACTGCACGTCTCCACTTGCCACTTCTGTCTTCTGCTCTACTTCTCACCTGCATCTATCTTAGTCCACACTCATTCAACTCCTCCAACTAACACGATCTCCTCCACCATGCCACCCTTGCACTGACGTCCCACTCGCCGCCTGCTTCCCTTTCGGCTTGGTTCCACTCGAGCTATGGCCTGACGCGCGCGCGATGTCACCCAGCGGCCGCCTCCTCAGCGACCGACTGTCCAATACATCTCTTCACTTTCTCCTGCATATTTGCTGTTGGTGGGCGATTGTTTTGTTCTTGTTTTGTTTTGTTTGTTTGTTTGTTTGTTTGTTCCCATAGTTTGGTGCTTGTTAGTGATTATTTCCGGCCCCTCGACCCTGCTCGGCTAGGCCATCTGATCTTCAGTATAGATCCAGAGAAGACAGTTAGTAGTTGTTGATAAAGGTAAGGTATGCAACAGACTGTTGCTGCAAATATTCTTTGTGATTAAATATGCCTCCTGAAGTGAAATAACGTGTCATTATCAATAGTTTTAAATGTATTTTTACCATAAAAGCAAAGAGTGCATAAAAGTATGACAGCTGCTATTAAACTATATATATATATATATATATATATATATATATATATATATATATATATATATATATATATATATACAAAACTAACTTGAATATCGCCTGGCAACAGTCCTTCCAGAACAGAGCATGTCTGACGAACAAAAAATGCTTCATGATACTCCATTTTCATGACTAAACTTTGCACCACATAACGATAAGTTTGTGGGAAAGACTTCTCAAACAGAGAGAATAGTTTTTCTCTTTCACTTACCGGTCTTTTCAATAACCATGCCTATGAATTAGTAACAGAAAAAAACAAAACAGTAAATAAAGGATAAACGCAATGGATAAAGCATTAAATTGCCGATACTTCAGTTAGAAGATAACAGAAAGCTGTTTTTATTGCAGAACCACCTGGATGGATGGATTATACTTTTCTGTTACCCTGTTATCAAGTGTTACTCTAGGCTTAAGGAAGTGTAATTAAGGTTTTTCTTACAACCGGCTGCCCTTATTAGTTTGAAGGAAGAAAGAAAGAAAGAGAGGACATATTTGCAGGATAATACAAGCTGGTTATGCGTACTTCGTGAATTCCCTTTAACTGAATGCATCCTGGAGGAAGTCAAATTATAAGTTGGCGCCTGAGCATACTTTTCTCACAGTGACTTAGAGTCATAGATAGAAAGCATAGCGTTAACAGAATAACTATTTATAGAATAATTAAACAAAGGTTGTTAGGGTATATTTCATATTAGTTTGTGTATTAGATGTATCACACAGTCAGTGAGTGAAACAGTATTAGTATTTACTGGATGACACAGTTCCGAACACAATTCATTATTGCTGTTCATAATCATTTCATCAATTATAATCACACGACTTCGAAACTTCAGTTTTGCAGTTTTCTTTGTCTTCTCCTACTTGTCGTCATTGGGTTAATAGAATTTTCTAGACAGCTGGGTGGACAGGTGTTGAATCATTCCTATTACACGCGTTGAGTTGCAGTTGATTCGATAAACAAAGCTTCTGTTATCAATCTCTCCCTCCCTCCACCTTGTGACATTTGATTTTAAAACTGTCATCCTATCCAATCCACCTTATTGTAGGGTCGTGTGTACTTGCATGTCGTGTAGTGCTATCTACGGCTGAACTATTCTCCAGGTTTCTTATCTTATTCGGTCGGGTCAACCAATCTAGATTTTGCTGCAAGGTTTTTATGCTCGGCTAGTCTGACTCACTGACCCTGTTCTACTAGTTTGACTTATGTATTTGACCTGACAATCATTCCAGCAGGCAGGGTATTAGATAAACTAAAGTGTTTTGTTTTATCAGCCCCAGGGGATTGATCCTTTAACCGACAAAGCTTGTTTCCAGTTGAGTTTGTGGTTGGTTTGATTACCAGCCACTTTTATTCCTGTCTGCCTTGTTAAGAATTCTGCGTAAGGTGGTTTCCGAGGTTCCTTCCTTGTATGGAATTACTACTGATGATTTCGATTCTTATTCTTGACTAATTTATCCGGGTAATTTTTAAGTTTCAAGGCTTCTTTTTTGTGTATCACTTCCTGTCTTAGATTTTCCTCAGTATTACCTACCTTTTGTGCTCTATCACTTAAAGATCTTTACAATCCTATTCTCACTGACGTGGGATGGGATGATCGGAAGTCCAAATATCTCCTTGAATGTGTGGGTTTACTGTGTTTTTAACTTCTCATCTTCTTTCCTTTTTACGTTGCAATCTAACATTGGAAGCTCCCCAGCTTCCTGACTTTCCAATTCATCATAAGTGAATTGAATCGCCTCTACCTTTGAGTTAATGCGTTCGAAAAATCTGCCTATATCCTGTGTTCTAAGTACAGTGAATGTGTCATCTACATAACTCCACCATACTTTTCGAGTGGGTGGGGTTGAACATTTCAATCGCTATGTTTTCCCACCTATCCATGAATATAGCTGCTACAACCGGGAATATTGGTGATCTCATTTCAACTCCCTCAGTTTGTTTGTATATTTTCCCTTGGAATTTAAATACTGTGGAAGTCAGAAAGAGCTAGGTGTACTCCCAGCATTATGTCCTCACGTGTAACTTTCGTCCTAAGTTCGAGTTTTTGGTCAGAAATGAGTTGGTTTCTGACTGCCTCTATAGCCATATTTATTATTGGTATACGTGTATACAAACTGACAATGTCAAAACTAACCATTTTTTTCTTCATTATCTTAGTTTAAATTATCTAATCCATCTGTGTTTTAGTTCATAAGAATTTGTTAGTCTAGATTTCGAGTGGCTTTTTAGAGGATTTAATACCATGGCTAAATATTTAGATAATTCATAAGTAGTTGAATTTCTAAAATCAACCACAGGCCTGGAGGAAATCAAATTATAAGTTAGCATCTCAGCATACTTTTGTCACAGTGACTTCGAGTCATAGATAGGAAGTATAGCGTTAACAGAGTAACTATTTATAGGATAATTAAACAAAGAGTGTTGGGGTATAGTTCAGATTTCTCTTGAAAACATGAATGGACTAGAGACAAAATACGAGACAGAACAACAGAGTGAATTTATACATATCAATAATGGAGAGTCCAACAGGGCGGGAATGAACAGTTAAGTAAAACTATAAGACAGACAAAATAAATAAATTATAATTATATTTCAATAATTTACACACAATCATAAGTTTATTGTTTTGGTAATATTTCGAGCTAAATTACTACCCATGATCACACCAGCTGTCTATAATTCATCCATGTTTCCAAGCGGAATCTGAAGTTTACCACCAACCCACCTCCTTTGCCTAATTATTCTATAAATAGTCACTTTTTTAACATTGAATAATCCGTCTACTTACATCATATTTGGAGTTATGTTGGCTACACTTTCTATCTGTGACTCGAAGTCACTGTGAGATGCTAACTTAGAATTTGATTTCCTCCAGGACGTGCTCAGTTGAAAAAGATTGATGGGATAAAATCAGCTCGTAGTTATCCTGCAAATATTATTATTGTGTCAACGGATAGACTCATCTTCAACCGAAATAGTATGTTAAGTTTTAATTAAGAAGACAATTACAATGACAATGAATGTGCCACTTGAAAAGTTTATCGTTCCACTGTCCAGTCAGTGTGCTGAAAGCATTTACAGCTATTACAAAAAGACGCAAGAGTACTAGAGTATTCCTTTTCCATAAGTAATTAATGAAAACAGTTAGTTAATCGTGTTACTATTATTATTCCCCCTGGACACAGGTGTATAACCTTTCATTTCCTCAGTGTCAAAATAGGACACTCAACTAATTATTTCCGACTCTTGATCCATTCGACTGCTTGGAGTGTGATGCCATACAGCGGTCTCCATAACAATATGTGTCCAACCCATCTTCATTTCTTTTTTATTCCTCCACGTTCCCAGTGGAACATAGGGTGCCTTCATGCTACAAGCTTGAAGTTTCTGTAGGAGTGGTGTTTATTTTTACAGGATGATGGGTTGCTAGCCCCATGCCCAATCTTTCTTCTTTATCAGCTTTTTTAATTTCTGGCTTAGCGAGCGAGGTAAAGGAGTGCGTCCGCGGCCGGGGATCGAATCCCGGACCATGTACATGGTCGGTGAGCGTTTTAACCGCTTTGCCACCGAGACGCACATCCATCTCCATTGATTGGTCTGTTATCCCAGAGTTCCTCGTTGCTAATCCTTTCTGGCTGTCCGTCTGATCTTCTTTATGGAATATGAAGGCAGATGTCAGTAAAAGTTTGAAGTTTTTGGTGGAAACTTCTTCCATGAATCATGAAGCCTTCGAACTCATTTTGAAAAACCGGATCTTGTTCCTTATGCTGAGTGCTGTGGATTTCTACACTGGTCACAAATTAGCTAAGCTCTGCCTTACTTTTCCAGTCGCGCATTTTTCACACTTTCATCTATACCGCTAAATATCATCTTGTTAGTAAGGCCTACGAATGGCGAAAGCCAGGAAAATCAGTAGTAATAATCTATTCGTTGAATCTTTAACTGTGAAGGACTGATTTTGAAGACAATTATATCAATAACAAACATACTTATAAGTCTTCTTTTCAAAAATTTATAAACAATTAGTTTTTCTTATAAATTTGGATGGTGTTGTGATTAGAAGACGGAGACTATCTGAAAAAAAAGTGTGATGTATTTGCGCCATACATTTTGAACAATCTGATCCCTCACACATTTACTTGTCAACTCGATATATATGAAAAAATATTAAGGACAATTAAATTAAACAAAGTGACAAAAAGATTTAAGACTTATTAACACAACGTTTAGTAATCCAATAAAATAAGGATTACTAAGGTAGGTTAAGAATAATAATAAACTGTTTTTGAATACACAGGGGAGGGGGTGAGGCTTAAGTTTATGAATAGCTTTAATCTCAACGTATTTCAATAAGCGCCCTTGACTGTTTCTATAGGTGACCTTAAAGCCTGAGTTATCAGTCCTATGGTTCATCTCGATTAGGTGTTTAGCTATAGACGAAGTTAGTATTCTGACACCTGCATCTATTGTTCACAATTCATTTGTTTTTCTGACCATTTTGGGATATGCTGTCCCACCCTCACATGCAAGGCGTGATAAACTCCTCCCTATGTATGTGTGACCACACAAACCCACACACAAATTGAGAAATAGCGTGGGATGTGACATGATCAGTTGTGCACTTTTGAGGTTTGCAGTGGAGCATATTTTTAGCTTTTTCGACAATTACAAGCTGAACTGCATGGTAGGTTCTATGGATGATCGAATGCATCCTTTGTCTTAAAATCCTACTGTTTATTTCCCCGTTATACGGTCGAAGGGCGCTTATTGAAACACGCCGAGGTTATAGCTATTCATAAACTTAAGCCTCACCCCCTCCCCCTGTGTATTCAAAAACAGTTTATTATTATTCTTAACCTACCTTAGTAATCCTTATTTTATTGGATTACTAAACGTTGTGTTAATAAGTCTTAAATCTTTTTGTCACTTTGTTTAATTTAATTGTCCTTAATATTTTTTCATATATATCGAGTTGACAAGTAAATGTGTGAGGGATCAGATTGTTCAAAATGTATGGCGCAAATACATCACACTTTTTTTTCAGATAATCTCCATCTTCTAATAACGCCATCCATATTTATATGTCACTAAGTGGAAAAAATAAACGAAGCTCAAAATTTACCTTTGTTATTGGTGACCAGTCCAGCACAGAACTAGACATGAACACCATACCATTCCTGGAGACTGTAGCTGGCGATGCATTATCAATATTATGCACTTCAAATATAATTTTACAATTTGGAGCCATTGGAATTCTGTCACCATTAGCCAGCGTTAGTGTTTTGTTATCATCCAAGACAGAGTTCAAATTCTCGATCCATATTGCATCTACAGGACCATCAAGAACAAGCCAGACATTTTCATTCTTCTTGGTTTTCAATGTTCTTCTCCATAAAGTTGAGAAAATCCCATCTGTCCAATCATTTGTAGCTACATCCAACTTGCCGAACATTTCTGGTGCTGTTATCGCTTTAGGATTCATACGCATTTCACGATGCGGTGAACCACACTCACCCATTGCACGCATTAAAGTATTAATACAGCACGTTTTGCCGGCACCGGAAGGACCTAGTGTCATCATACCATGGCGTACACGTTGGGTTTCAAACAGCTGAATAAAATCAAAATAGAGAAGAGAAGATTAGTAGCTCAGGTGAATGGTTTGCAATTAATAGTGTTCTCTGAGCTGGTTGGTTTAGTTGTGGAGCTTTCGTCTCCCTCACCCCCCTTCTGAGTAACATCTTCAGCGCAATATTTATCAGAAAGTGAAATGATTTATATCTTTCTGGATTGACTGATAGAATCGCGTCTCTCGGTAACCATCTTTGCATCTATATTGATTATTTTTTATTGACTTGGATTTTGACCTTTCTCGTCACATGATCTACTTTCTATTAGTTGGTATATTTGGTCTATATTGACGTGTTTGTTAACTGCATACTCGTTTGAGTACCAGGCTTCTAGGAATTCCCTGGCACTTTTCGTAGTATTTCCTCTGTCTAAAATTTCGACATTATCCCAGTTATCAAACTGTGTCCATAATTATCTATATGCATTGATAAGAAACAATGAACTATCATCAAATAACACAAGGAAATTCATCCCACCATATATAAGCGAAAATATCTCTGAAATAACAGCTAGAATACTGAAACCGTTTGATATAGATAGATATAGCACACAAGCCAGCCAGCCAGTCAGTCAAATCACTTCATTCCATATTGTGCAAACCGAAATACACATCCAACAGAAAAAGGAGATAAAATTAATACCACTGACAAAATAAATTGTATGTATGAACTGTAACAGGCAAAATAATTGAGCGCTGAGTGAGGAGTAGACATTTATAAAATTATATTTGTAAAATCTCAGGGAGATTGAAATGAGTAATTCCAACGTTTCATTTGTCAATCTGGTTCGAACTTCTTCAGGGAAATTAATCGAAATTAATATAACAGAGGTTTATATATAAAAAGGGGGATATCTCTTGTTTTTTAAAAGCTCCTTTCAGTCTTATGGGTCATGAAACAGGTATCAACATGTATAATAAACAAAACAAAATTGTATGAGCTGTGATCAAAATTTGGCGTCGGACTTACGAATAATGGTCTACCTTTGTTAAACGCTTTAAAAAGAGTGTGTTTGTGTGTGTGGGGGTAAACTGTTGTAAAACATTTCTTAACGTCTCTATAAGAAGATGTAGACAGTCGGTAATTTTGACCAAGTATTATTAATTAGTATTAAATATCCATTTTTATTTATTAATCAGGATTTCCTATGCATCAGCTAACATCACACCTTCATGTCTGTTCAAACTGTTAGTATCTAGAATTTTATGATTAGACGTATTTTCAAAATTATGGTGTTCAAGATTAGAGTTTAGTTGAAGCACCCTGTCGAACTTACTGCTCTGTCTTCTTTCTGAAGGTTGAGCTGCTTTATTCGACCTACTGGAGTTGTCAGGTGATTTGACAGCTACGGACGGATTTAGGATATGCATTCTGTTGCAGACAACGGAGAGTGAAAACCCGATGATTGTACCAATTACAAATATAATTTTTTTTACAAATGTCTAATTCTCACTTGGCGCCCAAATATTTTAGAACTGTTCTGTCAAATCTTGACGACAGTTCATTTGAATTCTTCATACATAATTTCTCTTCAAGTTAGATAGAATCAGAATAAAATACTCTATCTGCCATGGAATAGTTATTATAATAATCAAAACGTAAGTGGAATCTTTTCAACTTGAAGATGACTTTGACCGTCTAGAACACTAAAAGTTCTTCAATAATAACACCATAAGCAAACATACGCACACTCACACCACCTACTTGAATCACTTTTAAATTCCATGCTGGATGATTGATACAATTCATTTGGGTGACTTGATTTCTTATCGCAGCTTGCAGTTCTGGATAGCTAACTTTATCTAATATAATGCCAGGGAATAGATCATCGATTAACGACATAAATAATGGTTCATCACGATCGACTAATTTACTCAGATTCATATCACGCAAACACCTCATTACAGAACGGTCCTCTGAATCGTCTGGATTCGCTCGTCTAGCGGCACCAAGGGTACGAAGTACTGACAAAATATTTCGCAAACCGAAATCATAGTGGACCTGGTGAAATCAATCAATAAATAAAAGTAAACTGATGTTTTTTATCTGTTTATCACTTAATCAATATGTATGTTTTACAGCTTACTTACTTATCAAACTTCTTATGCTGTTTTTTGTAACCACCAACTAGCTCTGCTTTTAGCTGACTGAGTTGCTGCTTCTGAGAGCGTCAGAGAGTAGTTACTAAGCAGACTGATTCCATTAATAAGGTTACGTGTTTGCATGAATGTTGAAGTATAAACGCACTGACAAGTGACATTTCTATGCAACTAACAACATTTTAGGTACGTTTACATGATTGCTTGTTTTTAATTCACTTCCGATTTTCCAGATTATTGATTCGACCGAAATGTCCGGCCTTTGTTGATCTGTCGGGGCCTTGTGCAGATGTGTTGAGTATTAACTTGGCAGATTGTGACTAGGAGTGTAATCTAAAATGTTCAATTCTTCCTGTCTGTGACTCATTATCTGCATGTATCTTCACTACCCAGAGAGTGGTGGTGTTCCCACTGAGGCTGGACGTAAAGTTGGAGAGAAAATACGATGGGACACTCGACAGATCTGTATATCGTAAAGACACATGGAGTGGTCTTCACTTGAATTTCAACAGCTTATGCCCAGTGAGACACAAACGAACGCTGGTGAAAACGCTCTTCTCTAGAGCGAAGAGAATATGTTCACCGAACAAACTAGACAGAGAACTAATGCTTCTTGAAAAATGCTTGAAAGAAAATGGTTACCCACAAAGTTTCATTAACGAATATGGGAAGGATGAATTCAAGAAGCTTGATACACCTACAGTCAGTAAGAAGCCTATCTTCATCAAACTGGCCTACAAGGGTGATGACATTATGATAATGGTAAATAAAAGATTAAGCGCAGCCCTGTCTAGGACGTATCCTGCAGCATTATTAGTCTCTCTATACCGAACAACCTCTTCACTGGTGCAGTCAAAGATTGACAAGTGCCCCTCATATGTTACTCCCAGTTATGCATACCAATTCACATATATCTGCGGGAGCAGTTACATTGGAAGAACAGTGAGGAGGGCCTACGTCAGATTCTGCAAACAAGTACCAAGGAGTGAGCCTCCGGTTAAAGGGACCGAATTGTGTAAGCTCTTCAATCGCCAAACACCTGATTGACACAGGACATCGAGTAGATGTGCTGGAATCATTCAAAATAATTAACAGACAAAGTACCTCAAGTCTTCTCAGGTTTACTGAAGCTATAGCAATAAAACGATTGAAGCCTGACTTATGTGTCCAAAAAGAATCCGTTGTTGTGGGACTTCAATTACTCTGGTGACTCACTTCTCAGTAACTCTGTTTTCTAATTTTGTTAACCTATCTTTTCACTCCCCACCCCTCGCATTATTTTTCGCTTGGCTCTCTTAAAAGATAATTTTTCGTTATCTTCTGAGTCCTGTTCACTATATTACATCACCAACTCCTCATGTGACCTCATGTGATCTTCTCTTATCTAATTACGTAACTATTACTAATTTTCTTTTGTTGCCACCCCAACAACACAACTGTTAATCGATTTTTTTTCAACGAACTCTCTAACAAGATATATATATATTGTATATATATCGTAACACTTTAGACACCTTGTAAATCGCAACGCCTTATTTCACTATGGCACTCTGACAATATGCTTGCTAATAATGGACAAAAGTTTGTTTAAATTGTACACTTTTTTATTCTGTTAAAGAATTCAGGTTGTGCGCCGCTTTTGAGAACCGACGAAATAAAATGGATCCAGATTATTGTGCGCGCCAATGTTTCTTCTTTCCTTGTTCAGATTTATAAAAGGGAATCAGTGTATGAAGTTCTAATGACTTTAGGTAATTTTCTGCTGAGTAGCAGCCTTATATTTTTTTTCGGAACTTTGAAACCTATGGATAAGACATACCTCCCAGAGTTAAGAACCAATCGTTCAGTACTGCCCAACTAACTAACCAAATGGTGCACTGTATTTTCGCAGTAAATTTAGAGACATATAGCAACAGAACGATGAGGATTACCTGATAGAAAGAGTATACACTGCATCATGAAAGGTATTCCTAAGCAATTTTACCACTCAACCCTCAAATAAATGCCATTATTGAACCGTGTTTCATCTGAATTTCAATAGTTTTTGTCCGCTAAGCTAAAAGAAACGTCTGTTGAAGACATTGTTCTACCATAAGGAAACGTTTTGTTCGGAAGAAAGACTTAATGGTGAGCTCACGACCACTGAGAAGTGTATATAAGAGAATGAATATCCTCACAAAAATTCATCGATAAACACAAGAGGGTATCAAATATTAAAAGCAACACTTGATACGACAGCAAAGAAATCAGTCTTCTTCAATTGTGGATTCAAAAGTGATAATGTATTTGGAAGAAGTATATATAAAGTAAATGCTCACTGAGGTAAGCAAATGTCGATAAGTTCCCCTCACATTTTATTGGCGAACTCCACATACAAATTTACGTGTGCGTGCTAAAGGATATACGAACAGAACGAAGGATTTCTGATCGCATATCTCGGCATACTCCGAGAAAATTGCATCTGAAAGGTCTAAAATTCCTTAGCAGTGGCGATTGCTCACCACTCTTCAGACAGTGGTCATAAAATCAATGCATTAAAATCCTTTAAGATAATATATAGAAGTTCAAGATAGCTCTAGGTTACTACGCGTCAATGAAGCGATAACCACTAAACGTTTGAAAACAAAGTTAATCATCCAAAAGGAAACCGTCGTTAATCTTACTTTACCTTCGTTAATATATATCTTACGTTCAGTAGTATTCCTACCTTTAATTTTGTCTTTATCTAAATTCTTAACCTGACTCCTTTTTGGCCTGTGTCTGTTGAACCAGATTACCCGTATGTAAGTGTGCTGTTGATTTTACACCTTTCATTCAGATATTTATAAAACACAAAATAATTCAGCCAGCAAAGAATATCCTTTAAATTTATCCTCTTCTCGCTCTACAATTATATCTATATATTCATGTTTATATACATAGAATATTCTAGATTAGTAGTAGTCAATAACAATATTAGTGTGTTTCTATAGTTTTGGTTTGTAAGGATTAGTTATGTTTTACGAGTTGATCACGGATTGATATCAGTTAGAGAACCATTGAAAACCAGGGAGTACTGGACAGCTGCTGTTTCATCCTAGTTTTGGGAATCATCGGCAGTACGCACCCACTGGGTTTCGAACCCAGGACCTTCCGGTTACAAGGCAAGCGCTAAATCACGAATTGGTAGAAGTTAGAATTCACGAGCCATTGAATCGGGTCCCAGTGGCTGAATGGTATACGAGCTTGCCTTGTAACCGGAAGGTCCTGGGTTCGAAACCCAGTGGGTGCGTACTGCCGATGATTCCCAAAACTAGGATGAAACAGCAGCTGTCCAGTACTCCCTGGTTTTCAATGGTTCTCTAACTGATATCAATCCGTGATCAACTCGTAAAAATATTAGTGTGCTTTTTAAATAATATCGATTTGTAAAGTAAGACCACAATGGCTCCTGTGGAGCCAGTTACATAGGCCGTACAATTAGTCGTGTTTCTCGTTGAATTTCCGAACTTCACGCTGCACAGTGGTTGGTTAAGCAAAGGACAAACAAAATCCATTCGCAGCGCTTTTCTATCTCACTCATCTTGTGGATACAGGAAAGACGATTGATTGATGTTAACCAGGCGGCTTTCAGGGTCATTTACCGCATACCTACAAATCTCGATTTCTCCTTGAGAGTTCGACTAGTAAATATTGCTGAGGCTGGTTGGCCGTTGGGATCTATATTAACCAGCCTAATTTGTGCATCCAAAAGAAGTTTGTTGGCTCAGACATTATCCTTACCTGCTTGGCCATTTAGGTTTTAGTGATCCTGAATTTTTGTGGAATTTTCCTAATTTTAGTTGATATTTTAATTCCTACTATATCTTTATTATTATTATTGTTATAATTTAAGCATCTTTAATGAACTGTGGTAATTCCACTGTGATTTTACTTTACAAATCGATATTGATACTGACAACTACTAGTCTAGAATATTCTATACATAAAAACATGCATATGTAGATATAATTGTTGAGCGAGAAAAGGTGGAATTTTTTGAAAAGGCAATATCCATTGCTGGCTCAATCATTTTGTGTTTACACCTTTCATCCATAATCCTAGTGAATTCCTGTTACGTTCCGAGTGGATCATAAGGCTTCAGGCTTCAGCTTTAAAGTTTCAGTAGCAGTGACTTTTTACGGGATAGGGTGCTAGCCCCCCACGCCATAACCTCCCCTCTTTGTCGGTGTTACAACCGGCTAAGTGAGTTGAGGATGTGAGCCGACCGGGAATCGAACCCTGGACCACATGCCTGGTTGGGGGTTAGCATTCTTCAGCTAAGCCAACCACGCACTGGTTAATTATTTTTATTTACTTACTGACCATCTTGCTACTTAATCACGTGCTATCAATATCCCTGAGCTTTAACGTTAGTACGTGAATGCATTATCTGTCTGTCTGTTTTCGACACAAAGCATCCATGATCAACTCGTAAAAACAAAACTAATCCTTACAAACCAAACTAGAGAAAATTAATCTGATCCTCGCTAGTGACTTGCTATAGGATGGAGTTTCCTGGAGTCAGTTCTAGTGAGAAGTCGTGACCACTGAGGTCCATTCAGATGTCACGCGTGAGGATGGATGTCCCACCTACGACAATGGTTGGGGTCGCGCTAAATCATGAATTGGTAGAAGTTAGAATTCATGAGCCATTGAATGGGTCTCATTGGTTGAATGGTATAATATAGAAAACTAATGTTATTTCCGAATGTATTTTATCTTCCTAAAATCTGTTACACGCATGTCCACTGAACTTTTTATATTGACTCTTATTTATTCATTCATAGGTCTAATCATCATGTGTATAAAGAATGTCAGAAAGCTGTGTGAGTAGAGTGCCCTGATATGATTACGAGTGGTAATGAATTGTGCTCGAAACGTGGTGGCATCAGTAAATATTACTTACTGTATAACAACACACTGTGCGATTTTACCAAAATAAAATTTTTTTTCTATAGTGGAATTATACTCTATCTACCACAGTGCCCACATTCTATTCTTATATTAGCAACTAAATTAAGTGAATACATTGGATTTCGTTGAGAGTCAACCCACCAATTCTTTGCCTTACCTGTTTCGTTAACTGTTCTTCACAAAGTTTATAAAGTACATAGAATTTTCGTGATAGAATTATATTTTGCACGAAACCACAAGCAGCCAGCTTTACTCGAATAATGATCTGTCTATCAGGAACCATCATTGATACGGAACGGAAGTTAATCTTCAGATTCTCCGGTAATTCTTGACGTCCAGCATAGCCTGGATTCTGTGTGAATAATATGCGAATACAAAAGAAGTCAAGTTATAAGTTTAAACAAGCTCTGTGTAAAGATGTCTGACTGCGCGATATCAGAGTATGGATGATAAGACAGCAAGTCCACTGGGCAGAAATGAAGTACTCATAGCTAATTTGAAGCAAACACTAAGTCGATAAAAAGCTATCTTGCGTAACATGACTTACAAAGTTCCCCACCTTCCCCATCACAATGTCATATCCCTAAATTTTCAGGTTTTTACAAGCTAAAGTGGATTAATTTCACTGTGTTTGAAATTATAATTAATGATAGATATATTTTGAAATAATAGAGACGATTTGTAGCTCAGGTGGATGATTTGCAATTAATAGTGTTCTCTGAGCTGGTTGGTTTAGTTGTGGAGCTTTCGTCTCCCTCACCCCCCTTCTGAGTAACATCTTCAGCGCAATATTTATCAGAAAGTGAAATGATTTATATCTTTCTGGATTGACTGATAGAATCGCGTCTCTCGGTAACCATCTTTGCATCTATATTGATTATTTTTTATTGACTTGGATTTTGACCTTTCTCGTCACATGATCTACTTTCTATTAGTTGGTATATTTGGTCTATATTGACGTGTTTGTTAACTGCATACTCGTTTGAGTACCAGGCTTCTAGGAATTCCCTGGCACTTTTCGTAGTATTTCCTCTGTCTAAAATTTCGACATTATCCCAGTTATCAAACTGGTGAAAGAATAAATGTCGTGTGTTTTCATGGCTGATTTGTGTTTCTGGATTCTGATGCGACATCCTGGGGACGCCCACTTCGACCACTGATGTAATGCTTGTTGCAGTTCATACATACAATTTATTTTGTCAATGGTATTAATTTTATCTCCTTTTTCTGTTGGATGTGTATTTCGGTTTGCACATTATTGAATGAAGTGATTTGACTGGCTGGCTGGCTGGCTGGCTTGTGTGCTATATCTATCTATATCAAACGGTTTCAGTATTCTAGCTGTTATTTCAGAGATATTTTCGCTTATATATGGTGGGGGTGGATTTTCTTGTGCTCTTTGATGATGGTTCCTTGTTGGTGTTGTGATTCATTCGATTTAAAACACTTTTTGACAAAATTTTGTGGATAACTATTCTTTTTGAAGACCATTAGTAGGTATTTTTCTTCCATTCTTTTCAACGCTGGAGTACTACAGTGTGTTTGAATTATGAAGAAAATAAAAGACAGATTCAGCGAAGAAAATTTTTTTAATCAATGAAACCATCTCCAGAGGCTGTGCAGTCGTATTTATACTTAGAAAAATATATAGTGGTCTATTATTGAATTCTCTTGTGAACAATGCCTGCACACAGTTTCTTTTGTGAGTAATTGGAAGGACTACGAAAGCTCCGCAACTAAACCAACCAGCTCAGAGAATACTATCAATTGCAAATGACAGATTTGTTTCAGCAGCAGTGGTAGTGAATCATCAAGAATCTGAATAACCTGCCTACTGGGATAACTCAGAACTCTAAACAGGAGTACGCCAGTTACTACACCACTCACTGTTAAACACATATATTAGAGAAAGTCAGATACAGTGATTCAAAAGAAGGGACAACCACGGGTTTTATGAAGAAAACAAAATAAATGTGGGAGGTTCCAAACCACTCCAAGTCAACTGTCCATTTCTCTCTGGTTTTCAATGGTTTCGTAAAGAAATCAATTTCTTCTCCAACCTAATCCTAATTCAGCTCGTTGAGAAGGGCAGAGATGTGGCATACACAGAACATGCTTGTCTTAGCTCCCTGAATCAATAAAGCTTCACATCTATATTGTTCAAAGTACCTTCCTAGCACCTAACCTTGTTATTACTTAGAATACTGGTGGAAAGAAGACACCTTAAGTCACAGATTATTAATCACCTAGCATCTTTACCTTTTACAGCTCGTCTTCACAGTCACAAATTTCGACAAGTAGGAATGCTATGCACTATGAATACATGATGAAAAGTCAAATAATAACTTAATACCTGAGATATTCGAAATTGACGCGTACCACCTCTAGCAATATGGTGAAATTTAAAAAAAAAATTGGTGAAATTGGGCATCCATGACTCACACCACCGGTTGCAGTAAGTAACCTTAGATGATAACTCTCCTTAGGCTCTTGCATTACTGCGCCGTTTCTAACACATATGATTATTAAACCTTATTTCAACTTTAAAACGCACTCGGTTTTGTCTGCTCTGTTTTTCCACAAGCCCCACTTAGTCTTTGTAGGATTATGCGATCAAGTACCTTAGAAAATATGGTAGTCAAGCTAACCTAACTTTGATTACCGTAAACTGGTTGATACTTTAGTTAGTCTAGTCAATAATTTGTCACTGACAGTCAATAAACACCTCTGGAGTTATACGATCCAAACTGGGTTCAATATTGGTAATTAATGTGGTAACATCTTATCGGATAGAGGGTGCTTGCTAGTCGACAGTTTGCACCTTTATGGATCCTTTCTTACCACTTGTCATTTATTATCAAGGCGTATATCAGTTATTCAGGAAACTGACATTACCTCCGAGGTCTGAACCATTATCACTCAGATGACGATTGACCACTTACTTGGCTGTATTGTATATATGAGGATGACTTCATGTGAATCTCGAAGTAAAACATCAATTTGCGGGCATAACTTTCTGTGGTCAGACTGCTGCTGATATCTGGAAGCAAATTGTTGGGCACGAAAGCGCTCAGCGGTGTTCTGGCATTTATATTAGCGATTGGACTAGGCATTTAATGAAGGAAATGTTTGCCACCAACCTGCGGAGTACCATACAGTTACACTGCTTATCATCTAGTGGCAGGGTTGCATATTTCACAACTATTTCAGATAGGCGGGGGGAGGGCGCATGATTAGGCAGGTTCGCCTAAGGGTTTGAAAGCATTTACCAGCTTGGTTCAGCAAGGGTGTGGGGAAATTAAGTGCATAGAAAGCTCGATCTTGTCATACTTGGTCGAGATTACTGGACATCACGTCGATACCAACACAGCTTTCAGGATTATATACCGAAGCAGTTGTAATAAGATCGAACAAAAAGAACACGTTCAGACGCTGTTCCTAGCGTGGCCAAACTTGGATTGATGATTCCTCTTCTCACCAAGACTGCTCCTTCCCCTTAACCCACTTGGTATTTTTCCTTTGCTAATTATTACAAATATTATTATTACAATTATTATTGTTATTATTCGTCATAATTTATGCCCTTCATGCATACATTCTCTCAATACTGTCGAATTTTTCATTTATACCATCCGGACTTATTATTAGTGATATTATCTCTTTTCTCAATATATGCCTCCACCTCTTTCTTCATTTCACATATGCGTTATTCATTGTGAACCACCTCTCATTGCAGTCTTCCTATCTCCTGTTCAATACATACCACTTTGTACTAGCTACTCACTCACTTGACACATTTTATAACACTGAACTGACTTACTTGTCAATTTTCCGACCCCACATTCTACGAATCTCTTGTGACTAATCACTACCACCACTATTGTCTCCCATTTCACCGATATACTTTGTAATCGATTTCAGCCCAGAGCAGGTTTGTCACACTCAAATACGACTATTTATTTATTTATTTATTTTGACACCCCATAACTGCTAATCTGTTGTTATTCTACGTTAAGGCAAAATAAATGTATCCGCTGCACAATATTTCACACTATTAAATCTTATTTCAGATAGCTATCATCAACCGGTTTGCCTTGTCAATTTTCTATGAGCTTTGCCATTTACTTGGAGGAAAGGTGTATCACATTACATGATATGGTCAAGAAATGATAATAAGCAAGGAGTCGAAGGATTTAGTTTGAATTTATTTCGCTGGAGAATCGATTTCCAGAAATAGCGCTATATGTAACTGATATGATAACCAGAATCATGCCAATTAACGAAAATTTTTGACAAATCATTTCAAGCAATTTTTATAACTTAATAGTGCTTCCTTTCAAATAACCCCTGACAAAAAACATGGGTTTACTTACCATTGTTAGAAAAAGTCCAAATTCTGGATTCAGGTCGACATTGTCACCATCAGAGAATATAAATGATGTTTTGCCTTCACGTTTAGCTGATAAAATTATAGCAATTTGTTGTGCTGCAACTGATAACACAGGCAATTCAATTCGATTAAATTCATCAAAGCATCCCCATGAACCTGATTGAGCTAAGCCTTTGAAAATTCTTCCTAGCCCACGAAAGTCCATTTGGTCTGAACAGTTGAACACTACAACATACTTTCCTAAACATCGACCCATATCCTACAAGTGCAAAGTTAGTGAATGTCGTATTGAATATTATATATTAACCCGACAGATATAGACGGAAAGGCTGAAAAGCCGTTAACTAACCCGCTTAAGGAGCTTAGAAAAAGTGGAATAATCTCAGAAGCAGCCTACAACCGTCTTAAACCTACTGGAAGTAATACTTCACGATTGTATGGTCTGCCTAAAGTACATAAACCAGGAATTCCTCTTCACCCAGTCCTAGATATGTCTAATTCCACCTAACATGGAGTGGCAAAGTGGCCTACACAAGATGATAGTAAATCATAGTGTTAAAGACTTTTTTGAATTCATCGCTAACGTGGATGATATCAGTGTAAATGGGAAGCAAATGCTATCCTTAGAAATACCATCACTGTTCACTTACGCAGACTGTGGAATTCATATCCCAACAGATACTAGAAAAACAGTTCGACATCAGAATTCCAGTTATTAGTCTGAAAGAGTTGCTTTTAAGATGTACCATGAATGTACGCTTCACATTCAACAACTTTTACTGCAGACAAATCGACGGCATTGCCATGGGTGGTACTCCATTGGGGCCAATTTTGACAGATTTCTTTCTTGGTAAGGTTGAAAATGGTCCATTGAAACAAGTAATAGAAAAAAGTGATTCTTATTTTCACTATTTTGATTATTCGTTTATTATTCTTGATGGGAAAGCTGACAAGAATGAAATGTTAAAAAAGTTAAATGATGCACATCCATCGCTCATCTTCACTTGTGAAGATTACCTGGACGTCCAATTGAGCAGAAGAGAGGATGGTTCACTCAAGAGAGATGTCTATAGAAAACCTACATCTGTAGGACAATACAATACACATTTCCTCAGTTTTGTACCAATCCGATACAAAGTCAATTTGGTCAGACGCCGCCTCACAAATAGAGCAAAACGTATCTGTACAGATGACTCCCTAGAAAATGAGTTAGGATACTACATCCAAAATACGCTAGTCCAAATGGGTTATCCTAGTAGATTTAATAGGAGACACATGAACACCAAGTACAACAAAGAGAAACTGACAAGACAGTTAAAAAGAAACAACTGTTCATGAAATTGCTACTTAATGGGGACGTGGCTAGCGAAGTCTTACATCTGAAATTATCGAGAGCAAAAAACTGATTGATAATCCCGCCACCCTTTGTTTGTCATTTTCCAAACGACCGATCAGTTATGATTGCTCAAGCTAAAGACAAGCTACCAAGCTGTACCACTTCTATGTGTATCTATAAATTTAGTTGCTCCTGTGAAGAGAGCTGGCTATATAGGGCGAACAACTAGACAGCTTAAAAAACGCATTGAGAGCATCTTCCTTCATGGTTCGGAAAAAGTCAAATGAAATCTCCAAGAAGTTCTGTTTTGGCTCATTTGATTGATGATAGTGGTCACCAAGTGAACAAAACTAGTGCCTTCAAATTTATCTATCGCATTCCATCGAGCCTTTCGAATCCCGCATTTTACACACAGCCGAAGCTATGGGAATTAATTCGAGAGAACAATCCTAGTGTCTTTGCATACAACAAAAGAAGTTTGTTCTACCTTTGTCTCTCCCTTGTTTAACCTAGGTGAATTCTAATCAAAATCCTCCCATCCTTCCTTATTTTCTGTTTCCTTCGTATTTCTATGATATTTATTAAAAGTCTGATTATCTGTCCACTTCCTCTGCTTTTAGTATTACATAACCTATAAGATTTGACCTAATTTATTTATTGAATTGTTTTCTGATTGCAGTAGATTGGATAATGCGACAGATAGCGCACAGGGCAGCGAGGAAACGGACATAAAATCGACCCTCACGGAAAACTTGGAGGATCTGGACTTCGTCGCCGATATATTTCTGACTTCTCACAAACTTGAAGATATGCAAGTGAAAAGTAACAAGTTGGCTGAAGAAGCATTCAGAGAAGATAGGACTTCAGGCGAACATAGAGGAAACAAAGGTGATGAAGATTCCTGGTCAACACCAACAGCAACAACAACAAAAAAAGACAACAATCAGCCTGCATTAATGGGAGGAACCTGAAAGAAACAATCTGCTTTACTTACCCAACGACCTGGAAAGTATCGTTTCAACTACAGGCGGACGGAACTGACGAGGATATCAAAGCAGCGAGGATCGGAAAAGCAAAACAAGCTTTCATTAATCTCAAGTCTGTGTGGAGGTCAACACCACTCAGCATGAAAACGAAAATGAGATCCGGATTTTCAACTCCAATGTGAAGTCAGTCAGTGCTACTCTCCATAGGGATCAGGGACTTGACCAGCGCGTCATAGAGAGCATCTCAAACAAACTACAGACCTTCATCAACAGCTACCTTCGCTCAATTCTACTGAAGATTAGATGGCCGGCCAGAAAAGATCACCAACAGGGTGGGATCTCTGGTAATGAGCAAACCAACTCAGCAGGAACCGATTGTGCAGCCAACAGGCAGGAAGAAATGGAGATGGATTTACAGGCCATACTCTGAAGAAACAAACCATCAAGTGAGTGACATCACTAGACAAGTCATTGCTCGAGTGGAACCTAACCGAATGGGAAGTGGCGAGTTGGTCGTCAGTTCGAGGGTGACTTGGAGGAGGTCATGTGAAGAGGAAATGTAAGCATGTGGGCAGACGTGGAGCGGGGTGAAGAAGTTGGTAGAAAACCGAAAGCAGTGGAGAAGTGCAGCTGAAGCCCTATGTTCCTCTATGAATTCAGGGAAATAATAATAATGTATGGGATGTGTCATAAACACTTGTGCAATATTCAGCCTTGTGGTGGAACATGTTTTTATTTTGGCTTCTCCGATAAATAGAAGCCGGGTTGCCCAGTAAGTTTATCCAATGACAGTATCTGTTTGAAAATCCCAGAATTTATTGCCCAACTGTAAGTCAACTTGATGTAGATAGCTTTTTTGGGACAGACTAGACAGACCATAGGCTAGTAACGTTGTACATATTTTTTTCGTTCAATTTGTCGTCTTATGAATAGCAAAATGCAGTCAGTTTATTGTAAACATCCGTGTTACTTAGACTGCAATGAATAAACCTGCCTTCATGAAAATGACAACAAAAAAAAATACAATACAACTATTTAAACCGTTTCTTTCAATGTATTTACCTTGACAGTTTCAGTTTTTCCAGTCCCAGCTGGACCAGCTGGTGCCCCACCCAAGTTCATATTTAATGCTTGAGCCAGTGTTATATAACATCGATCTGTCAATGGGGTAATTACTAGGCGTTCTGTACAACCAAGAAATTCGTTTTGATAAACAAAATCCACATCAGTAATTGATATTACACACTTATCGACATTTTCCATAAAATATGTACGCGTCTGTTTCGTCCATTCAAAGTCCACAGATGAACGTATACCCAATTTACACTAGATATGGTAAGAATAAAACTTTTATTTACAGGCCATATATAGAACAACACTATTTATAGAATAATATTTCTGCTTTATAAGTTGCTGTAAGGTTTATTGAATCGGAAAACTGACTATTTCAAAACAATTCTTTGAGATAAATGGCTTGAAATGTGTTTTTGAAGTGTTAGTTAATTATTCAGATGAATTTGATAACGACTCACTTGATGGTAGTAGGTCGGACACTGTGATTTCAGTTTCTCAAAATATTACTCAACATATATGTCATAGGGAAAGTAATTTAGCTGCTAAAGCTAGAAGATTTTCGCTCACTTCTGGTTGATTTCTGCACGAGTAAGTGATCTCAATGAATGACCTTTCCTCACAGCTGAAAGCAGCTTGTTTTGTGATCTTTTGATTCCACGTGTGTTCTAGTGTAAAGACTCTGTTGCATTGTTTTTATTATATACATTTGGTGTTCATCCGATGGACGCAGATCCTGTGATTAGCCTCACTCTCCACCTAAATTTATTACTTAAACCTTATCTCATTTTCAAGGTGTGACTACATAGACGCACACACGCATAAAATGACCGAGTTTCATGTGATCTAATCAACTTAGTGGAATCTGCCATTCTGGATCTAGACTAATTTCGACGACTCTAATCTACTGACGTGACCTATGTACTTAGCCATACAGTTATTACATGGCAGTAGATTTCTGAAGCCGAGAAAAGTCGCCTTTCACTGTATACGTGTGTGTGAATACGTGTGTGATTATGAATCCTATGTAGACCTTCGTATATCCCGTTCTTATGGTTTTAAAATTCCATATCAGTCATACTATGATCATTGCTAAACCTTTTCTAATGTCTCTTTCAATTTTAGATAAATTCTACTGAGTTCTACAGCCACAGGAATGCCAAGAGTGGACGAAATTCACATGGAAGCATTGAAAATGAATCCAGAGACCAAGGCGGATATCCTCAAGTCACTATTGCAGAAAGTTTTTCTACTGATCAGAAGAAAGGCTAAGCCTATGCAAAGACTGGTGAGGAACCATTCTCTTATCTCCTCCAAGCAAAGCTCTAAGTCACATCATCCTGGAGAAACTGAGAGATACTCCTTTTTTTAAACTCCGACCAAAACAAGCTAGATTCGGGAAAGGCAAATCATTTTAGGATCAAATTGTGGCGCTACTCAGTATTATCATCAAACAAAGCGCTGGATGACAGTCAACTCTATAACTCGACTTCATTGACTTTGGAAAAGCTTTCGATAGTGTTGACCGTGAAGAAGTTAGTAAACCGATTCAACATTGCAGAGTGTTCCAAACGTCTATGAACTTCATCCAGTAGTTGTATGATGATGCCAAATATCAACTGATTCACAGGGGAGAATTAGTGAAGTCTTTAAAATGAAGACAGGAGTAAGACTACCACTGATGACATTGCTGAGTGTGATGCACTAGTTCATGTTGAGGACATCGAGAAGACTCTAAAAGATCTAGGCTTCCTGAAAGACTTGTGCTCAACGATACATAAACTCGAAGGTCTGCAGGCAGAAACCAACAATTTGGTAGGAGATGTAACGAATACAGGGCTTTAGGTGAGCATAGAAAAAAAGATTTGATGAAGATAACCAACCAATCAACAGCAGCAAGCGCTAATCACTGTCACCAGAAGAGATTCGAAAGACGCTACTTCTTTCAATGAAATGGGCAGCACTGTTTTAGCTGCAGGTTGCACATATGAAGTTGCCATATGTAGGATCGGAAGGTCAAGAAACACCTTCAGCACCCTGAAATCAGTGTGTAAATCTGTTGCACTTGGCTTAGTGATAGAGATCCGGAACCTCAACGTCAGTGTCAAGTCAATGCCTCTGCATGATCCTGAGACATTCATTTCCAGCAGGCTGCAGACTTTTATAAACAGTTTCTTTGTCGGCTTAATGCTGAAGACCAAATGACAGATCAAAAAGGATAAGGAACAAAGAACTGTGGCAGCTGGTGAACAAACCAAGATCCTGTCGTTTGATGAAATTGTAGAAGTAAGTGGAGACGTACTGGACATGTCCTGAGGAGACCACTGAAGGACAGACATCATGTGCCATGCTGTCGAGTGGAACCTGAGTTGACAGTCCTAGTGTAACATAGAGGAGATCATATGAAGAGGAGATAAGAGCTTATGGGTAACTGTTGAACCAGACTGGAGTGTTGTCAAAGCCGTATGCTAAACTCGACACCCGAAAGATTAGTAATAATAATCATTCTGCTCATTTGTATTGTTGATGACAGTTATTGTCCAGTGAACCTCGACTCTTTCTGTAGCATCCTTCTCCTTAAAACACTTATATTAATCTTTAAAAAGCACTATTTACCCGGTGGACCCAACTGGACAAAATAATATAATTTACAAAATACCCTGCAATCACTATTAGTTAGGTCAACCACCTACATACGTCAAACTAGTAGATCGGGGGTAATCAGACTGTCGGAACACAAGAATTTAGCTAAGGTAAGAATGGTTGAACCCACCCGAGAAGATTTAGAAAAAAAGCTCAGCTATTGCAATGCATGCATTAACACACAACCAAACAATAGTATGTTGGGAGAGGGTTAAAATTCTAAGAAGTAATCTATGGAGGTGGAGAGCGAGAGAGATTGATTACTGAATCCCACTTTGTTCATCGAGTCTACACTCAACACATACAACAGAAATGACTCAATGAAAATACCAGAGATATGTATGGAAAATATTATTACCACCAGTCAGTCAATTAGTCAGCCAGTGAAATCAGAGGAGGATAATAAATAATCCTAAATTGTATTCTATTTCAATTCACGTACATCATCATACCAGTCCAATAAGTTACTTATTATGACTATAAAACAAATACACTCGTCTTATTTCCTATCTGATTGTACTTGATCAATAACACTCGTACTATTATTATTATTTCTGAATGTACATTATCCCATATTACTGATTTGTATTGAAATGTCTAATCATCAGTTCCACACATGTATATAAATGAAGGAAAAAGGTTGTATGAGTGAGTGACTTGATATGATTATGATTGGCAATGGTTTGTGTTCCAAACATGGTCATCAATCGATATTACTGTAAAGCAACACTACACTATGTGACAGTATATCAAAATAAAATCTCCTCCATTATGGAATCATACTTACCAGTTCGTCGAATATATCTCGTTGATGTACGTGAATAGTGATTAATGTTTCATATTTTGTTCGCATTGTTTGACTAAGATCACGCGTTGTTTCATGAATTAATTTATTTAAAATTTCCAAGAAATGCTTATTTGTCTTTGACATGATTTTAGGATCATCTCTAGCCATATTCAAGGCATCTGTGGAATCACTTGTCCATAGAATTTGTATGCCTAATAAACCGATTTGGGCTAGTTGATTATCAAAGAATTCGGTCAAGTCAACTCCAGGATCAATGATTTCATAATATGCTTTACGTATTAAATCATGTAGAGATGCTTGACTAAAGCGTAGTAGGACATTCAACCAGTGTTCAACATGTCCTTCACATTTGACTGGCTTTCTCATCTAAAAAAATAATTAATAATAATTTAAAAGACTATAAAGGTATGCATATAAAGGCTAGTGAAAAATTCACGCAAAGATCCTATTCTTCAGATAAATCACCGTTTGTATGATTGTGTTAATATACTTCAAAAAATGAAAGGCCCTTCAGATAGTAAAAGTTCTACAGTTGGGGGAGCCCCCTGTAAACAACCTGATACGGCCGAGGGTTGGTAGACTGTGGAATTCCTCTTGAAATGACAAGTAAGTTCTATTCACTGCCTTCATGCGGCGAGGACCTTCACTACAAAAGTGAAAGGGCGAATGAGAACTTCTGATGTTTACAAATATGTGGGTCGTAAGGGGATGTTTGGTTTGTGTAGTTTTGGTCTACCATAGAATCGAGGTAAAATAGGCCCGTTAGATCTCATTCGCCATTGATCCTGTTCTGTAATTTGTCTTGATTTCGTTAGTTTATTTAACGTTGTTCTGAATTTGTTATCGAATGTTTGTATAGGGTTTTTTGTCAACTGTTGATATACATTATTATCTTTGAGTAAATCCTCTGCTTATTTTATGTAGTCTTCTGTGTTCAGGATTACTGTTGTTCCTCCTTTATCAGCCGGTAGAATAACTATATCTTTTCTATTCTTTAGTTTCTTCAATGCATTTTGCTCTTCAGTGCTAAGTTGGGAATTATGTCTTTTCTGTTTGAGTATAGGTATGATACATTGACGTATTTCTTGTTGTACTTCGCCATTCAATTTTGATAATTTGAATGATGATTCTAATGAAGCACAATAGTCTCTTACTGAAGCGTCACCAGTATTGTAGTTGAGTCCTTTCTGAAGAATATGTTCTTCGGCTTTCGATAATGGTTGTTTTGACAGATTTACTACGCAATCATTTAGAGTTTCTTCAGATGGTTGCTTGGATATCTCAGCTAGTTTTCCTTTGAGAACAGCTCGTCTTCGCTCCTTGTGCCGTTTGCTTATCAATTTAATGGCAGTATTCAATGTTGACAGATGTTCTGGGGTAAGAGTTTGTTAAAGCTTCTCTTTCTGAAATCTAATCATATGCTGATATTTTTTAATCCTATTGTGTGCATCCGTGATCATTAATCTCACCATTTGTTTTCCATGTTGTTTGGCTAACTTCCAGCCTAGAGAGAAGTTAATTGGTGGTTTATATTTGACAGAAGCTGGTAGAATCTGCTGGTGGAGACATTAGTGAAGAAAGATCCCATTTTTCGATGTCTTAATCAGGAGAACCAACACAGGAAATTTAGAAACACAAGTATATAGAAAATCAACGCTGACACACAGATCAAATACTCAACTATTCTAGCAATAATCCAATTAGTCACAAAAGAAACTGTGTGCAGACATTGTTCACAAGAGAGTTCAAACACACATTGTAGCACACCAGAGTTGAAAAGAATGGAAGAAAAATACTTACAAACGGTCTTCAAGAAGAATGGTTATCCAAAAAATGTCATCAAAAGGTGTTTAAAGTCGAATCAAAGCACCAACAAAGAACCATCATCAAGGAGACCAAAAAGAAATTCATCCTACCATACATCAGAAATATCTCTGAAATATAACGGCTAGAATAATGAAACCGTTTCATATAGATAGATGTAGCACACAAACCAGCCAACCGAATCGCTTAATTCGATCTTATGCAAACCAAAAGATCCGATAGAAAAAGGAGATAAAATTAACACCATTTACAAAATAAATTCTATGAACTGTATGTAACAAACATTACATCGGCTGTCGAAGTGGGCGTCCCCTTCGAATAAGAATCCAAGAACACAAATCAGCCGTGAAAAGACATGATATAAATTCTTTAGTATCAATGCATGCAGACAATTATGGACATCAATTTGATAACTGGGATAATATCAAAATCTTAAACAGAGGAAACACAACACCAAAAGTGCAGTCAGGGAATTCCTAGAAGCCTGGTACTCAAACGAAAATGTCATTAACGTTAATAAAGATGAAATAAATCAACTATTATTATTATTATTGTATCCTTTAGTTCCTAGAGGAACATAGGGCTTCAGCTGCGCACCTCCATTGACTTCGGTTTTCTGACAACTTTTTCACCCTGCTCCAGGTCTGTCCACATGCTTTCATCTCCTCCTCGCATGACCTCCTCCAAGTCACCCTTGGACGACCAACTCGCCGCCTCCCTTTCGGGTTCCAATCGAGGGCTTGTCTAGTGATGTCACTTGATGGTTTCCTCAGCGTATGGCCAATCCATCTCCATTTCCTCCTGCCTATTTGTTTCACAATCGGTTCCTGATTGGTTCGCTCCCAGAGATCCCTGTTGCTGATCTTTTCTGGCCATCTGATCTTGAGTATTGAGCGGAGACAGTTGTTAATGAAGGTTTGAAGTTTGTTTGAGATGCTTTTTATAACTCGCCAAGTCTCTGATCCGTATAGTAGCACTGACTTCACATTGGAGTTGAAAATCCGGATCTTATTTTTGATGCTGATTGCTGTTGACCTCCACACAGATTTGAGAGTAATGAAAGCTTGTCTTGCTTTTCCGATTCTGGCTTTGATGTCCTCGTCAGTTCCGCCTGTAGTTGAGACGATGCTTCCCAGGTAGGTGAAGGAGGTTGTTTCTTTCAGGTTCTTCCCATTTATGCTAATACAAAGCAAATCAGGTGACCAGAAAGTTTCAAATCGCAATCAATAGAAAACGGTCAATACATATGTAAAGATGGTTGGTCACCAGGAGACGCAATTGTATCATCCATCATTCATGGAGATTTTAGATCATTTGACTTTATGCTAAATACTGCGCTGAAGATGTCGTCCAGAAGGGTGACGACGAAAGCTCCGCAACTAAACCAAACAGCTCAGAGAACACTATTAATTGCAAATCATCCACCTGAGTTACAAATCTTTTCTATTATTTCAAAATATGTGGGGTGTACGCAGGCTTCAGAATCTGAAAGGATTCAGTGGCGTATGAACCTATTTTTGGCCATTAACAGCACTATGGAAATGTAGCTGAACTACTATGTGGGCTGCGAAGGCTCGGAGATGAAAGGTGGTCCCTTAAGACAACCATCTGCTTCGGTCTAAGGGTTCAAGTCATATCCTCCCAGTCCTCACACTGACCTCTTAATACACAATTTACGATATAAATGCATTCAGAGTAGAAAAGATAGACTTGACATTCACTATCTTATGAGACCTAGTTTCTAATTAACTGGTCTACATTCATACTCTGTTCACCCACTCAGTCATTAAATACTCTTCAATAACTTCAGCACTTTTTGCTCCTACTAATGTGGAGAAGTGTAAATTTATAAATTTGCTCTTCTGGGAAGGCTTGGCTTCATAAATAGCCTTATAGACAAGAATATACCTTCAAATCCTATGAAAGGTGACTTATCATCCTCACCCAAGAAAATACTGCACATGAGTTTGGAGTTTAAAGGTGACTTAGCTTCCGATATCCTGAAAAGAAGGATATCACAGTTCCTGAAAAGAACATTCCCTGCTACATCTTTGAGAATAGCCTTTACCAGTTGACCATTACTGTACAATAACCCGAAGGACAACTCTATGTGCGTTATCAATTCGCCTGCTCGAGTGGGGCTAGGTATATCAGTCGTTCAACTGGAGTTTTGTCCAAGAGGGTGCAAGAACATTATCGTGACTGGTGGTTACGAAGAGGTGAGGGTAAAGCCATGAGAAGCGCGATCATTGAACATCTGATCACCCTATCTCTATAGCTGCCGCCTTTAAAGTCATCTACAAGGCAAAAAATAATCTACCGAAATTACTGCGTACACGACTTATCTGCATTGCTGAAGCAGCTTTGACCATCGAAACTGAAAAGCCAGATCTCTGTACGCAGAAAAAGTTCGTTCAAACCATCTCCTCCAACTTTCATGGTCTTTTTTTATTTTATTTATTTTTGATTACAGCTTGATTCCACACTGTATTTTTGGTACAAGTGTGGAATTATCAGCATGGATATAGGTAGCCCGAATTTTGCAAGCCGACCATAGATATCAGGTGTGCGTCAGTGGCAGGGGATCGAACCTCGGACCATGTGAATGGTCGGCGAGAGTCCTAACCACTGTGCCACCGACGCTAAAGTATGGTAATCCCTACTTGACAAGTAAATGTGTGATCATTCACATAATCCCCGTCTTCTTTTATTGTCTGTTTACCTGTTGGCCCTACTGCAAAAATAGTACTATGCTGAAAACTATTCACAGAGTGAACTTGTATTGACTTCTTGATGAAAAAGACCACATAAAAATGAAGGATATTTTATCTAAGAATGGATATCCTGAGAAGTTCATTAATAAATACTCTAAAGAAATTGGCCCTTGCAAAACAATCCAAACAGTTCCGAAGAAACCTGTCTATATCAGTTTACCGTTCAAAGGAGATGATGTACAGGAAGTAGGCAAACGAAGAGTCGATAAAGCCATCAGGAGAAGGTATTATGCTGCAAATCTTGTTATTTTTAACACCACTAAGCTAGTGCTTCAACAATCTGAGAAAGACCAGTCGCCAATCCTCGACACTTCAAACTGCGTATATCAATTTGATGAGTATGTTTGTGGAAGCAGATACATAGGTCGTGCAGAAAGGCGATTGTCTACTCGCATGCTGGAGCATTTCCCAAAATGATTGAAAACAGCAGAGTGCAAAGTGCCAAAATCCTCAATAACAAAACATCTTGTGGATTACGGACATAATATCGACGCGGTCAAGTCATCCACTATTGTCAGCGGACAAAGAAACAAGAAGATGCTTTCAATTGCAGAGGCCTGTGCAATTCGAATTTATAAACCAGCTCTCTGTATACAAAAGGAGATGGTCATGAATCTGAATCTACCATGGTAATACGTTTTACTTATTATTCTCTACTTGTTATTACTATTATTCTACCTCTTCTTCTTATTGTTATTATTATTCTTGATTCATTTAAAACTATGCTTTATCAGTAAGATTATCTTAACTCACTTCAAAACTATTATTATTGTTATTATAACTATTACTACTGATATTAGTCTGTTTGCAATTCTCGTTATATTCCCTAATGACTAATTGTTTATCTAAGTGATGTAATTGAAGCGTAATGCAATTTATCCTTATTTTGATCTCTCATACTCCCTCTCTCTCTCTCCACTTATAAATTTGAACATGACCTGGAAAAAATTCGCACCTGTCTGTCTGCATGACTAATTCAATGTAGTTTATTTGTTTATCGGTCTTATATCATCCGATGTAATTTCAAAAGTATATATGTATATATCCGTGTATGCAGAGTACTTACTGAGCAGCTGACGAGTTCTACCGAAATCTGATGAATTGTTTATTAAATCCTGCTTTATTAACTTTTATTGCTTATTTTAAAATGTTTTTAATCCTTACCAGTGTCGCTACTTTTCTAAATGAAAAAAACAACACCTAAAACAGTTCTGATCCAAACACGTGAGCAGTAAAGCGACTAATTAAGATCAGCGATGTTAAGAAACTTTTTGTATTAATCCTTAACCCGTATTATGCTGGCATGGGACAGTTAACAGAATGCCTTGTGTTCACTTACTGGTAGTTTTTCATTCTCTTGTGAAAATGCTGCTAAAATATCATAAGCTTTCTCTGCGAATTGTACACGTTTTGTATTGTCAAATATAGCGAGCAAATGCTGTTGGATAGCATGAGGATCCGATGCTTGTCCTAATATTTCTAATAGCACTGGATCGGAGACAAAGAAGAATCTCGGAAATAGTAGTCGTTTACGCTCTAAGTAACCAGACAGTGATTTCTGGCATAACTCCAGTTGACTTAACAATCTTGGTAATTGTTCTTGTAATGATTGATCACTTGCACAGCATGCTATAACGTTAGGCGTGTCACGCGCACGTTCCATAACCTTGACCCATGTTTTATCAACAGCCTGGAAACGCTTAGCTTCAGCCGGCAACTGCTTTGCGATATCACCGCCAACAAACACAGCTTCCAAATACACCCATAAATTTTGCACACGCATCCATATTTCCAACACTTCGCTTGTTGTACTTAGTTTTTGTACCCATTCTTGTATAGAACTACGAAAAGGTGCGTTATAACTAGAAAAACAAAAAAGAAAGGAACATAACTGGTGGGTTGATTAACTGTGCAAACTGATTGGTTCATTTATAAGCGGATTCGTAAACAGATACTCATTTTTGATGTGGTTGTATTCTCTGAGCTGGATAGTTAATTTGCGAAGCTTTCATCGCCCTACTAGGCGACATCTCCCTTCAGCGCATACTTCAATCTGTTGAAGTGAACTTTCAGATTTCTCCACGAGTTTATTAATCATCTCTCCTGCTCAGTGACCTTGAACGTGATTGGTTGTTTCTGTGTGTTTTCACTCCCTCTAGGCTACTTGTATTGGAACTGATCGTTTCTTTGACTTGGCCAATGTAGTGTATTTCGCAGTCGTTGTAATTTATTTTGTAGATGATGTTGGTTTTATCTTCTTTCGCTATTGAGTCGTTTGGCTGACATAGAGCCAGTCGGGTGAAATGATTCTGGTGGTTTGTGTGCGACGTCAGTTCCTAAAGGTTGGAATAGTCTTGTAGTGATTTCTGAGATATCCTTTATATGTGGTAAGGAGATTTTCTTTGTGCTTTCCTTGGGAGCTTTTGGTTTGATAGGTTGGCTTGGGGGTTTGTCTTTTGAAGAAATTCAGTGGATACCCATTCTTTTGGAAGACGTCCATGAGCTATCTTTCTTCAATTTGCCTTTAGAGGGAAGTGCTGCAATGATTCCTGGCCCTCTTGAATAGTGTTTGTATACAATTCCTTTTGTGTGTTATTGGATTGTTGCTGTTGTAATTCAGTATTTGGTCTGTATGAGGTGATTTTCTATAAACTTGAGTTTCTAATTCCCCTGTGGTTGTTCGCTTGACTAAGATGTTCAAAAATGGGATTTGGTTCTCGGATTCTTCTTTTCTTGTGAACTTGATGTCGTTGAAGACGTTGTTTATTAAGTTGTGAGTTCTATCCAACTGGTTTCTTTTGATCATTACAAATGTGTCGTCGACGTAGCGTATCCAAATTTCGGGTCTGATCTTTGGTAGGATTATGTTTTCGAGCTTTTGTTTTTGATATTGGCGATCCATTCCATGGGTGTTCCTCTGACTTGTTCATATATTTGGCCCTTGAATTGGAAGTACGTTGTTAGGCACAACCACATCAAAATCACTCACCTGAGCTACAAATCTTCTCTATCATTTATAGATATCCATGAATACTGTGATGTAGCACAGAAGATCAATGATACATTTAATAGTACCTGCATTAAAAAGGTATAGACTGTATGGTTGCCTTATGAAGGCACCGATTACGGATAAACGACAGTGGAAAAAAACAGCTGGCATCATTTCTCAGAAATCTGCTTCACAACGTCTGTTGTATCGTTGGGGAATATCAATGGGTAAAAGGTAGGCTGAATATGATGGAAAAGATTTATATTTCAGGTAAAAAATGATATTGGTGTAGTTTTGTCCCTTGAGCTGAATAGTTTAGTTGCGAAGCTGTCATTATCAATAATATGTAGTCAAACTGAAGTGTATGCTGAACATACTTTCTAGGAAGGCAGTGAAAGGTTCGCGACTGAGCCATCCACCTAGGAGAGTGATGGGTCACTTTGCTTATAGAAGTTATACAGTAGAGTAGTTTGACTACTTTTCCTTCTTGTGTTATTGTACTGTTATATTGTTATTATTCGACCCATGGATTCCAAGTGGAGCACAAGGCTTCCGTCTTGCTCCATTATCGCCCACAAGCTTCCGCTTTCCCCTTCCTTGACCTTCTCCACATCACTATGGGACGGCCGGTTTGTCACTTCTCATTCCACTTCCACTCAAGGTCCTTGCCCGTGATGTGACATGGATGCTTCCTCAGCGTTTCTATGGTAGCAGAAAGCCGCTTGGTGAATTACAATATTTAAGAATCAAATCATCATGGAGAATTTTTCTGAAATCTGAGTGGGTGAAATTCACGTAGTACGTCAAATTATCTTAATATCGAACGATTGTAGGTACTGCCTTCGAAAATAACCAATTCATTGTCTGTTTTACTACTAAAATACTAAATTTGATGGTGTGAAATATTCCCATATTACGTGAATTAAAAGTCAATCTGAACGGAGAATACTCTTTTCAATAATTTCCCCCTTACAATTATAAAGTATAGTATAATATTTGTCACGTTCGTTACAATAAAGGCCAGTTAATTGTGCAGCGGATACATTTATTTTGCCTTAACGTAGAATAACAACAGATTAGCAGTTATGGGGTGTCAAAATAAATAAATAAATAAATAGTCGTATTTGAGTGTGACAAACCTGCTCTGGGCTGAAATCGATTACAAAGTATATCGGTGAAATGGGAGACAATAGTGGTGGTAGTGATTAGTTACAAGAGATTCGTAGAATGTGGGGTCGGAAAATTGACAAGTAAGTCAGTTCAGTGTTATAAAATGTGTCAAGTGAGTGAGTAGCTAGTACAAAGTGGTATGTATTGAACAGGAGATAGGAAGACTGCAATGAGAGGTGGTTCACAATGAATAACGCATATGTGAAATGAAGAAAGAGGTGGAGGCATATATTGAGAAAAGAGATAATATCACTAATAATAAGTCCGGATGGTATAAATGAAAAATTCGACAGTATTGAGAGAATGTATGCATGAAGGGCATAAATTATGACGAATAATAACAATAATAATTGTAATAATAATATTTGTAATAATTAGCAAAGGAAAAATACCAAGTGGGTTAAGGGGAAGGAGCAGTCTTGGTGAGAAGAGGAATCATCAATCCAAGTTTGGCCACGCTAGGAACAGCGTCTGAACGTGTTCTTTTTGTTCGATCTTATTACAACTGCTTCGGTATATAATCCTGAAAGCTGTGTTGGTATCGACGTGATGTTCAGTAGTGCAAAATTGTAGACAACAACTGATGTCAGTGCTTACGTCCCGAACCGGGGTCATGAGAAAAAGCATTAACAGAGCTTAACGTTGAGAAACTCACCAACCAGTCATGACAGACTTAACTTGTGCAAATACAATTCTCACATACATGACTCAGATACCTAAGAAACAGTCACAAGCAGTACAGAATAACCTTCTGCAAGGAAACAGCTAATCAAAAGACATTTCTTCTCCGCCTACAATAATGTACATAGAAATCTATAAATATCTCTTGATTTTCTCAATAAACGATATGTTACCTGACCCTTGTTACAAAAGTACTTACAATCAGTTAGTCACTTACCGATTACTCATCAAGGAGCTTAGAACCATTAATGAATCCTCCAACAATGGTACAATTTCTCCAATACGATCACCTTTTAATAGTAGTTCCCCGCGTGTTTTAAATGCGGCCAGTTTTAATTCTTGATTAGCCCAATCGCTGATAACCATATTCAGCTTTGCCTCAATATCTTTTTCACGTACAGCTGATATACATATATCTTCAACTTCGTCTTTCACATCAAGTATTGGTGCGTCCAGCATATTCTTCAATGTGAAACTTTCTGATTCAACATTGAAATTATAATTCGTTAAATCAGCCAACCGTTGCCAGTGTCTTGGTTTCATCGCCTTATTCGTCATCATTTCTAATAATGGTACTTTTTCGTTGAAATCGTTGATAGTTTTTTCCAAGTCTGTATAGGCTGGCCATTCTTTTAGTGCTTTGGGTAGTCGTTTACACCTGGGTAAATAGAAGAGAATTTTGCTTAGAAATGACTAATAAGTAGAAAGGTATTCTTCGGTTTTGTGATGCACCAAAACGAGTTAATCACTTAGATACTGATATTGAATTTGAAAACCTATTTAGTCGAACAAGGTATCTAGTTCCATCATCCACCCTGAAACTAGAACGCTTCAACTCCAGTCTAGTGGATTGTTGTTATCAGTACAAAAACCTCAAATGTGACAGTAAACGTTTCTTGACAAAGGAGCACAAAGAAGAACTAAAAAAAGCTGATAAATGATGAGAGACTGATAATCACAAAGCCGGATAAAGGATCAGGAGTAGGCCTCCTTTATAGAAGTGACTATATTAAAAAGATGAATGATATATTGAAGGACACACAGAAGTTTCAAAAACTTGAGGAGAAGAAAGATTTCAACAACAAAAAGAGAATGAATTTGCATAGAAAAAGTAGTTGGACAGGACATTATACACATCTCAACAGCTTCGTTCCTCTCCAGTACAAAAGAAATTTAATGAAGACCCTCAGCCACAGAGTCAGAGCTATATGCTCAGAAGAAGTAATTGAAGATGAATTAAGTAAGCATTGTATATGATACTTTGATCGAAAATAGCTACCCCGATAGATTTATCCAGAAACACATAACAAAGAAAGCAGCGGAAAAGGACTACTCACTATCTGTAAACAAGAAGCCACTTTATATACGACTACAATTCAAGGGCGATCAACCAAACAAGTGAGATAATTACGAGGAAATTAGGAAAATCAGTTCAAAGAACTTTTAATGCTGGCGAACTACACGTCTTATTCTCTCTCTACACGACCGATGGGGATTCCTCGCCTGAAAGGTGAAGTACCTAGACTAGCCACTTCTAATTGTATCTACCAGTTCAACTGCACTTGAAGTGGAGCAAGTTATATTGGCCGTTGCTCTAGGAACTTGATTTTTCGTGCTCGCTGACTCGAGAACATATCCTACTATGTCTAAGTAAAGGTGAAGTGAAAACCATTAACAGTTCGATATTAAACCATCTGGTGCAAACTGGCCAGCCACAAAGCCAGCCAGTGTGGAAGAATGCTTCTCTATAATCTACCGGGTACCAAATAAATAGCCAAAACCATCATCGAAGCACCGAATGCTCCAAACAGCAGAGGCTATTGCAATTCGCCTCAAACAACCAGCGCTCTGTGTGCAAAAGAAGTAAGTCCAGCTAGCCACTACTACTGCCCTGACTGCCCTTCAGTGAGACTAGAAACTCATGAATTTGTAATATTATCCTTCCTAATTTTTCTGATATTCAGTTTATTGTTATGTTGATGCTTTAGAACTGTAATCCATTGGTATTATTATTATTATTGATTCGATGTTATTTAAACAGCATTAATGTTGTTCATAATACTAACTCATTCATACAGGAATAATTATAGGAATAATTACAGTTTACATCCTTAGATTTTTGAGTAAATTTTATTAAAGTAAAAATGTAAACACCATTTTTGTAGTTGTTGAAGTTGTATTACCACAAGAAATTGAAGATATGAAAAGGCTAACTGTTTCTGTGATTTTGTTAAGTGATATGATATAGTGAATGATAATAATGTTAGACGTAGAGTGTTGAGTGTGGGTCGGTGGCACAGCGGTTAGGACGCTCGCCGACCATGCACATGGTCCGGGGTTCGATTCCCGGCCACCGACGCACTCCTTTACCTCGCTAAGCTAGAAATAATACTGGTAAAGAGGAAAGGTTGGGTATGAGGCTAGCAACCCCATCCTGTAAAAATTAAACACTGCTACAGAAACTTCAAGCCACTAACTTGAAGCCCTATGTTCCACTGGGGGACGTGAGGGAAAAATTATTTTAAAAAATTATTAGAGTATTGAGTAAGAAGATTAAGGAAGTTGACGAGGTTGTGAAACTATGCCGACTGAGATGGCTAGGGCACGTGTTGCGCATGCCGAGCCATAGCCTTCTTCGACAGGGAATGTTAACAGACATTGGATCAGGTTAGAAAAGAGTTAGGCGTCATCAAACCAAAACATGATATCAGTCTATGAAATCCTCGACAGTTGGTTTGAGCCATGTCAGGAGGCGCGGGCTTCCTAGCTGGAGTCTTCGGTATGCTAAACGCTGCAAACTATGGCTCAAAATCATTCTCAATGTCACAGATGCATTCCGTTTCTGCAATCTCTTATAACTACTATTAAACCTGAATATGCTTCCAAGTTACTATTTTTTCTCCCTGACAAATCTGCATATTATACTACTTCTGAATACTTCTCTTTTTTGTCTGTCTTTGTGTGCTACATGGAATGTGATGGGTTTGACTGATGCACATCTGTGCTAAGTTCTACGTTTAAACTCAGTCAGTCGGTCAGACTACAGTTAGGTGAGTCACACCACGTTGTTCCCGAAAACTGTCAATGTCAGTGAGAAACACACAACATACTGCTTACTTGTTCTGAAATTCTAGTAAATCATTACCAATTTTCTCCATATCCACTTCTTGCCATATAATTTCATAGTAACCAGACACTGTACGATTCACCTCATTGTAAAGACCATAAAGACGTTGTAGAAGATCAAGTTCTTTGCCAATCTGTTGTACACGACTGTAATCAGTTACTGGTAACCCGAACAGTAATTCACCTTTTGTTGCTGTCATAATTTTTCTCAGGAGATTGTCGAAACGATTTTTAAACTGTATTTGTTTGTCAAGTGCTTCTTGAGGAGGTAGGCCTGGAACCATTGGACCTTTCTACAAATGATTAGATTCACAATTATATAAAAGGATGGGAGGGGGGTGGTGTTTAAATTTAAATCGCGACTTTTTATGATTGGTGAACAAAATTTAAAGTACAGTAATCTACAACAAATGTACGTCATGTAGACATGAAGAATGAATCTCATAGAGAATTACTTAAAAAGCTGCTGTTTATCCTCTCGAACTAAAAACAGACAACTTCATTACAATGGAATAAGGCATTTATGCAATAGTCCCTATGCATCTCTGCTTTGTATCTAAGGCATACATGTATTTTGTAAACACATCAATTTTCGGCCGTGTGTGGATTTCAGATCACTTTTGAGTTAGAAAGTCACCAAAAGTAACTTCTGGTATTGGCGGGCATTATAAAAAGGAAGTGAAATAGAAAGTTAGGCATAGAAAACCCACATATTCAAACCGATGTGTGACATTCCGGTTCATCCTACCCCATGTCAAGAAAAATTAGGATTTGTAAAATATTTAAATGACAGTGTAAAACAGCTGAGTAACACAAAAAAACTTAAGACAAGTGGGAAGATACATATGAGACACATTAACATTCACCCCGAAATATTAATCAGGCATTTTTTTGTAAGGAGTAAAGAGTAAAACTAGCAGGACCAGATGGAATCCTAACAGAATCATTGAAAATGGCCCCAGAGACTACAGCGGACTTGACAACACCACTACTGGAAAAGGTGTAGAAAGAGGGCAAAGTACCTGAGGATTAAAAGAAAGGATACTTATTCAAACTTCCAAAGAAAGGAGACTTAAGTCAATGCAAGAACTGCAGCGGCTTTATGCTCCTGTCTACTGCAAGCAAAATATTGAATTGTTTTCTGATTGCAGTAGATTGGATAATGCGACAGACAGCGCACAGGGCAGCGAGGAAACGGACATAAAATCGACCCTCACGGAAAACTTGGAGGATCTGGACTTCGTCGCCGATATATTTCTGACTTCTCACAAACTTGAAGATATGCAAGTGAAAAGTAACAAGTTGGCTGAAGAAGCATTCAGAGAAGATAGGACTTCAGGCGAACATAGAGGAAACAAAGGTGATGAAGATTCCTGGCCAACACAAACAGCAACAACAACAAAAAAAGACAACAATCAGCCTGCATTAATGGGAGGAACCTGAAAGAAACAACCTGCTTTACTTACCCAACGACCTGGAAAGTATCGTTTCAACTACAGGCGGACGGAACTGACGAGGGTATCAAAGCAGCGAGGATCGGAAAAGCAAAACAAGCTTTCATTAATCTCAAGTCTGTGTGGAGGTCAACACCACTCAGCATGAAAACGAAAATGAGATCCGGATTTTCAACTCCAATGTGAAGTCAGTCAGTGCTACTCTCCATAGGGATCAGGGACTTGACCAGCGCGTCATAGAGAGCATCTCAAACAAACTACAGACCTTCATCAACAGCTGCCTCCGCTCAATTCTACTGAAGATTAGATGGCCGGCCAGAAAAGATCACCAACAGGGTGGGATCTCTGGTAATGAGCAAACCAACTCAGCAGGAACCGATTGTGCAGCCAACAGGCAGGAAGAAATGGAGATGGATTTACAGGCCATACTCTGAAGAAACAAACCATCAAGTGAGTGACATCACTAGACAAGTCATTGCTCGAGTGGAACCTAACCGAATGGGAAGCGGCGAGTTGGTCGTCAGTTCGAGGGTGACTTGGAGGAGGTCATGTGAAGAGGAAATGTAAGCATGTGGGCAGACGTGGAGCGGAGTGAAAACTTCAGCAGAGAACCGAAAGCAACGGAGAAGTGCAGCTGAAGCCCTATGTTCCTCTAGGAATTAAAGGAAATAATAATAAAAATAATAAAAAGTAAAACTAGTAATAAAAAGGACGATATACATGACAAACATATACAGAAAGAGGAAAACAGCAACAGAAGGATGTTCAAAACATAACTAGTGCTTCCATACAAAGAAGGAGCCTCGGAGACATTGAGGCAAAGTTTTAACAAGGTAGAAATAAAGGTGACATTCAAACCTACAAACTCTCCTAGAAGTGAATTATGTCAGTTGAAAGAACCTGCTGAAACCACTAAGCAGAATGACCTAAAAGTCATCCAGCAAGTAATACAGTTTCATTAACTATATAATACATCAGATAAACAAATTAATATGATAATATGAGAATTGTCTCTAGGTTTTTCGTTCTCAACAAATGCTAGGGGCTGAAACTATTAAGTTAAAATAATAACAAGTTTATGTTTTGGTTACAGGATTTCATCATGAACTGACATCGGTTAGAGAACCCTTGGAAAACCTGCTGGGAGTACTGGACAGTTAGCTGTTCCGTCAGCCTAGCTTGGGACTCTTCAGAAGTACGCACCCACCGCAGGGAGTTTGAACCCAGAATCTTTTAGTTACAATATAAGCTCATAGACTTTTAGGCCATTGTGACTCGATCCAATGCTCAGCCAGTGCATGAATTCCAACTTCTGCCGAATCACGATATAGCACGACCACTAAGCAATCTCATTGACGAGTATCTGTCCCCATACCCGACCTGCTGTACCCTACTGCTCACGACTTCCCACTAGAATACCAGATAACTACCTACATGAATAGGGCCAACGAAGTTCCTGCAAAGTCCAAAGCACAGCCATTCTTCACAAAGCTGAGAGAAAAAAGTACTTTCTGCAACGTAGATATATTACAGCAAGCGAAGAAGTGACCAGTCCATTTTCTAATTGGTTAATTAGAGATAGTCTTATAACATAAGATTCCAACAATTTCGCAACTAACTGAAAAAAAAATTATGTCATTTTCATTCAAAAGTACAATAATTTTGAATCTCAGAAGGGGAATGAGTTCCTTCAAGGCTTCAGATACGTCTTGCTGACGAGTGCCAACTAGCACGAAACCTAGGTCCAAGACTTTCTGTGGTCGATTGCCTCCAACTATCTAATATCATCAAATCAATGTTCACCGTGATGGCGAGCTAACTAGTGGAATGGCGGGCACATTGCAAACCTGACTGACAGATAGAATTCAGTCTGCGCCAAAGAAAGGACTAGCCAGACACGTCACCCTGTGCGTTGGTGGCACAATGGTTAGGACTGTCGCCGACCATGCATATGGTTCGAGGTTGGATCCCCTGCCGACTCACACCTGATATTATTTATGGTCAACCTGAAAAATTTGGGCTACCGATATCACAGGTTGAAAATTGCATACTTGTACCAAAAAATACAGTGTGGAATCAAGCTGTAATCAAAAATAAAAAAAATAAAAGAATATCCTTGTCGACAAAAAAAAACAGACATCAAACAGTATATAGCAAAATAAAATCTAATCTAATTTACCTCATCATAATCTGCTTCAAAAATATCCGTTGATTCTTTCAGTGACTTAACGCTGTCTAATAAACCTTCCTTATAACTTTCTTGTATTGATAGAATGTGGTCAGTTGTTGTGAAGACGCGCTCTTTAATCCGACCAAATGCGCATCGAACTAATTCAACACGATCACCAACATCTTTGGGATATGGTAAATCAAATCTACCCAGGAGAGCATTCGCCTCCTTATTATTATTCATTTATTTTTTCAAATAAAAAGAACAAAAACAAGGCAATATATAAAGCATCCAGTTAGCATATTAACAATAAATAAAATTCTACATAGATTAAGCGTAGTTAGCCTCGGTTAGTTTTGACAGCAACATATTGGCATTTCGGTAGCAAAGCCAAAATTGAACAGAATGTTTGAAGGTGCTTAGAATAGTAGATGCTAGCATATTTACTGGGGTAAGCAGTAACAAAAGGGGTCGAGATATACAGAGTGTGAAAGGACGCAGAAGAATGTTTCAATTAGAGTTTGTAAGGAGGAGAGAAAAGAAAGAAAGAAAACGTTGTAGCTATAAATGATATGAGTTGGAAAGACGAGATCCAGTTGTTCTATTATTATTATTACTGCTCTATTTTAGTGCTAACCACCAGTTTGTTTAGGTCAGATTTATGCTTAAAGGTGAAATTGACTGTTTGGCATTTGAAGGGGTTTATAGTGAGACCGTTTTCCCTGGAGCACTGACTGATTTCTGAAAAAAGCCATTTAGTTTGGAGCAGTCACTTTGCTCAGGTGTTTGCTTTTCTCTTCAGAAATTCATGGCACACAAATCTTTGCATACTGCTGTTATAAAGGGTAATTATTTACCATACTAGATATCATGGAGAAGATTTGTAGCTCAGGTTGGAGGATTTTGGTGTAGTCACCTTTTTCTGAACTGGAAATTTTAGTTGCAAAGATTTCGTCGCCTTACTAGACAGCATCTTTAGTGCACACTTTGCAGCTAATCCATGCAGTTCAGAAAACACTAATACACCAAAATATTACCAAACATCTCTCATACACATGCAGTGTGACAGCGCTTCCATTGGTGGAAATAACTGAGGTAATTATGATTATTTTCATTCTAAAATTAATGATGTGTTTTATGTTAAAGATTGCCGAAAGGTCATAAACTTAATCAGAGTTAAGAATGATCATTCCAACTGCCTCTTGTTTTTTTAACATTCAGCTTGTTGTGCTACTGATAGCCTTTAGCAGTAGTATATAAAGGGACATTCATTGGGGGAAAAAACCACCAAATGGCCGGAAGATACATTTGATGTGAGAGAAAGTGAATGATACAGTGTTGTGGGGGTACACGGGAGACGTGAAAGAAACGTAAAGAAACACAATACAAGGGGAGGGACAGAAGTAGGACAATTATTGTTATTATTATTGCCTATTCCTCCCTTAATTTCACTGGAACATAAGGACTCGGCAGCAGTTTTTCATTTTACTCGAGTTGTCCGCCCCATAATTTGCCCAGAGCCTTTCATCTTCTCTTCACACTAAGTCCTCTTTGTCACAGTTCGGCCTGGCGTAAAATACTGTTTAGACGTCTCAGTAGCATATGCCTAATGCATCCACCTCAGTTTTCTTGTGCATATTTTTTTTGGGCAATTGGTTCCTGACTGATTCACCGTCTGCCAGTGTTCCATGTTGCTTGTCCTTTCTGGGCTGTCATCATCTAATCTTCAGTATGGAGCGAAGGCAGCTGTCGACAGTTAATTAAACTTAGATTAACCTAATGCTTCAGAGCAATCAACCAACAACCGACCGATCAACAAATACATATAGGGGAAAGTGAAGATGGATGGATCAAGCATAAATTGACAAAACCGTCAAATTACATCGCGCGTCAGGCAGTTACTCGAGTGGAATCTAAATGAGGAATGACGAGTGGACCATCGGTTCGAGGTTGATATGGAGGTGATGATCGTGTGGGGGAGTTGGAGAAAGAGATAAGAGATTATGGTCAATCGCGGGCCCAGCGGAAGAGTACTGCAGATAATAGAAGGAAGTGGAGACGCGTGAAGATGATGAAGCCCTTTTTCCCACTCGGAATCCATGAGAATAATAGTGGTAATAATATAATGCTTCGGACACTTAAAATGATGCAGACTCAGAGTGTCAGTACACTGATTTATCTAAGAATCATGATACAGATAAAGGTGGCGTAATGTGCAAAAGCACTATTACTATATTATTGTTCCCTTGGGTTCCTAGTGGAACATAGGGCTTCAACTCCACGTCTCCACTTGCCACTTCTGTCTTCTGCTCTACTTTTCACCTGCATCCATCTAAGTCCACACCGTTTCAACTCCTCTTCACACGATCGCCTCCATGTCACCCTTGCACTGACGACCCGATCGCCGCCCTCCCGTTGATAGTGACTGACGCTGAATGTTGCTGCTGTTGTTGGTTGGTTGGTTGGTTATTTTCGTTACCTCCATCTTGTCTATGTTCACTCGGAGTCCTGTCTTCGCAGGCTGCTTCTTCGACCAGTTTGTCGGTTTTCACTTACCTCTAAGTCTTCCATCTTGTGTGTGTGTGTGTGTGTGACATCAAACATAAATCATGCACACGCGGAATCCAGGTCTTCTAGGTTCTTCACGTCGGTCAGTCCAGGATATCCCTCACTGTCTTCTCGTTTCCCACTCACTGTCTGACGCATAATCCAGTTAGTCCATCACAATTAGGAATATCATCGCGAGCACCCTTGTCTAACTCCTGTGTTTACTCCAAACGCCTCGCGGAGTGAGTTTTCCCTTGTGGATCACTTGACATGTTCCGTTGTCGTACAGCTGTTCAACAGCTGAGTAAGTTTGATGAATATTTGGGGTACACGTAGTACTCGAGTACCTCCCATATTACTTCACGGTCAACGCTGTCTGTCGAAGGCCTTCTCAAAGTCTATAAAGTTGAGCTAGTTGAGGTTTGATTGATGGCCATTCCATGCTTTGTTCTGTGATAATGATGCGTAGAGTTGCAATTCGGTCAGAACATGATTTACCTGACTTTCCTGAATGCAGCCAGATTGTTCTGGTCGGAATTCAGTACCCAGTGCGTCCTTGATTCTCTCCAGGATGATACGACTCAGGATTGTACTCGGCGTCGACAGGAGTATGATTCCTCGCCAGTTCTTGCAGAGTGAGACGTAAGTCGCCCTTCTTCGGTAGTTTCACGAGGTAACCCTTCCTCCAGTCAGTAGGCACCTCTCCCTCCTTCCAGACCTTTTGCAATAATGGAGTGAGTCAGCATGTCTGCTGTCGTCTCTGGGTCCGCTTTCATTGAGTGTTTCAGGGGGTATTCCATCTGGTCCAGCTGCTTTTCAAGCTTTCAGAAACTTGATTGCATCCAAGACTTCAGCTCTCGTCGGAGGATTGGTGTCAACTTGCAGTTGTGTGCACGCTGTTGTTGGTATTTCTGGACGGGTTGCAGGTGATGGTCGGTTCAAGAGTCGTTTGAAGTGGTCCGTCCATTGTTTAATCTGTCTTTCTTCCTCGATAACTGGGTTCCCTTGGCTGTCTTCTGTAGGTTTCACTTGTGTTGAATGTACAAAAGCATCATGTTTGCAAAACAGTCGCTACTTCAAAAGTAATTCATAAGTCAAGTGTTTAGAATGAAAAAAACATAACTTAAAGGAATATTATATAGTATTTACTCACTTCACACTGAATCAACTCCCTTTCTGTATCGATTTCCTTCTCTCGAATTGTCCTGAATGTGTCCATAATGAAGGCAATATCATCTAAAGTATTGATATTCCTTTGTAGATTGCGTTCCCATTCCTCCAGAACAGCACTGACATTTTCAACTGGATTTATATAACGCTCAATGAATGCCTTAACATAAGACTTCAAGAAAAAATGTCGAAGAAGCGTAAAATGCATATAGACAAATGATTAATGAAGTTTAAAGTCATCCGGTAGATGATTTACTCATTGTGTGAGAATATTAGAGTACTTAATCCTGAGAAATGCTTAAAATTATAAATGCAGGTTGCTAGGTGAAGAGGAAAAATCAGTTGACGAGGTTGCGAGACTGCATCAACTGAAATGGCTAGCATATGAGGTAGGCATGCATAAGTATTACCCTCCAAGTGGAACAATGTTAGCTGACACTAGATTAGCTTGGAAAAGAGTTAGAGGCGGTCAAACAGGAACTCGCCACCAATTCGTGAAGTCTTTGACTGTCGCTGTGAGCAACGTGGATAGGTGTTGGCTGTCTGTCTGGGTTACTCAAGACACAAAGGACTAATGTCTGGTGTGACTGACATGACCTGAAATCATTCTCAGCAGAGCAGATGTGGCCTATAACATTCTGTTTATTGTTTATGTAATTATCTCTCTTCTTCATTTACATTCATTATGATTCCTCTACATTTTTGTGAACTTTGTGAATTATGGTAATCTGAACTGCTGCAGTTTTCTGTGGAGTTCTACGTTGAAGGTTCAGTTATTTTTTGGTCATCGTCCGTTATAACATGAGTTGCCCTAAATTACGATGTCCTCCGAGATAATCTTACAATAAACATTCATTAATCTGTTTAACTCAATGTTCTGATTTGTACACATGTTAAACAAGGCGTATAATATAACATCAAAGATAATTTTCAAAGCCTGTACAGATGTACTTATATTCAACAAAAAAATTTGTTTGATGCTGTTAGATAGTTGGAGGGAATCGACCACAGGAAACCTTGGACCTAGGTTTCGTGCTAGTTGTCACTCATCAACAAGGCATATCTGTAACCTTGAAGAAATTTATGTCCCTTCTGAGATTCGAACCCGCGTTACCCAGTGAGTACTGCAGTCAGAGACGTTACCACTGAGCTATTCAGGCTCGCAATTGCCTTCCTGTAGGATTGTATTGAATATTTTTGATTGCATACTAGTCAGTAACTAGTGTAATGTGTCTAGTCCTATCTCCTATCTATCAGTCAGGTTTTGTAATATGGCCACCGTTCTAGGTAGCTCGCCATCACGGTGCACTTTGCAAATCCTGACTGACAGAATTCAGTCTTCCCCAAAGAAGGTACTAGGCACGTCACACTAGTTACTAGTGTCCAATCAAAAAGAATTTGTTTGTTTTTTGTCCCTTTGCGTTCCGAGTGGAAAATAGTACTTAAGGCGTTTGAAAGTTTCAGTAGCAGCGGTGTTCTTTTTACTCCGGTGAGCTGGCTACACATTTACACCCAACTTTCCCGCTTCTTCAGGCTTACAGGCGATTAGTAAACTAGGAGAGGTTTAAGAGTGTATCAGCAGGGCATCAGACCTCCCTCTTAGCTAGCGAACATTGACAATATCACGCTCTAAGAAATGATTGTTCAAAAAAAGTTGGCTTTCCTACTGAGTCTCAATATATATTGGAATTTCCGAATAATTACTAGTTAATTCATTTAGTAAAAGTCGATCTGAACGAAGAATACTCTTTTCAATAATTTCCCCTATTCAGGTTCTTACAATTATAAAATATAGTATAATATTTGTTACGCTCGTTACAATAAAGGCCAGTTAATTGTGCAGCGGATACATTTATTTTGCCTTAACGTAGAATAACAACAGATTAGCAGTTATGGGGTGTCAAAATAAATAAATAAATAAATAGTCGTATTTGAGTGTGACAAACCTGCTCTGGGCTGAAATCGATTACAAAGTATATCGGTGAAATGGGAGACAATAGTGGTGGTAGTGATTAGTCACAAGAGATTCATAGAATGTGGGGTAGGAAAATTGACAAGTAAGTCAGTTCAGTGTTATAAAATGTGTCAAGTGAGTGAGTAGCTAGTACAAAGTGGTATGTATTGAACAGGAGATAGGAAGACTGCAATGAGAGGTGGTTCACAATGAATAACGCATATGTGAAATGAAGAAAGAGGTGGAGGCATATATTGAGAAAAGAGATAATATCACTAATAATAAGTCCGGATGGTATAAATGAAAAATTCGACAGTATTGAGAGAATGTTTGCGTGAAGGACATAAATTATGACGAATAATAACAATAATAATTGTAATAATAATATTTGTAATAATAAGCAAAGGAAAAAAACCAAGTGGGTTAAGGGGAAGGAGCAGTCTTGGTGAGAAGAGGAATCATCAATCCAAGTTTGGCCACGGTAAGAATAGCGTCTGGACGTGTTCTTTTCAGATACAATATTCCGGTTCACTCGATCTTCTTGCAACAGCTTCAGCTATGTTTAGGAGATGTAAGCGAACTGTACGTGATAACGACTTCGGAATTCGGTATGTAACCCTGAAAGTTGTGTTGACATCGATGCGATGTCCAGGAATCTCGACCAAGTGTGACAAGATCGAGCTTTTTATGCACGGAATTCTCCCCATGTAGTGAGATCAGGCCGTGAGAAAATATGTACAAGGCTGATTCAACAACCAATCACAGCAGACTTAACGTGGCAAAATATGATTCGCAGATAGAGAACTCTATTTTTCGAGGAATCCCGAAACAACCAATCAGAAGACTGTGCTTGTCTACTTGCATAAGCTATAATAATGCACAGGAAATATATATATATATATATATATAAATACGTGTTGATTTTCGTAATAAAACGATCTGTTGCCTGGCCCTTGTCTTCTGTTGTTACACCCACCCATACTGAACCAAGCTGGTAAATGTTCTCGAACCCGTGGACGAACCTGCCCCTGCACGTTTGTCACACTCAAATACGACTATTTATTTTGTCACTACATAACATCTAATCTGTTATTCTACGTAAAAGAATTGTATCCACCGCATAACTGGCCTTTATTGTAACGAACGTAACAAATATTATACTATATTTTATAATTGTAAGAACCTGAATCGGGAAATTACTGAAAAGAGTATTCTTCGTTCAGATTGACTTTTAATTCACATAATATGGCAATATTTCACATTAATAAATTCATTTATTCACAGACACCTATTTTTCGCCTAATTTGATTAGATTGCTTTAAATTTACAACTCACTTGTTTTAACTGATTGAGAAAACCGTTTATTGTACTTTTAAAGTCTTCAGTTGATATATAAATTGCTCCGACAACATAATGATTTGGTTCTTCGGCTAGTTGACGACTAAAAGAATCAAGTTCTTCAAATTTTGCATAAAAATCATGCATAGTTGGCGAAGAATTCAAAAACTCTTCCACTTCCAGATTCATGTCTTTTTTCCATAAATGTGTATAGCGATCAAGGTAGGAAGTTAGACTGTCAACTTCATAAATAGTGCCTTGGAAAAACAAATGCAATATGAAAAATTCTCTAATAAAAATATAGAAAAATGTTTAAAATTCATTTAGATATAGTTGTAACAACAGAAGACAAGGGCCAGGCAACAGATCGTTTTATTATGAAAATCAACACGTATTTATACATATTTCAGACAACATTATTATAGACAAGCGCAGTCATCTGATTGGTTGTTTAGGTAGACAAACGCAGGCTTCTGATTGGTTGTTTCGGGATTCCTTGACAAACAGAGTTCTCTATCTGCGAATCATATTTTGCCACGTTAACTTCGCTGTGATTGGTTGTTGACTCAGCCTTGTTCACGGCCCATATTAGTGACCTAGACCTTAACGTAGATTAGTGCCAACCAATCGGCTAGCAGCCTGCTCTCACCACACTCGTCCCCCCGTCAAATACGTGCGACTGAAGTCGGCTTGATCTACTTGGTGCAGGCGTCATCGTTGGCTTGTCTCGCTGTATCCATTTCTGGAGCTCGCTGACGTTCACGCGCCTCTCATTGTTCGCCATTGCGACTGTGTCTGCGTAACCCCATCTCGAAGTGACCATATATGGTCCTTCCCACTTTGGAAACTGTTTGCCTGACCCTGTCGAACATTCGTCCATACTTCGGCCCACACCTTCATATGCTGCTTTCGCCCGACCTTCCAGCAGCGTCTCAAGTAGCAGCTCCATCGCTGACAGATCTTGAACGCCACTCAACTGCGCAGAAGCCTTGAAGTCCTGCCCGAAGATCCATATGTCTCCATCAAAAACTGCAGGGTATAGGCTTTTCATTTGTCGGTAGGCAGCGACACCAAATGTAACAACAGAAGACAAGGGCCAGGCAACAGATCGTTTTATTATGAAAATCAACACGTATTTATACATATTTCAGACAACATTATTATAGACAAGCGCAGTCATCTGATTGGTTGTTTAGGTAGACAAACGCAGGCTTCTGATTGGTTGTTTCGGGATTCCTTGACAAACAGAGTTCTCTATCTGCGAATCATATTTTGCCACGTTAACTTCGCTGTGATTGGTTGTTGACTCAGCCTTGTTCACGGCCCATATTAGTGACCTAGACCTTAACGTAGATTAGTGCCAACCAATCGGCTAGCAGCCTGCTCTCACCACATAGTGAGAAAACATCTTCAAATGCCTTTTGAGTAAAATCATAGTTTATAAGATCAATCATAAGACTAAAATCTTAATAGTTCAGGCTAACAAATGAATATGTAATAAAGACGTGTCGATGATGATAATTTGCTCCCAAAAGAAAGTTGCCGATAATAAGAACAAAATTAACTATTGTAGCTTGACGGAATTTCCAACAGACAAGAGAAGGATGTCGCCGAGACTTCTTCGTTGATCTTCTTTTTCTTTTCTCCTGCTCTCTTTCTCAAATAAAAAAAAATAGTTTCCTGCCCTACTGACAGATCTGATGAAAGTGCAAAAAATAGCAATGTGTGGGATTAAACAACAACTCTGCATAAAATTAAACACTATAGACAAAACTTGTAGGCCTTCGGTGCTATTCTTATTAGTGACAACACAGTGTGGATAGAAAACAAGCTTGGACTGACGTAACACACTTACTTGTAGCTTTCAGCTGTGCATAACTAAATCTATTGTATTGGCTATTAGGAAAATTGTAATTCAACATAGTGAAACTGCCAACGTACTTTTACATCAGGAGATGATTACTCGCTATGGTGACGGGTAATTTTGGTAGAGTACCCTTAAATATCCTCTTTACAGTATTTTTGTGTACTAAAGCAAGTCGAACCACTAGCCAGTTCGAATTGTCTTTCAGAAAATAGGGTAATACAAGAATGATCTAATATAGAGAAAAAGGTTAATTAAACAGCGACTAAAGTAAGATTGAGTTAGTAAGTTAGATAACGCGATACATAATTGACTAAAAAAATGTTTCAACTTTCTATGAACGTGAAGGACACGCTACCATTGCTGGCCTCATCACTGTGAATCTACCAGTCCATCTGCTCCTGTGGAGCCAGGTATGTCGGCCGTACCTAACCGGCGTTCGCTTTCCAAACGTATCACTGAACACTTATCAACATGGTTTTACAAAGGAGAAAAACGACGCCCCTGCAGCTACATCTTAGATCATCTGATAGATTCCGGACACCCAGCTACACCCCAAACAAACTGCAAAGTCGTCTACAGAATACGAAGGTGCCTTCCCAAAGGTGTACGAATCAGACTTCTTCAAACTGCAGAAGCAACGGCAATTCACTTGCTTAGCCTTGAACTCTGCATACAGAAGAAGTTCGTTCAATCAATACACTTGAAATGGACGTAATGTGTCTCACTACCCGACAGGTAAATTCTACTCCTTTCTGTCTTTTTAGTGGTGTTATTTTACATTTTCAACATTCTTGTTCTCTAACCTCACCCGATTTAATTTATACACCTCACTACCACTGTTACTGACTTGACCAACGCTCAATTTCTAGTCATCATCCAATTTATCTGCTCACTTTTCGTCCTAGTTTAAATGGCATTATTCTCCATCCCACCTCTACTTAGTCTCTCTCTACCTGTAATTACCTCTGTTGCTATCCTGACCTAGGTTGAAGCATCCAACGAACTAACTCAGTCTTTCTTATTTTTATTGTTCTCTAATTAACCTTGTTTCTATATATTAGATCATTCTTGTATCACCTGATTAATTATCTAAACTTGACAAACCTCATGTACACAAACACACATACACAAATAATTATATATAAATGTGATTGTACAGCTAAGTGAATGAATGAACATGTACTAAACAGCTTATGTCTACAGTTGGTAACAGATGCTTTAAACAGTGCCATCTCCAGTTTTCTCCTTGACACGGGTCATGAGGTCGACATGACAAGATCGTCGAAAATTATCAGTAGACAAAAGAGCCAAATTCTCCTCAAGCTCGCTGAAGCCATTACCATCAAGCGCCTGAAACCTGATTTCTGCGTCCAGAAGGAAGCGGTTATCAGTCTTTTTTGCCCTGCCTGGTAACTGGATATTTTCATCTGTCTTTCATCTGAATGTGAAATGCTGAAACGTATCCATTGTGTATGATCAGTATTGTTCGGAATAGTGTTTAATATTACGTATATATATTTATTATTATTATTACTGTATGCATATATTGCTCGATTGATTGATTTCTGTTTGAAAATGAACTCTGTGCAAGTATGTTAAAATGGTTTTTGTAGATATTTTTAATAATATCTTTCACCTGTAAGCAGCTGACCAGAAGGCAACGAAATAAACACTGATGGTAGCAGTTTATTCTGCGAAAACCACTGTAGTTCTTGGTGCCCTATGTTCAAAGATTTTTCTATAGATATAAAATCATATACAAGGACAAGGTGGTCAAGAGTTGAGCTATTGATTAATTTAATTTCTCCTTTCGACAATCATATTGGTAGTGGTTTTTGTGCACGTCAAGACAACAATATCCTACTGATAAAGTCTATGTACTTATGATCACATTTAACAAGTGAAATATTATGCACAAAAGAATGCATCATTACCAATGCATCATTACCATAATTTAACCCTTATAGGCATTTCCATGACCATTTAACAAAACAGCTACGATGATGCATTACAAAGAGAATATTATTTACTGAATTAATATCTCTTTAAATAAATTTTGCTCCTTATTTACTGTTAATTCAGTTTTGCTTTTCTCGTTGATTGATTCGACCAAAATGTTTGGTTGGTCTGCGTTGACATATCGGCTCCTTGTATGGTTGTCTGGACAATGTCTGAGTATCAGTTTAGAGTAATTTGGTGTGGATGGTAGTGAATAATAGTAGTGGCCCCCGAAGCCTAAATGATCTAGTGAATAAAGCTTTGGCGTTTGAAACAATAGGTGCTGTGTCCGAACCTCAAGGGGGAATGCAGGTACATCCAAATGACGAGTCACATACAGGATAATGAAATGCGCGTTCTGCATCACACTACTAGTCATCATCCACTGAGTTACTTCAAAGTTTAATCCTTCTACAGTGAAATGAGCAAGAAGACATCAAATTCACCACGAGAGAAGAAGAATCAGATAACAAAATCCCATTTTTAGATGTCTTAATCAGGAGAACCAACACAGGAAGTTTAGAAACACAAGTATGTAGAAAATCAACGCTGACACACAGATCAAATACTCAACTATTCTAGCAATAATCCAATTAGTCACAAAAGAAACTGTGTGCAGACATTGTTCACAAGAGAGTTCAAACACACATTGTAGCACACCAGAGTTGAAAAGAATGGAAGAAAAATACTTACAAACGGTCTTCAAGAAGAATGGTTATCCAAAAAATTTCATCAAAAAGTGTTTAAAGTCGAATCAAAGCACCAACAAGGAACCATCATCAAGGAGACCAAAGAGAAATTCATCCTACCATACATCAGAAATATCTGTGAAATATAACGGCTAGAATAATGAAACCGTTTCATATAGATAGATGTAGCACACAAACCAGCCAGCCGAATCGCTTAATTCGATCTTATGCAAACCAAAAGATCCGATAGAAAAAGGAGATAAAATTAACACCATTTACAAAATAAATTGCGCGTATGAACTGTATGTAACAAACATTACATCTGTGGTTGAAGTGGGCGTCCCCTTCGAATAAGAATCCAAGAACACAAATCAGCCGTGAAAAGACATGATATAAATTCTTTAGTATCAATGCATACAGACAATTATGGACATCAATTTGATAACTGGGATAATATCAAAATCTTAAACAGAGGAAACACAACACCAAAAGTGCAGTCAGGGAATTCCTAGAAGCCTGGTACTCAAACGAAAATGCCATTAGTAAACACGTTAATATAGATGAAATAAATCAACTAATAGAAAGCAAATCAGGTGAACAGAAAGTTTCAAATCGCAATCAATAGAAAACGGTCAATACATATGTAAAGATGGTTGGTCACCAGGAGACGCAGTTGTATCATCCATCATTCATGGAGATTTTAAATCATTTGACTTTATGCTAAATACTGCGGTGAAGATGTCGTCCAGAAGGGTGACGACGAAAGCTCCGCAACTAAACCAAACAGCTCAGAGAATACTATTCATTGCGAAATGAGCAACTGTTTGAATAATTCACTTTACTTCAATACAAAAATGATCGGAACTTACCATCGGGGCAAAAGAGAATTTTTTTCATCTGCAACATACTACTAAGCAGAAATGTCCGTAGCCGATACACTTCACGATCACTGTGTACATCACGATAACAGTTGTTTGTTCGTTCATGCAAATCCGATGGCATTACTAAAAAGTAAAAATCTTTTTTTACTAAAGGTGATCTCATTAGTTTCTACAGAGCTAGACAAAAAAGACTCTTTCTTAAAAAGACAATGAGCTCATGAAACTTGACCGTGTTATTCATGATCATTTTCTTAGTGTTAGAGTAAAACTCTTTTCTCATCTAGTGGTATTGCTGATAGGCAACCTATATAAATTCAATATTCAATTATAAAATAAAAGTTTCTGTATTGTACATTCAATGTACATTCAAATGTACATCAATATCTCATGCTTAAGATCATAGAAAGCAGTAGAAGAGAATAGAATTGAAAGTAACTGAAAAAACAAAACAAGAAAAAATACGATGCACGGAAAAGTGAAGACGAGAACTGATATTTTTCTAACAAAATGAACAGAAATGATATATTTTTAATGCACATATAGAGTGGAAAGTAAGGATACTTGAGACTACAGTGAGATAGAGTTTCAGCACCAAAGAGAGTCAGTATGGCTACAGTTTCGAAAAAGCCAATGTTCATAAAATTGCAGTTTCTCGGTGACAACATCAGTGAAATAATAACACAGCGAGCACCTGAAGAATGCAGTTAAAAGAGCTTATTATGCAACAGAGGCGGTACGGTGTCTCTTCACAACCACCCCTATCCTATTTTCCAGGAATAAGGATAAACTACCTAAATTTGCCTCTTCTATGTGTATCTACCGGTTTGACTGCAGCTGAGAAGCCAGCTACATTGGGTGTACAATTACGCAGGTTCATCATCGTATTTCCGAGCATCATCCAGCAGCATGGTTAAGCAAGGGACAAACAAGATCTATTCGTAGCACACCTTGCAGACAGTGAGCATAAGGTTGACGTTAATACCGTATTTAAAATTATTTATTGCATTCCCACTAATCTTAATTTTGCTCTACGAGTTCGTCTTCTACGGACAGCTGAAGCAATCGGAATTCATCTGAAGAAGCCAAGCCTATTTGTACAGCCACTTTCCTTACCGCGGCCATCGTCACAAGAATGCATAAACAGGATTACGTCGCCCACCCTCCCTCTAAACCTATAAAAATTATAATTGTCTAAATTATTTATTTTATTATTATTTATTTTGACCACTTCATCTTTCATTCACGTGTTATCCTTGTGAAATTAATTTCTTCTATCCATTTCTACCTTTTAATTGTCTGTATTGCTTTTCTTCGTTAATTATTAACCCATTGACATTTTGACACTGTTTAATTATTGTTAACAAACTTATCGCCACTTGATTAGCAAACCTGTTGTGTATTGTAATAAAAATGCTGCACGTGTATATTAGAGTAGAGCCAGAGATGAGGATCTAATTGGAAAGTAAATATTTCTTCACTCAATCTTTCTGGTTTCTGTATTTCCCAACGAATGAATGAAAAACAAAACGATATAGTTGTTTTTACTGACGTTTAACTATTTAGTGCTGCTAATAGTTTTATCAGAGAAGGAACATATTAAACCAGAATTGCCAAAATCGAAAACGTGTTCCGAAGAAAAGCACCTCAACAGTTGGCATTCCGTATAGACATCAGAAGAGTACTCGACTGACTCAACATCAGAGTTTCTTTCAAAATACCAGACAAGCACACACACACTACAAAGCAATCTTGTCTATGGAAAAGACTAAATTCCAAAGGATTCACAATTTAATTGTTTCTATAAAATAAAATGCATGGAATTTGATATAATATGCATCATTAAAACCTCGCGGGAAACCAAGATCAGAAGAAATGAACACCGTAGAACATCTGTTTTACCAACAAGAAATTCATTTGAACTAAAAAAAGGTTGAAAAATCATCAGCTGAAGGTCGTTTGGACTGCACGCTATAGAATCAATCAGGTCACAAAATTGATTTTGACAATATTGAAATCATCATCCATAAAATTTTTAGAATTCACAAAGGACGTCTCATATCTTCAGAAGAACCTCACATCAAATGGAATTCAAATTGTCTGAACTGAATAGGAATGATGGACTAAAAGACAATTTGACCTGGTTACAACACAACACCTCTGGTTTCTCGTATGACAATATCAACACAAATATGATAAGTAATTTCATTATTTCATACATTTATTCCCCTTAATGAATTTGAACAAAGCAAGAACTACAGTTTTAGCAGAATAAAATATATGTAAATATATGCTGTTTTTATAATTTTAAAAGCTTATCAAAGCCAACAATCTACACCTGGTTTTTTAATTCAATTTTAGATTTTCCCGTCGATTGATTGCATTGAAGTTCTCGGTCTCAGGTGGACATGTCGGCTTTTTGTGAAGATGCTTCGACGATGTCTGGGTACCATCCACTAGTTAACTTCTACACCTGGTCTTTTTATCTTTACAAACTGGTCAACCTGGCAACGCAACGAGAAGCCCATGCTGAGGAACGCTGATTAGGTATATATATGTACAAGCTGAGATTTTGTAAATTCTGATTTAAGCTATTGGCAGCATTAAATAGCGAAACATCAGTAAACACATCAGCATCGCTTTGTTTTTCATCCATTGAGAAATACAAAAAGAACTTTTATTATAATGAATATCATATACCATCCAATGCCCAGATTTTTTCTAGCTGTTAAAAGTGAACTTGATTTGAACATACATAAAATAAATTCATTTCAGCTATGAAATACCAGTCTCGAAAGCGACACATGAGTGTTTCTTGGCAGGTATAAAATATCTCACAGTTTATTTGGCATGGCCACAGGCTAAGGATCCAGATGGCACTGGTTCTAATTCTACTGTAAGCCAAGTTTTCACTTCAGGATCAACGATTACGCATCACACCTTCGTTTTATTTTGTAGATAGTTTATAACTACTAACAAGTTGAAAGTAGATGTTATTATATCCGAAATAAATCAGTCAGGATTATATATATATATTTGCGCAAAACAAACGTGAACAAAGTTTTGTCTAAAAAATATGAACTGTTTCCTCACAACCCTTCTAAAACTCTTATCAAATTAATTCACATGAAAAATGAAGTGCCAATTAAAATAAGAGAAGTAATAAAAGATTTAAGAATATGTGAAGGGATAATATTTAACATCAGTCTTTGTAACATAATTAGATAACGAATACTACTGTAAGTTAGGGGTATCAATAAACTGCTTTTATGCACACACACACACACATGAGAGGCTTAATTTACTTTATAGGTATCACCCCAGAGGATTTCAGTATGCGCCCAATTTTATAGATAATCTTGAGGGTTGTTGTGACATAAATCTTCAGATTCATATCAGTTAATTCAATGTTTTGCTATGGACGAAGTTGGCAGTCCGCCACTTGTGTTTATTCAAGTGTCACAATTCAATTGTTTCCCAAGCCATTTGGGTACACATGCATATGTGCTTATGACAGAACGCACACCGTGTAAATCGGTAGACTATGTGGGATGTGATAGAATCACTCCTGTCACGATGAGGGATGTGTCAGTGCATATATCCTCTAAAATAAACACTAAACCAAGCCTCTCTTTTATTGTAATGAACAGAAACTGTGAAAATTTAAATATCGTTCTGTACAAGTAGGCTTCTTACAAATCAGTCGCTTTACTGAACCCTCCTGTCTCCCACTTAAACGTATGTCGAGCAATGCCAGTTGGTTCCAACTTCCTCCCTGACATATAAGACAGATATGACTTAAATCTATCAGGTAGAAGCAGATTTCCCTGTACACCTGGATAATCTTGTCAAGAGAATTATCTGAAATGACAAGGTATTAAAAGTGATTAGTTCATTTAACAGTCAACTAACTGCTTGTCTACTAATCTGTTAGATAATTACGATTGAATCATTGAAACACACTGTGTACTTTTAGTTTCGTTTAAGTAAAGCGTTTTCCTCATATGTATATACAATTACTGTTATCATTTTATTTATTTATTTATTTATTTGTTTGTTTTTGAGTCACGACTAATTTGTGCAGATGCATTAGTATTGTTAGACTTCTATGAACACCTTCTCATGATGATACTGGAAACTTCTTATCTGTCATCTAAGAACTACAATGAATAGTGGTTATGAATGAATGTGAACATTGAACGTTTGAACTTTGGCCTTGGTGGCCATTGGCGGGCAACTCGAAGGCGCGAGTGATTCGATTGTGTACAAATTGGAAGAAGACGAAGGAATACGAATAAAAGTACTGGTGCATTCCTTGTAAAACATTTATACAGAGTATTGACTTTCACTACCGAACAATACAGTTTATTATTGCTCCTTGTGTTTTGGAATTAAGGTAAATATAGTTCATAGTAATTGTCGGTTCGAGGATCTTCGGAGATAATAGGAAATTAGGGTTAAATTCCTTGACAATGGTCATCCGACTAGATCTTCACTAGCTACCAATGTCATCCGAACACAATACCAGTTTTTGGTAAAGTCGAAGCTAACATCTTAACAACTAAAAGTATTCGGTAAAGCGGAATACACTTACTCAGAAAACAGATTCCCATTCGATAAGTTGAAAACGGCGAACTTCCTTCCTTCTGTTTCTTTTATGACTTAGCTGTCAGTGTCCCTCTTTCTTGAAGTGTTGCTTATTGAAAAATCGGTTGTGTTTTCATGATTAAAGTTATATCTTCTTTAACATTTTCAATAATTTTATTCAGTATGTCACAATCGTGTGACATTACAATTAAATTTTTTCAATAAGTTGTAGGGTGATGGGGTGTTTATTTAAATGCGGGGTAGAATGCCCACTACACATGTAGCATCCTAGATTCCACCGCTAGTCACCATCCGCCAATTAAACTCTAATTACATTCCCAGACACCGTCGAAGCATCTGCACAAGAAGCCAACAGACATGTCAACCTGAGACCAAGCACTTCAGTCCAATCAGTCGACGGGAAAATCTAAAATTCAATTAAATCGTTAATATTACCCGTTGCACAAGAGGTGGGGTGGCTCTCGTGGCCCAAGTGGTCTAGTGGATAACGCTTTGGCTGGTGTTTGAAACTACGGGCACTGGGTTCGAGCCTCCGTGGTGGGAACATCATCACTCACTGCGGAATGCAGGTAAATCCAGTTGATGGGTCCCAAATAGGATCATCACCATCCACCAATTATATCCTAGTTCCATTCTATACCGACGCACTTCTAAACGTCATCTAGTAACCCCACTGTCCGTAAAACCAACACTACCGCGCTAATGAAACTTCACAGCTATAATTCCGACATATTTTTACTCGGAACACAAGAAGCGAAGAAGAGAGTTGTACGTGGACACGAACCAACCGTGCACATTCACCTTGATACCTTCCAACGTCAGGCCGAGAATATGAATTCGATTTGTTTTTTTATTACACTGAAAACTATTTTTTTCCCGCTGAATATCATTCACACGAGGTTGTTTTAAAAAAGAAAAAAAAGACAAGATAAAAACATTGTAATCCCTGTTATACTTACATCCTCGAATATCGTAAACAATCGACATCTTCCCCGACTTTTTCTATTGAATATTGCAGAAGTCAAATTGTATTATTAGAAAGAAGAAAGTATTAGAGCTATTATATATATATATATATATATATATATATATATATATATATATATATAGATCATCATATATTATTCATAACAAGAAACATCACTACAGAATAAAGTATATAACAAGATATTTATATTTTGTCATAGTGAACTTTTCTACTTTTCGAAATTAAAAACACAAACAGTCATTTGTTATCTGTCAACCCTGGCACTTTTATTCAGTGTGCCTCATTTGATTAAATGTTTTTTTTTTGTAGTATTTACATTTCTCCCACACCAGTGAATATAACTCACCTCCGCCCCCACCCTCCCTCCCAATGAAAGTAGTCACTCGTCTAAAGGACATCAGTGAAGTGAACGGATAGAGCAAACAGTTGTTGAATTCATGGTGTTAAATGACAAAATAGACTATCTTCTATAGTTTGGTTTGTAAGGGTTCGTTATGTTTTTATGAGTTGATCACGGATTGATATCAGTTAGATGATTCCAAAAACTAGGATGAAACAACAGCCGTTCAGTACTCCCTGGTTTTCAATGGTTCTTTAACTGATATCAATCCCTGATCAACTCGTATAAACATACTATCACTCACTGAGAAATGCAGATGCATCCAAATGACGAGTCCCAAATAGGACGAAATGCGCCTCCTGGATTCCACTCCTAGTCACCATCCACCAATTAAATAAAAACATACTATAGTTTGTATCCATAATATTCAAGTATTGGTTTCCAGGGATAGGATTGGTAACAGGATTTCATCATGAACTAACATCGCTCAGAGGACCGTTGGAAAACCTGCTGGGAGTAATGGACAGCTGTTTCATCAACCTAGTTTGGGACTTTTCATCTGTACGCATCCACCACAAGGGTTTAAAACCCAGGAAATTCTGGCTACATAAAGAGCTAGCTCGTAGACCATTAAGCTACCGGGACTCTGGGTAACTTTACAGAACATTACTGCTACTCATTCAAGAACTGTTAACCAATACTACAAGGGTCTTGACTGATTTCTGAAACTGTAACCTATACCACACTGTGTTAGGTGGGGCTATCCAACTAGGTCCAAGTTACTTGGGTTTTTTTGTTAATGCGAAGTCAATATCTCTATGTCTCTTGATGTGGTCCATTGAATCACTAGTTATCTGATTTTTCCCACAAACTAAAGACAAAATGACAGCAAACGTAAATCATGTAATTTAAATACGTAATTTAAACAATATTTATGCATGCCTTTACAACTGGTGTATCCTACTTAGCTAGGAAAAAATATGTACCTTATTATATCATCTTTACTAACTATGCTTACTAATCGTATGTGTAATTTATCGAATTGATGATGCCTGTAAACTGGCGTCCCTCATGTATAAAAATGAGAATATATATACATATATATTATTATTATTATTAAACTTTGAGCACCACTAACTACTACTCAACGAATGACCTCGAATGGTCCAATCAGGTTCATCCACGTGAGTTGAAGGTTTTATTTCGCTTGATTAGCGTCAAATGCTTGCTCTAAAGAACCTACGCTTGCAGTTCGAGGAGGATAAGGTTTTTCAGTATGGCCTGGGTGTGAGGTTGCTTAGGAAGGAGAGGATTTGTTCATGTGATGGTGTGATGAGTTGAAAAAGCTTTAGCAGGTCGATTTTGATGGATGTGTCGGTCGTTGTGCAATTTGGTTGAGAAGAGTTTGTATTAAAGAAGGCAAGCTGATAATTTTAATGTTTTGTAGGAACATTTTTTGTTAGGTCGAATCTTTCCCTTAATCCAGATTTTGTATATTTTTGTAATTACTGTGAAAGGCTCAGCTGCTGAAACCGAAAATAGACTCATGTCAACAGTGGTTCAATGATACGAGCACTGCACAGACATTGATTCTTGGAAAATGGAGAGAATTTACTTCATTGCTAGGCAGAGAAGGTGTCGTCGTACACTTGGACGAAACTGTATTACTGAAGAAAAAATACAACCATGGTCGTGAGCTAGTCAACAATGTCTGAGTGATTGGTTTATATGACACCTTCCTGATGAAAGGATTCGTGGAGAGAATACCAGACAGAAAGTCAACTACTTTAATATCTATTATCACTAGACTTGTGAAACCTACTAATGAATGGAAAGGTTATAACTCACTGTCATCTCTTGGATGTGATGAATACCATCACAGAGTGAACCAGTGATTTTGTGGATCCCATCACGGGGACACACACACACACATTCTATAGAAGGATTTTGGGGAAGATTGAAAAATAGGATTAGGGCTAGAAATGGGTCTCAAAAGGATGTCATTTATAGCTATTTGGATGAATATGTGTACAGGATGTGGTGTGATTTTTCTATTGACACTCCTATGCTAAACTGGGAGATGTTTCTGTCGCATGTTACAGAAAGATACCCTATGTAACAGTTTCATGCAGTTTTTATGCTTCTTTTCATAAATATTCGTTTTCCTATATCAACAATCCCTCTTTCTTGTGATTAGTTCATTTGAGGTCGTTCACTGATTGGTGGTAGTTAGTGGTGCTTAAAGTTTAGCTTCGCCCCAAATGGTTATGACTCTCATAGTAAAAATGGTTAATTTAGAACTGTTATTACGAAGAAAAACAAACAACAACACTGTAATATGAGAATAATGCATATATACTCACTGTTGTTTCACCTTCAATGGATGTAGTTGTCCCTGAACTGCCACACAAAGAACCACTTGTACCCATTGCTCCACTGGAAGCTAGTAATTGTGCAGCTGGTTGTCCTACACTTCCACCTCCAACACTCATCCGTTGAATAGGAATTGCTGCTGCTTCTTCATCTGAGGTTGTTTGAAAGACTCCTGTTTCAGATTTCCTCTGAATTCCTGATGCTTGGGAACCAACACTGCTACCGGCATCCGTATCTTGTACAGGAGGAGATAGAGGGATTCTAAGCTGTTCCTGACGAGATCCAACTGAAGAACAAATTGATGAATAAGTGTTTTTCTTTTTTTAAAAACAAAATCCATTTCTCACCAACAAACGTCTATAAAGCAAGCTTTAAAGAGTCCATCAGATATCAGTAGAAATCGTTAGTTAACCATTCTACAAATATGATTATATTTTTACACCATATTGGAATATTAAAAGGGATATAAGACATTCAAGTGTTGGTTTGTAGGGATTTGATTGGTTACAGGATTTCATCATGAACTAATATCGGTCAAAGGACCATTGAAAAACCTGCTGGGAGTACTGGACAGCTGTTCCTCGTATCCTAGGTGAAGGACTGTTCAGCAGTACGCACCGATCGCCAATGTTCTAACCCAGGACCTTCTGGTTACAAGGCAATCTCGTAGACCATTGAGCCACTGGGACGCGATCCAATGGCTTATGAACTCTAACCTCTGCCAGTTCACGACATAGAGCGACTCCTAGCCAATGTCTTCAATGGGTATTTCTCCTCACACCCGACCGGCTGCAGCCTACTAATCATGACTTCGAATCCCGGTTGGTGCGTACTGCTGAAGAGTCAAAAACTAGGACGAAACAGCTGTCCAGTACTATCAGGTTTTCCAATGGTTCTCTAACTAATGTCTGTTTTGTTATTTTATTATTTCCACATATTTAATCCCTGGTTGCATAAGCAATTATTTGTCACATTAGTTATTATCCCACTAGATTTCTTATCCAAGCATCTCGTCTATTTTTGCTATTTCTACGTTTCTAACCCCTAATTGCACAATCAATGACAATCTTCTCAGTAATTATGATGCTACTTTGTCTGAGCTTTATTTGTCCCCCTGTTTATTATGGCATTTTAGTTCCTAATTGTAATTCTATTAATTTGATGAATGACCGAAGATTATTCTGGAACTTTCCTACCATTTTACTATAAATACACGAATGTACAGCCTAGTTGACGCTGGCTTCGTCGAAAAGAAAATTTTATTCGCTTTAACTGTCTTTTTATCTGTAAGATGTTGAAGAGAATCAGAAAGTCCAGCATTCAGTCGATAAAAGCCTCTAAAAAAGGCTGGGATAGTTTGTTCTGGTGCTAGAATATTATGCACTTCAGTCAGGAGAAAAATAGCAACCACAAAAAACTATGCAAGAATTGCCAAACACTGCAATCTCATGAGGATACAGGCACATAGGCCTGTGTTGTCTAACATGCTTTCATTTCGACAGTCGAATATATGAATAGCTAAAAGGAGGACCAATCGAAACACCCTTATCATTACTGATTAACAAGGCTGTTATAAGATGACTAAAGAACCATAGTCATACCAACAATAAAATAAAAACAATTCTACTTTACATGAAGACTGTTCAGAAAATCACTGTTACAATACTTAAACCCTTCGGAATATATTTATCGTCTACCGTCTCTTAACTGTATTCTATATAAACTAGAACACCCAACACTAAAAGACAAGACCAATCAAAGTCATCTGAAAAACAGATAACACCAACTGCTAAGAACACCACATCGGTCAGAGCCGGTGTCTTCCTCATTTTCGGGAGCATAAAGAAAAAGTAGCTGTTCAAAGACATAGTGTGAATTCATTCATGACAAAGAGTTATTCCTAGAGGTCTAGTACTCAAATCAGTTTACAATTAACATACTTAGTGACACCGATAAAAGTTACTAATCAATAAAGAGCAACTCAATGTATTTAAAAGGTCAAGAATCATCTCGAATGTAATATTTAGTATCACTAAAAGTGAATATAACCATGAGTTAAGCTCAGAGGAAAGCCAGTCACAGATAAGGTTGTCAAGGTAGATGGCAGTTTCATTCATGGAAAGCTTACATAAAACTACAGTTAATGCAAAAGACGGATAAGTAAAGGTGTAGTGAAAACCATTAACACTTTGATACTGGACCATCTGGTCCAAACTGACCACAAAGCCAGCCAGCATTGAAGAATCCTTCTCTATCATCTACCGGGTGCCTAATAAATTTCCAAAATCATCGAAGCACCGCATGCTCCAAACAGCAGAGGCTATTGCAATTCGCCTCAAACAACCAGTGCTCTGTGTGCAAAAGAAGCAGTTCCAGCTAGCCCCTACTACTAGTCTGACCGGCCTTCAGTGGGTGGAGACTATAAATTCATGAATTTAGAATTGTTATCTTTCCTAATTCAAATGACATTCAGTTTATTGTTATGTTGATGCTATCGAACTGTAATCCACTGATATTGTTATTATTGATTCGATGTTATTTAAACAGCAACATTAATGTCGTTGTTCAGAACACTAATTCATTCATTCACTATGATGGATGAATATATAACTGTAGAGACTGCTGATGAAGTTATCGAAAACAGTATACTTTGTTCAGTCTACATTCTTTTGACAATTTTAATGGGCATTTTATTTCAAACATTTTCACTCAGCAAACGTTTAATATCCAGAAAACTTTATTGTTAAGAATATGATTCTAAAATCAAATCAGCCCAGTGTACCAAAAGTTCCGAACAAAGAAGGACTTAATTTTACAAATGCTCAGGGACAACATCAGCGAGATACTAACACAGTGCCTTAGAAATGAGACGGTAAAAAGAGCATTCAGTGCTGCCGCGAAATTACGCAGTGTCTCCAAAATCACCGACCCCTATTTTGGGTTCGGGAGTAAAAGACAAACTGTCTAATTTCGCCTCTTCCATGTGTATATCTACCAATTCAACTGCTCCTGTGCAGTGAGCCAGTTACTCTCATAGGCCGTACAATTAGGCATGTTTCTCGTCGAATTCCCGAACATCATCCTGCACAGTGCTTAGTCGGTTAAGTAAAGGACAAACAGAATCTATTCTCAGCGCTATTCTATCTCACTCATCTTGTGGATGCATAACGCAACACAAGACTGATTGATGTTAACTAGGCGACTTTCAGGGTCATTTACCTACGACATACCAACCAACAAATCTCAATTTCGTTCGCCTTAAGAGTAGTTCGACTATTAAATATTGGTGAGGCTGGCTGACCGTTGGGATCCATATTATTAAGCCTAATTTATGCATCCAAAAGAAGTTTGTTGGCTCAGACGTTCTCCTTACCCGCTTGACCATCTAGGTTTGAATGATCCTGAATGTTTGTGGAATTTTCGTAATTTTAGTTGATATTCTATTTCCTACTATATCTTTATTATTATTGTTCTTATAATTTAAACATCTTCAATGAACTGTGGTGATTCCATTGTGATCTTTACAAATCGATATTATTTAAAAAGCACACTAATATTGTTATTGACTGCTACTAATCTAGAATATTGTGTGTATATAAACATGTATATATATAGAGAATTGTAGTGCGAGAAGAGGAGGAGTAGGTTTGAATGATCCTGAATGTTTGTGGAATTTTCCTAATTTTAGTTGATATTCTATTTGCTACTATATCTTTGTTATTATTGGTCGTAACTTGTTAAATAGATATAGCCAACCGCTTGTAGGACTGCTTTACTCATTGTTACTTACCCGATTGTGACTGACTTGCACTGCGTTGTGTTTTATTCACTTTTGGCTTTACTTTAGCATGTCCAGCTTCAGTGTCTTCAATGGTCACTGAACTACGCCTTTTCGATGTACCATAATGTCCTTCTTTACCCCAGGATATTATGCCTTTAGTACAGGTTTCTGCTGTATTGACCATAGCTTTCAAGGCGGCTTGAATATCAGTCGGTCTTGGACTGACATCCAGTGTATGCCCAATTATACGTATGTAACACCGGACCAGAGGAATTGGTTTTTCTGAAGCTAACCATAAAACGAAGCAGACAAATTAGAAATAAAAATGTTTTCAGTTGAAAAGAAAAAGGATTGATTAAAGGTGATAATTTTTATATCCAGTGGGGAATGTTAGCAGCATAGTCGACAGATCGACGAATCTATTATTCAACTATTTGACATAGTTTGTTCAACCGTACAATCTAGGATTCAACTTTGGGCCAAATTCTTGTAACTAATGCTGTTATTTTTAATCGGCTACAATGTCATGACAGTGTTGTACAGTAATATTAACTGATGACCACGTTTCGAGCACAATTTATTATTGACACTCATAATCATATCAAGTCACTCAGTCACTCACTCACTCACACAACTTTCTTCTTTCCTTCATTTATATACATGAGTGGAATTCATGATTAGACATTTGAATACAAATCAACCAATATGGGATAATGTACATTCAGAAATAATAATAATAATATGAGTGTTATGAGTGATCAATTACAATAATCAGATGGGAAATAAGACGACTGTTTTTATAGTCATAATAAGTGACTTGTTGGACTGGTATGATGATGTACGTGAATTGAAATAGAATTTTGAGATTAGGTCCACCCGGTGGACCCAATTAAACAAAATAAAATAATATACAAAATACGCTGCAATGACTGTGAGTTAGATCAACTACCTACATAGGTCAAACTAGTAGGTCGGGGATAATCAGATTGTCGGAATATAATAATTTAGCTAAGGTAAGAATGGTTGACCCCACCCGAGAAGATAAGTAACTTAGAAGAAAGGTCACCACTACATTCCACTGCATGCATTAATACACAATCACACAAGAGCACCGTAGGAGAGGGTTAAAATTCTAAGAAATAATATAGGTAGGTGGAGAGAGAGTGAGAGATTGATTACTGAATCCTAGTTAATTAAGTCTACACACAACACAACACAACACATGCAACAGAAATGATTCAATGCAAATACCACAAATATGCATGGAAGATATTATTACCACCAGTCAGTCAGTGAAATCGGAGCAGGATAACAAATGATCTCAAAATTCTATTTCAATTCAATTCAAGCACACTACAGCATTCTAACATACCACTTATTGTGACTTCTTATTCCCCATCTGATTGTAATTGATCACTCATAACACTCATATTATTATTATTTCTGAATGTACACTATCCTATATTATTGATTTGTATTCAAATGTCTAATCATGAATTCCACTCATGTATATAAATGAAGGAAACAAGAAAGTTGTGAGAGTGAGTGAGTGATTTGATATGATTATGAGTGGCAATAATAAATTGTGCTCGAAATGGCGTGTGGTCGCATCAGTTAATATTACTGCATAACAAACACTACACTGTGTGTGACAGTTTATCAAAATAAAATCTTATCTATAATGCAGTTATATTCTACACCACAATGCTTATATCATGACAGTGTTCTCACATGTGTACTGGAGATAACAGTCTCCTGATCATGAATGACGTCACTTTTTTACGTCCTAATGAACTAGCAGTCAAGAATTTAACGCTTCAACTTCATCAAGATATGTGTGTAGTCATTATTTGAGTAGTGAAATAAATCATTTTATAAGTCGGCGGGATAATCTGTCACACCGAACGACTCTACCGCTCCCCACCCTTCACTGTGTGCCTGAGACTGTGAATTTCTGATAAGAAGTGGAAAGAAAGGAGAGGAAAGGGAAAAACTACTTTGAAGATACCTCTGACTGCTGAAATGTGACTGATAAACAAAAAGAAAAACTTTTTATCTGAATCTATATATATATATATAGAGAGAGAGAGAGAGAGATAAAAGGTAATTATCTCTCTTCAACACTTTCATTTACATCTAGGCTAGGAAATAAATAAACAAATAAATAAATAACAGGATTACAGGAGAAAATGAAACGGTGACAAGGTGGATTAACTGGCTATTTGTGAGTGTGGACTGCAGCAAAAAAAAGAAAAAAGGGAGAAAGAAAGATTGTTAATCAGATTTAAAGTGGTGACTAGTAATAAATAGTATTAGTACTATTAGTAGTAGTAATAGTATTTATTTTTGTTATTAGTGTTATTACTGATAGTTCAGTTTGCGTTTGTTGTTGTTGTTTGCAATAGAACTTCTTCTCTTATCTATCAGTTAAATTATTCACTTATCATCACACGCATTAGTTAAGAATGAGTGTTTCTCACATGATGATGGATAAGTTGGCTGGCTGGCTTTCTATCCTGCCTCTTTCTGCCTTTCTCTCTCTCTCTACTCTCTCGCTAAATAATATTTTCCCACCTATACACAACACACTCTCTCCCTCTCACTGTGTGTCACTACTATATCAATTGGCGAACTCGTCGATTGAATGCCATGATTAACAGTGATCTGTTTACTACAACAACAACAACAACTAGACTGTGATAATAATATATGATAATAATTAAAAGTAGTCCTCTTTGATTGTGGATAATTGAAAATTTGTCTACTTTAATCTAATCTAATCCAAACTAAGGAGACATACAAACACCACTTTGTGAATGAGAAAGATACATTCAAATCGAAACAAAAGTGATGTTTAAAATAGCTTTCAAAATTAGCCTAGCTGAAGTGTTCAGCTGAAAATTTCCCACCCAAAGTTGTATATTATTTATTATTTGTTTATTAGACTGACTAGGTGGCTAGCTGTGAATCGGCAGAGTGCTAGTATAGTTTTTTTAAAGGCGATCGGACATAGTCTAGCCAAAAAGTAACAATCTACCCCTCCTCTCTTTCGTCTCGTTCAGTATGGTTAGAAGTGAAGCAGGGCATTACACCCAGCTCGGTGATTAGTGTGATAGAGTTAAACAGCTTGAATACACTTCACATTTCATCTACACTACATGACGAGTATAACTCTTGGTGAGTGGAGCTTAAGAACCCGTGAGTCGGTGAAAGAGACCTCGGTAAAGAGGTATATATATATTTACAATAAAGAGAAATTCACAACAGTTAGAAACAAACAACTGTTCTTGAAATTGCAATTTCATGGGGACTTGGCAGTGAAGTCTTACATCTGAAATTATCGACAGCAACCCTTTGTTTGTCATTTTCCAGCCTACCAATTATCACTGTTCAAACGCCATAGACAAGCTACCTAGCTGTGCCACTTCTGTGTGTATCTACAAATCTAGTTGCTCCTGTGTAGAGAGCTGAAAACGGAGAACAACCAGGCAGCTAAACAAACATATTAATGAACATCTTCCTTCATGGGTCCGAAAATGCCTAATAAAATGTATAAGAAGTCACCAAGTGGGTAAAAGTAGTGCCTTCAAAGTTATCTATGGCATTCCATTGAGCCTTTCGAATCCCGCGTTTTACACACAGCCGAAGAAGCTATGGGAACTATTTCTAGAGAATAATCCTAGTGTCTTTGTATACAAAAGAAATTTGTTCTACCTTTGTCTCTCCTTTGGCCTAGGTGAATTCTATTCAAAAGCCTCCCACCCTTTCTTATCATCCATCTCCTTCGTACTTTTATGATATTTATTTAAACTCTGTTTATACCTGTCCACTTCACCTACCTTTAGTATTACATACCTTTTAAGATTTGACTTAATTTATTTAATGAAATGTCTACCTGTGTTATTCTTATCGCCACCTGCATAAACCTTATTATCATTATTAATTTTGTTATCATTACAATCATTATTATTAACGACGTTCAAAACATTCAGCACATTACTATTATTATTATCATTATTATTTGATCTACAAAGTCACCGTCATTGGTCAAATTTAGAGTCTGAAGAAGATCTAATTGAAAAAAACAATATTGTTCGCTTATATATATATATCTTGTTCTTATATTAATAATGGGGATATTTAAAGATTTATAACAACAGTTGAAGATTTTATAAAATAAGACCAAAATATGTTAAACTTACTGAACTTGACAGTTTTCCCAACTGGAACATCTTTAAGTGCCATTGAAGCCTCTCGAGTTGCCATAATATTCCATAATTTATCTAATGCTGAACGAACAGCTTGACAAACAGCATCTGTAGTCTGTTGACCTAACTGTGTTTTCACTTCATCTGCAGAATAGGCAATTTGTACTGCCAGTCTTAAGCTAGCCTGCTTAATAGGGCTCAACCGGACAGAGGTTGACGTTGCTTGCTGTTCTTGCTGGGACATTGTCTCCTGTGGTTCGGGAAAATTTTCATCTTGGGGTAAAATAGATGTATCTTCGCCAGGTACTTCTTTTTCTTTTTTAGCCTTTTCTTCATCCTCAGATATGCTGATTACTGGTTTACGCGTTTCAACTGAAAAAAACAGTAGACGAAGAAATTCCGTTATTTAAGAGAAGCGAATCTCAACATTCATTATTCAGTATACAATTGGTGGGTGGTGGCTAGCAGTGGAATCCAGGATGCGCATTTCGTCCTATTTGGGACTCGTCAGCTGGATGTACCTGCATTTCTCAGTGAGTGATGATGTTCCCACCGAGGCTCGCACCCAGTACCCATAGTTTCAAACGCCAAAGCGTTATCCACTAGACCACTTGGGCCACTTCGGTCCAATCAATCGACGGGAAAATCAAAAATTCAATTCAATAATTCATTATCCAGATCGTGGAAAATACCCATAAGGACATTAGAAAGAAGAAGAAACACGAAGTTCAGCAAAGACGACGATCTTTTCGGCGATTTCATTTTCAAGAGTAACTATACAATCGCATTTAAATACATAATTTTACATGGATACAATTTTTGTTTGATTCCACATAATAATGACGGGCGAATTAAAAGATGACAATTATTTTCAACTAGATATGGTTTACGAGGAAAGGTTTAGAAACACAGAATTAAAATGGATAACAGGTGTGTAAAAATGAGCTTGGAAACAAAGTCGAAATAATAATTTTCAACTTGAGATGGGAGTTAGAAGGTGCGAATATAGATTACCAGAGCCTTAGAAACAACAAACAACGAATTACTGGCGTATAGAAAATAAGCATGGAAACAAAATTGAAATAATAATTTTAACTTGAATTGAGACATCCGTTCCAAGCCTTCCCTCGTGAACAATATCTAGTTTTATTTTTTTGTTTCTCAATTGTATTATTTCTTCTTCTCACCCCTTATTATCACTTAATTTTCGTTCAGTTTTAATTTTTACCTGAGCTCTATTCAATCCCTTCAACTAGAAGATTACGTCACTCAACTTGCTTATTTAATCTCCACGTAGTTTCTAACCGATTAACGAAATTTTCTACATAAAACTTACAATTCTAATGATAAATTCGAATGATATTCACTTTGTTGCTAAGACAATTTACTATGTATATATATATATATATATATATATACAACTGTAGAGCTTGAGAGTGAATGATATCACCAAAAAGAGGAGTATCTCTTCTCTGAACACCTTTTCTTTTACATGATTTGTGTAAGTACTTAAAATATAAGATGAAATCCTACAGGTACCTGCGGCTGCCTTCAATAGCCTTTGACTGAATTCACTCACAACTTCACTGACTATCCCGATAGAATGATAATGTTTTTGGAATGCATGAAGTCTAACACAACCTTTAATAAATTTTGATCACCTCTGACAGATTGTTACTGGTATACATAATAACCGCGTATACAGCCGTACACCCATTACCTCAAAGGCAAGTTGCCTTTTTCCGAACTGCCTTCTATTATCTTATAGCCTTAATAAACTCCTGTTGTGTCGTATGCTTTCAGATTCTATTTTTATCCTGACATCCTTTATTTCTTTTTCCAAACAGGCAAAGATGTAATCATATCGAAACTGGATCGTATTCACTCGAATATTATTTCTAAGAAGTATAATTACCTTGACCAACGTAATCAGCAGTTTGAAAGTGACTATGAAGATTTTAAAAATAAAATATCTGATTTGCATGTAAGCACACTAATTTATTTTCATGTTTTCAACAAAACGTTTCATGAAATGTATTGCTAATGTTCAAAGTTACATATATATATATATTATTGTTCCCTTGGGTTCCTAGTGGAACATAGGGCTTCAACTCCACGTCTCCACTTGCTTCTATCTTCTGCTCTACACTTCACCTGCATCCATCTTCGTCTGATTCTCTATTTGACGTCCTCATCCGTTCCGACTTCCTGTAGTTGAGACAATGCTCCCTCTCTAGATAAGTAAGTGAATGAAGTAACCTCCTCTTTGAAATCCCTCCCGTTGATGGTGATTGGCTGGTGGCTGGATGTAGCTGTTATTGTTGTTGGTTCGTTTGTTGTTTTCATAACCTCCATCTTGTCTATGTTCACTCGGAGTCCTGTCTTCGCTGGCTGCTTCTTCGACCAGTTTGTCGGTTTTCACTTACCTCTAAGTCTTCCATTTTGTGTGTGTGTGTGCGACATCAAACATAAATCATCCACACGCGGAATCCAGGTCTTCTAGGTTCTTCACGTCGGTCAGTCCAGGATATCCCTCGCTGTCTTCTCGTTTCCCACTCACTGTCTGACGCATAATCCAGTTAGTCCATCACAATTAGGAATATCATCGTGGGCCATAATAAGCGAGCACACTTGTCTGACTCCTGTGTTTACTCCAAACGCCTCGCTGAGTGAGATTTCCGTTGTCGTACAGCCGTTCAACAGCTGAATAAGGTTGATGAATATTTGGGGTACACCGTAGTACTCGAGTACCTCCCATATTACTTCACGGTCAATGCTGTCTGTCGAAGGCCTTCTCAAAGTCTATAAAGTTGAGCTAGTTGAGGTTTGATTGATGGCCATTCCATGCTTTGTTCTGTGATGATAATGATGCGTAGAGTTGCAATTCGGTCAGAACATGATTTACCTGACTTTCCTGAATGCAGCCAGATTGTTCTGGTCGGAGTTCTGTATCCACTGCGTCCTTGATTATCTCCAGGATGATACGACTCAGGATTGTATTCGACGTCGACAGGAGCATGATTCCTCGCCAGTTCTTGTAGAGTGAGACGTAAGTCGCCCTTCTTCGGTAGTTTCACGAGGTAACCCTTCATCCAGTCAGTAGGCAACTTTCCCTCCTTCCAGACCTTTTGCAATAATGGAGTGAGTCAGCATGTCTGCTGTCGTCTCTGGGTCCGCTTTCATTGAGTGCCTCAGGGGGTATTCCATCTGGTCCAGCTGCTTTTCCAGCTTTCAGGAGCTTGATTGCATTCAAGACTTCAGCTTTCGTTTGAGGATTGGTGTCAGCTTGCAGTTGTCTACACGCCGTTGTTGGTATCGCTCTCTACCTCTCTCTCTCTCTCTATTTATATATAAATCCCTTGGGTCCCGAATTGAACATACTGCTTCAACAACTTATCTCTACTTTCTTCTTCTATTTTCTGCTGTCTTCTTCATCTGGGTCCACAATTTCCCACAATGTCTTCTCTTCTCCAACTCTCTCCATATCCTGCATGTCAAACTCGCACCGACGACCCACTTGTCACTTCCCATTCGGATTCCACTTGAACAATGGCCCCAGTTGCACGTGATGCCACTCGACGGTTTCCTCAATATATGCTCGATGCATCTCCATTTTCTCTTGATTAGTTTGTTCCTAGCCAGAGTATCTACTTCTTCCTGGCCTGCTGGTCATTTGATCTTCAGTATGGAGCCAGCCAGTGAATGTGACAGCTGTTGATAAAAGTCTGTAATGGCCTGTTGGAAATCCTTTTCGTTACACGCTGGCCAATTTTCTGACCCGTATAGAAGAACTGACTTGACATTTGTGTTGAATATAATCTGAATCTTGTTCTTTATGCTGGCTGAGTGCAGGATATTTCCAAACTGGTTTCAGGTTGATGAAGGCGTAGGCATAATGATTCCCCATTGGTTTTATATTCACTTTTCCTTTGCATTATTCTAACATTCCTATTTTCTTTTCCTTCACGTTCCCCAGTGTAACATAGGGCTTCAAGCTAGTGTCACTGACGCATAACATTCCTGCCATAACACTATAAATTCATAATTAGCCTTTTGTACAATTGTGGCTATCATTAATTAAACTGTGGAATTTTAATACTATTGGCTGAGTAAGACGTTTTCCAAAATAATCAACGCTCGGCTGAGTATAATTCAAATGTAAAAATGTATAATCTTAAAGGGGAAAAATTTGAAACATTTAGTGAATATATTCTGTCGACTTTACGACTTTTCAAAATCTCTCTGAATTTCTTACATGAACAAGCAGTTCAAAACGATTCAAATATCTGTTAATGCATAACACCTTAATCGACTGCATTTTACCCCTCTCATATGAACTCAACTTAACGGAATTTTAAACTTAGAATATTTACACATAACCTCAGTAGTTCAAATTGCAACTCTTTATTTTTATTGCAACTCTCAAATTGGAGGATATGCAAGTGAAAAGCAACAAGTTGGCCGAAGAAGATAGGACTTTAGGTGAACATAGAGAAAACAGAGGTGATGATGAAGATTCCTGGTCAACAACAACAACAACAGACAACAATCACCCAGCGTAAATGCGAGGAACCTGAAAGAAACAACCTCCTTCACCTACCTGGAAACCATCGTTTTAAATACAGGCGGAACTGACGAGGATATCAAAGCGAGAATTTGGAAAGCAAGACAAGTTTTCAATAATCTCAAGTCTGTGTGAAGGAGATGAATAGCACTCAGCATGAAAATGAAAATAAGATCCGGATTTTCAACTCCAATGTGAAGTCAGTCAGTGCTACTTCCTATACGGATGGATCAGAGACTTGGCTCGACGCTGCTACACGAAGGGCACCTCGAACATACTGCAGGCCTTCATCAACAGCTAGTTGTTCTCTCTCAACACTGCTCAGTATCAGATGACCAGAAAAGATCAGCAACAGGGATCTCTGGCAATTAGCGAACCAACACAACAGGAACCGATTGTGAAACAAGTAAGCCGGAAGAAATGGAGATGGATTGGCCATACTCTGAGGAAGCCATCAAGGGACATCACTAGACAAGCCATCGCTCGAGTGGAACGCGGCCGAAAGGAAAGCGGCGAGTTGGTCGTCAGGGTGAGGGTGACTTGGAGGAGGAGGAGGTGATGTGAAAGGAGACGAAAGCATGTGGGCGAACCTGGAGCCAGGTGAAAACTTTAACAGAGAACCGAACGGAATGGAGACGTTGGCGCTGAAGCACTATGTTCGTCTAGGAATTAAGGGAAATAATACAATAATAATAATAATAAATATAGCACACAGACTTAAAGAAACGAATTCTAAAGAAACTCCCGGGAGAAAGAATAAGAACACGGAGAATAAGAATAGTTCAATTGTCCTCAAGGTTTGTAAAAACAAAAGTGAATTCATCTGCTTCATTTGTGAACTATTTTGAGTCATGTCACCGAAATTCCCCAGCCACTGGTTCTTCTCGTCCGGAGGATTCCTATGTGACTCTCAAACCAACAGATAGATAGACAGATTCATAGATTAATGCCACATTCTGATTTGAATCCTCTTAGATTATTTCGATTCGAAGCCTTTAGTGCCTAAGAATCGTCGTAGTCGGAAGTGATGGCTTGGCACCAGTAACATGTGTCCCAGCCATCTCAAATGATGCTGATTGACTATCTCTTTTTACACCCAGGCATTGGAAGGATACCTAACAGTCGAAAGAAACAAACTCTGCCTCCAGGTATCTAATAATCATAACTACGTTTCTTGTGCCACGTAGTAAGGCGAAAGCCATCGACTAGACTGTATAAATCAGTCAATGGGGATGAAAACTAAACTTTATCGATATTGAGCCACCGCTCTTTTCCGAAGTTTGACAACCAAATAAAAGCGTTAGGCCTGGTCAAACTAGTGCACTGCATCAATCCATAAAATAGGAATCCAAGTAGGAAGAGACAGACTGCCTGTTCAGGCGTTCTCGAAATGCTAATTAAGAATCAACGGCTGAAGGCTGTTAGTGGCCTAGATCAATGTTTTTAAAGATAACACAAGTGTCATCATTCTTTGTTATCTTTTAGATCCTGAAAATCCTTACCAATCTTCTTCACCTAATCCATCTTTCCTTCTTTCTTTCTTTCTTTCATGCTTGGGATGATGATGATAATACTTTCATCATTGAATGCGGAAATCTCTGCTTACTTCTAGATTTTTTACTAAACAGACGACAAACTAGTCTGAGCGGTTAGGACTCTCGCAGACCATACACATGGTCCGGGGTTCGATCCCCTGCCACTGACGCACACCTGATATCAGTTGGTCGGCCTGAGAGATTTGGGCTACCGATATCACACACTGAAAATATCATACTTGTATCAAAAGTACGGTGTGGAATCAAGCTTATATAAAAATTTTAAAAATTTAATAATATTTATATTTTCTGAGCCATAAATTGTGCTCGAAACGTTTTCATCAGTGAATATTACTGTATATATCTGTGATACTTTATCAAAATAAATTCTACCCCGCAATACGATTATACTCTACCACAGTGCACAACCACATTCTATGCACGTTATTATTTAGGTCTTCTATAATCAAAACTTTTTGTAAAAACAATTTAAAAATACTTGTAAAATGATCAATTAGGTTCAAGTTTGAAGAAGTGTATTCATTTCACTTTCACACTTCTTTATGAGATTACATTGCATCCAATGTAAAAAAAATTTCTAATTCTCTTCCAGGGTCAATTATTATCAACTATAAATGCATACTTTAAGAAACCAGCCGATCTGCTTGCACGAATTAAACTACAAGAACGCTTAGAAACACTCAACATAGCTGAACTGGAACATGCTGAAAGATATAAAAGTATTTGTACAAGTTTAAAGAATGAAATTAGTAATATTTCACGTTTATTTAAAAATGGACTGAATGATCCAAGTTTAGAAAGAAATATGCCACCGTTTGCAGGTTAGTCTTCTTCAGAGTGTACTTGTTTAGTCAACTATGTTCACCGTGATAAACTACAGTCTATTGATTTTCTATCACTTTAGTGTTGCTGTACAGCAGTGTTTGTAATTCATTTGCTTTTATTAATATATGCGTGTAAGACTTGGACACTGTCGTGGTAGTAAGTAATTCCATATTAGTTTGTTTATTAAATGTATCACACAGTCAGTGAAACAGTTTTATTTACTGGATGACGTTTCGAACAAACAGTAAGTGATAAATATAAGAGAAGCCTTGAAACTTAATAATTACCCTGATAAAGTATGTAGGGAAATATGTGGGGAAATGTAAAAATAAAGTAAATAATGATAGTAGTGATAGTGATAATAATAATAATGATAATATTAATGAGGAAATGCATGTCAAATATGCAAAAGAGAAAACTAACAATAAGGAATCTAAATCATCAGTAGTAATTCCATACAAGGTAGGAACCTCGGAAACCACCTTAATCCGGGCAGGAATAAAAGTGACTGGAATTCAAACCAACCACAAACTGAATTAGAAACAAGCTTTGTCTGTTAAAGGATCAATCCTTTGGAGCCTTTAAAACAAAAAAATTTGGTTTATCTAATTCCCTGCCTGCAATGATTGTCAGGTCGAATATATAAGTCAAACTAGTAGAACAGGGTCAGTGAGTCAGAATAGCTGAGCATAAAAACCTTGCAGCAAAATCTAGATTGGTTGACCCGACCGAATAAGATAAGAAACCTAGAGAATAGTTCAGCCGTAGGTAGCACTACATGACATTCAATTACACAAGACCCTACAATAAGGTGGATTGGATAGGATGACAGTTTTAAAATCAAATGTCACAAGGTGGAGGGAGGGAGAGATTGATAACAGAAGCTTTGTTTATCGAATCAACTGCAAATCAACACGTGTGATAGGAGTGATTCAACACCTCTCCCAGATATCTGGAAAATTCTACTTCCCCAATGACGAGAAGTAGGAGAGGACAAAGAAATCTATAAAACTGAAGTTTCGAAGTCGTGTGATTATAATTGATGAAATGATTATGAACAGCAATAATGAATTGTGTTCGAAACTTTGTCATACAAAAAGTGATATTGTTTCACTTTGTGACACATCTCATAAACAAACTAATACGGATTCATCTGCTCTTCTTTTATACATAGATGTATTGCACTTTAAAGCTGTTTCTATTTCTGGAATGACGTCTTGAGATTTTAATACATCTACTGTTGCATTGAAATCTAGTTATTTTTTTCAATATACACTTATTTCTGTGAGGCTTATGACCATGGCCAAGAAATTGAATCGAACGCTGATGACGTCTTTTTGAACATCTCACTGTTCCCAGATAGAGATTTATTTTTCTAAGTAATTTCTCAACTGTTTCAGTGATGCTAATTTTAGCATTTTATTGGACAACTTTAATTAATTTTTAAGAGCATAATCCTTGTTGTCAGGTGTCTCCGGTTATTTGTATTTCAACTGTGAAATCTGATTTCATTACTCCTTTTTTTAATCTTGTTACACCATTGTTTTACACTTATCTATTACAGGACGAATAGCTTGGGCACGTTCATTTTATTATCGTCTTGAAGAACCAATGAATTCTATATGTAAACGTGCACCAAAAGTTTTGCTTACAGAAAGTGGACAAGAACTAGTGCGTGCCTATAATGAGGTGACAAGTACACTGGTCAGTTATGAAATTACCGTCTATCAGACATGGGTTAAACTGGTGAGTTACACACTTTATACATGTTTATCTCACCCTTTCTTCCGTTACTTAATAAAGGGTATATTGTTACTTATTTTGTTTCACCATTCGGTTGGTCACTAATGGTTTTTTGAAGTAAGCAGTGAACCACATTTGTTGCGCGTGGTAAATAATAGTTTACAGTGTGGCATTGGTTAGCAGGGAATCAGGTAGGCTTGTAGCGTTTCTTGCATATTATGAACCACTGTCAAGATATCAGATGAACAAAGAAAGAAAAGCTATCAGTATATTTTCTTCTCAACTTGTAATTTGTCGTAACCTACTTTGATCTAGTTGTGTTCTGTGAGCTAGCTGGATGCGTTATTTGCTTGTAAAGCTTTCATTATTGCCCTCCTACTACTCCTACTAGGCAACATCTTCATCCCATACACTTCAATTGCAATTGAAGTCAGACTTCAGATTTCTCAACGACTTCATTAGTCATCTCTACTGGTCGGTCAACTTGAACATGATCGCTTGTTTTGTGTGTTTCCACACCCTCTAGCCTAGTTGTATTGGTATTGGTGTTGATTGTTTTCTTCAACCTGATGTTTGACCCTTTCTCTGCTAGATTGCCTCCTTATCAATAGGTAAATTTTGTCTCTTTCAATATGTCTATTCACTGACGATTCCCTGGAATGCCAAACAAGCTTCTAAAATTTCTCCACCATTCTTGGTGTTATTTCCTCTCTCTCTAATATTGTTTCAACGCTCGTTGTCCTAGTCGAATTGATGTCAGTGGTTGTCTGTATGAAGTGAGGTGGTATGAGTGAGCAAGGGAATGGATATCATGTCTTTTCACGGCTAGTTTATGATCATGGATACGAAGACGAAGGAGAGGGAGGTGCACTTTGACCAATGTAGTGTATTTCTCAAACGTTGTAATTGATTTTGTAGATGATGTTGGATTTATCTTCTTTCACTGATGAGTCGTTTGGTTGACATGGAGCCAGTCGAGTGAAGTGATTCCAGGAGAGATGACTTCTAAAGTCATGGAGTAATATGAAGGCTCACTTCAATTGTAGTTGAAGTGTATGGGGTGAAGATGTTTCCTATTGGGAGTATGGGGGCAATATTGGTAACTTCACAAAAAAAATAAACCATCCAGCCAGCTCAGAGAACACAACCACCTCACAAATATGTAAATTGAACGATACGAGAAAGTGAAGTGAAGTGAGCTCAGGGAACATCAGGAATTAAGTAAATGGTGGTAATAAATGAATAAAGTGATAATGCATCTCGGGGGCGGGGCACTTACTTTTACCGCCTTGTTCCTGTGTACCTTCAGTAAGCAGATGCTTTATTCTCAGCTCTTCTAAAACTTGTGTCCGCATATTGTTTCGTGTAATGTATGCTTCAAAATCGACTAGTAAAGCATCAATATAATCTGTAGCCGATTTCATAACGCTTAAACTCAGCGAGTCAATCTCCTCAGCAGCTTTCTTGCATTGTTGTTTTGTTTGACGCACCAATTCCATCATTTCCAATGGTGAATTAGGATCATCCGGTAGAGTGATCATTTCCAACTGGGCTATACGTTTGATGACATGCATTATACGATATTCAAGTATTTCATTCGACTGGATTAATATTCTTTCTAAGCGGTATAATTCTTTTAACACTGACTAAAAAACAAGTGAAGAATTTCAGCCGGATAATTATATATATAAGAATGATCTAATATAGAAACAAGGTTAATCAGACAGCAATCAAAATAAGATTGAGTTAGTAAGTTAGATGACGCAATATGTAATTGACTAAAAACATTTCGATAATGAAAAAAAGACAAAATTCGCAGTATAAAATGATATCGTCATTCTATTTTACAGGTTCTCATCACCTGCACACCTCTACCTGAAGTTAAAATGGTTATATACATGATAGTAACATACTTTAATGTTTGAGTGGTAGTAGAGAAGAGATACTATAAAATTGACGACTCATCCAAAATGAAAGCATTACAATTTTTTTTTTTGGTTTAAGTTTTCATCATCAATTTATACGCTTTTAAAGTTGAAAAGAGGGGGAGGGCTAAGACAGAAAACAGAAAAAAATGATTAACAGAACAGTGTTAGCTTGTAGGTCCACATAGCAACTCAAGAAACAAAAAGAGGTTACAGTTTGTGAGATTAAGATGAGATACATCCAAATATCAAATTCACCATGGAATATGAACATAATAATGAGTTCAATAATGAGTCTGTAAAAGAACCTGCCGAAAGACAACGAGGTTCCGTGTTTGCCGATGATCATATTTTAAGTGTGTTAGTGGTGGTGAGGAGGAGGAGAATGTTATACTGAGTGCCTGTCAGTTTGGAGTTGTTCGGTTCATTGTTTTTATAACACTAGTGCATAATCAAGTTTGCATTTTTTTCTCCCTACTTTTCTGTAGCGTTAGGGAGCAGAGGTGTCTGATTATCTCTGATTTTACCAGTCTGCGCTAACCATAAACAAATCAGCTTACTCCGAACCGCGCTACGAATGGAAATACCTATTAAGACTTTATAGAGTCAGTATTAAAAAGAAGCGTAGGTATTCAGACAAGTTTGAGTCTCACAACAGGCTGAAATGATTCGGTCATTCGGTCTTCATACACATCCCCAATCAGCAGTCATAACATCGGCTTTGATTAGTCTACCAGATGTAGACCACCTAAACTCAACATGGTGTGATTTAAAATGACATCTGGCTGGAGAGCGTGTGTAACAACAGTATTGTGAACGAACAGTTATACACATTCATTCACCCGTATAACAACTGAGTGAAAACTTAGCACGCAGTGTGATTGGAGCAAAGCAATGTCCCGACATCAACCTTGTTCACGTTTCATTCTCACCTATCAGGCATTACATACATGCATCATACATGTTTCACATTGGATATCTTGTGAGGATCTTGTGAATCAATATTGACATTTGGCGTCATGTTTCACACAGTTAAAATATCTTAGTTTTATCATAATAATAATAATAAGCTGTAATAAAAGTCTGTGGTTGTTCATTTACGCTAGACTTGTGTGAACATACACATATGCATATATAACCTTAAGAGAAAGTAGTTGAAATGATCATCCCTCCACCAGCAAACTGTGTTTCGCATAAAAATGCGAATAATGTATGAGATAGATACTTTTACTACTATTCTATACTATACTATAAGTGGAGTGTTAATGAGAACAGACTTCAACCAGCATTCAGTAGCAGCGCTTACACTAATGAATGGACAATGTTACAGACGTGAGAGTGACAGATTGCTAATTTAATTCTTAATTTTTAAAGTTAACCAACCTCTATTTAGTCACAATAGTGTCAACGTTATATCTTATTCATCTTCTTTTAAAAGTGATTCACACGTGTACACAGGCTTATGTAGAGTGTGTGACTTGGATGTCATACACTTGTCTCTGTAGTGTGTGCATGTGTGTGTTTGTTTTACAAAGACAAGCTGTAGTGTGAATAGTATCCATTCATGTACGTACAAACGTCCATCAAATAAAAAGTAGTTAATGCACAGCAGTTTATAAGTATTTGACGTAAGAATTTATTTGAATAAAGCATTAAGATGACAAATTTCGCGAAATGATATCGTCATTTCGTAGGTTCTTAACAAGCGTTTTACACCTAACATGGTTAACAATAAGAAAATATAGTGACAATTACTCAGTTATATGAAAAAGAAAAGTTCATTTTTTTCCCTTCACGTTCCCCAGTGGAACATACGGCTTCAAACTAGTGGCTTGAAGTTTCCGTAGCAGTGTTTGTTTTTACAGGATGGGGTTGCTAGCCTCATGCCCAACCTTTCCCCTTTACCAGCATTATTTCTGGCTTAGCGAGATAAAGGAGGAGTGCATCGTCGGCCGGGGATCGATCCCCGAACCATGTGCATGGTCGGTGAGCGTCCTAACCGCTGACCCACCGACGCACAAATGCTTGTCACCGCCTCGACGGTGGAGACGAGGTGAGTTGGAGTACCTGGGCATCGATCCCAGTACCTCTCGCATGCTAAGCGAGCGCTCTACCATTTGAGCTAGTACCTCGAGCATACTAATGACCGATCATATTTAAATAGGTGATGTAGTCCATGTATATATATATATATATATATATGCACACAAATCGCCGCAGCTATTTCAGTTTGGATGATTCGGAATTCATTAGCTAAGATATCCACTTGGAAATCATTGATATCTCCACAGACCAATACTTTCAAGTACACCTATTTGAATAAAATATACTATACAATCAAGACATTTAGGTTGATGACTACACAGTTAAGACAGCTTACGGCTATTTAGAAACTAGGGAAACTGGTGGGATGAACCACTGAACCACTGATAAAGTTGCGCAACCCAGTGATTTCAGTGAAAATTTGTTTTTTCTTGTTTTGGAATTTCAGGCGAATTAGAACAACTTGTGAGATCTGTCTTAAATATACTGAAAAGTGTAAAACGTGTATTTATTATTATGAGAGGTTCTTTTGAGTTTATACTGCAGTGCTATTAATCTTTGCCTCTATACTGAGCATACACACAGATTTTACACTGGATATTAGTCAGTTGTTACTGAAGCACAAGACATATTTCAGTACGTTTAATAAAGAACTTTTCACCTAGTTTTCAAGTCATTTGGTTGAAAACTGTTCACTCAGTTACACTTTAAGCTCTACTGTGAGGTTTTTCAGGAATACACGTGATAGCCTAGCTCTGTGACTAGAACTGATTGACAGGATTATAAATGGATGCTTAAGGCTGGAAAGTCATCCGAAATCAACGGTGTATGGTTGGCTACACAGAAGGATAACAAATATACTACCAAACAAACAAACAAACAAACCGGACGCATATAACTCGAATCCAAATAAACTACAGAAAACAAATTATGGTGAAAAGTATGCAGGAGAAGTGGAGCAGCATGTCCACAGAAACCATTGATTTGAAAAGCGTATTTTGATCAAGTTGTTGAAATTGGTCGAGCGAAAAATGTTAGAAACAGGTGAATTAGCCTCTGATCGCATTTCAGCCATTATAACTGTGAGTTCTATCAAGTAAAATCAATTTACATATTAAACAAATATCGGACAAGTATAGCAGCGACTAGATAAGCAGTGAGGTGAGTAGTAGTAGTAGGTGTAGCATACTTACCTCTGTATAAGATTTCAGATTAACGCTGGTCCAGTTGTGCAATACTATACCAGGCTCTATGGTTTTTAAAATAATTTGAATTGTAGGCAACAGTAATTGTTCAACATTTTGTGGAATCATTTTTGTTATACGCGCGTATTCATTACACATTAACTGGAAAAAAAGGGAAATGCATATCAGAATGTATAAACAAATTTTATTGATTACAGGATTTCATCATGAGCTGACATTAGTTAGAGAACCATTGGAAAACCAGATGGAAATACTGGACAGCCAGCCGTTTCGTCCTGGTTTGGCACTCTTCATCAGTGCGCACCCACCAGGGTTCGAACTCAGGACCTTCTGGTTACAAGGCGAGCTCGTAGACCATTGACCAGCCACTGGGACCTGATCCAATGGCCCAGGTTATCCAATGGTTCTCTAGCCAATGTCAGCTGATGATGAAATTCTGTAATCAATGAAACAAATCCCTACAAAGCAATACTTGAAAAATTTTATTGAGTCGAATAAATCAGATTTGCAAAAAAATATGCTTAGACTAAATCACTTTCATTGAAGTTGATGTTCAAGGAAACGTGGACAATTGTTCTAGGAAGAAGAAGAAGAAGCAAGACACGGAATGACTGTCAACTGACACTTACCTTGCAGCTAATAGAAGAGAACAGGAGGAGGATGAAAGAGAAGATGACTCAATGGAGAAATGGGCATCAGAAGGAGACAGTGAGTTCAGTGTACACTGCAGTGAATAAAGTAGCGAAGAAGAATGTTGGGAAAGACAAAAGATATTTCTATGGCACACTGGCTAGCGGCAACTGTAGCAGAACAGGCATGCCACAGGTAAAAGACAGCTCAGAACACTATGCCAGTTAACCAGTTCTCCACCCGGGAAGAGATTAAGAAAGGTGATGAAACTCATAAATATGTCCAAGGGAGCCCAGTTACCAAAGAGGAGATGCAAATAAAACAATGGGCTGATCATTTCAAAGGACAGGTGAATCGAGCGTCACCTCCGACTCATTCAGATATACCTCCAACAGCCATACAACCGCTAGTTGACACCAATCCTCTGACAAAAGCAGAAGTCTTCAGTTCAGTCAAGCTACAGAAGTCCTGGAAGGAAGCAGAACCAGAAGAAATTCTACTTGAAGCTCTAAAAATGGACCCACAGACCGCAGTGGATCTCCTTACGCTACTATTTCAAGGAGTTTGGAAGGAAGGAAAGGAGCCTACCGATTGGAAGAAAGGTTACCTTGTCAAGCTACCAAAGAAGTTAGACTTAAGCATCACTCTGCAAGAACTGGCGTGGAATCATACTCATTCCCACTCCAAATAATAAATTAAGTCAGCTCATCCTGGATGAACTCAGAGATGCTCTCGATACAAAACTCCAGCCATAACAACCTAGATTCAGGGAAAGCAAATCATGTGCCTGTGAAACTGCAACGCTACGCATCATCATCAACTAAGCATAGAATGGCGGTCACACGTCTACCTCAGTTTCATCGATCTTGAACATGCCTTAGAAGGTGTTTACTGGGAATTAATTTGGTAACTACCTCAGCACTATGCAGTGTATTGCCCCAAATCTTTATCTACCTAACTCAACACCCAGATATATGGGAGTGCTACGTGTCAGGTGATCCATAACAAAAAACTCAGCGAAGCATCTGAAGTGAATACAGGAGTTTGACAAAGCTGCTTATTATCACCAACGATTTGTTTCCTTCACGTTCCCAGTGGAACATACGGCTTCAAGCTAGAGGCTTGAAGTTTCCGTAGCAGTGTTTGTTTTTACAGGATGGGGTTGCTAGCCTCATGCCCAACCTTTCCTATTTACCAGCATTATTTCTGGCTTAGCGAGATAAAGGAGGAGTGCATCGTTGGCCGGGAATCGATCCTCTGACCATGTGCATGGTCGGTGAGCGTCCTAACCGCTATCCCACCGACGCATCAACGACGATGATATTTGTTAATTGTGGTGAACTGGATCATGCATCAGACTGTGCGTTGGGGGTGAGTGAGAAGACAGGAATACGCAGTAATGACTGATGAGAATATTCTAAAGAGATCTGAATTTCGCGGCTGGATGGTTTGAGTTTAATGCCACACGAACTTGAAGACTTGTAGGTGAAAACCAACAAACTGGCTGAAGAGGCTGGCTAGCTGACAGCAAAGACAAGACTTCAAGTGAATATCGAACAGGTGGAGACGGAAGTGATGAAGATAACTAACCAATCGATAGCAGCAACAACAACCGGTACCAGTCATCATGAACGGGAAAAATTTGAGAGGTTATTTCCTTCACTTATAAAAGTAACACTGTTTCAACTACTGGAGGAGAGGATGAAGATGTCAAAGCCAGCCAGCCAGTCAGACATGCCTTCACCAACCTGAAACCAGTTTGGAATTCTTCTGCATTCCAGGGCATTGACAACAAGATTTGGATTTTTAAAACAAATGTGAAGTCAGTTCTTCTATGCGGGTTGGAAACTTGGAGTATCACGGAAAGGATTTTCAACAAGTTGCAGACTTTTATCAACAGTTACCACCTTCGCTGACTGACTGGCTCCACGCTGAAGATCAAATACCCAGCCGGCCGGTCAGAAAGATTTTAGAAACAAGAAACTGTGGGAACAAACCAACCAAGAAGCGATCACTGAACAAATATGTAGGAGAAAATGGAGATGGACTAACGATACGCTCACGAGACTGGCGGATGACATCGCACGCCAGGCCCTCGAGTGGAACCCCTGTGGGAAGTGAGAAGCGGGTCGTCCTCGGATGATATGGAGGAGATCGTGAGAGGAGGAGATGAGAGACTATGGATAATGGTGGCCCTAGCTAAAGAGGACAGCAGAAAATAAAACACAGTGGAGACATGCTACTGAGGTCATATGTTTCACTCGGCATCCAAGGGAACAATAATAATAGTGTAATAAATCACTTTCACTATAACCACTAAAACATTATATGATACCTGAGGCCATAATAATCAACCAGTAAAGCAAATACTGAAAATGACATTAAGAAATTAGAATCAGAAATTAAGGCATAGCCATTAGATCTCCCACACTTGATTTTAACGTATGGAGGTGAGACTCTTCATCAGTAGACACTCATAACCCCTCAGGGGATAGAACCCATGACTTTCAGGTTACAAGGCGAGGAGGTTGACTAATCAGACGTTGGGAAGGAGTTCAATGGACCTTAGTTTTACTTCTACTGTAACAACAGAAGACAAGGGCCAGGAAACAGATCGTTTACTAATGAAATCAACACATATTTATAGATTTTCATGTAGATACATTATAATAGATTATTGTTAGCAAAAAAACACCGAAGTCTTCTGATTGGTGGTTGTTTCTCACAGAAAGTTAACCTTGTATCTTTTTGTGACTGTTTCTTGAATGTCAGATCATCATCTATCTGTTAACTGTATCCGCCTACTCAAAGCCTTTGTTCTCATTTTTCTCACGACCAATATTGGGGACATAAGCATTGACGTAAATTAATGTCCACCAATTTCGGGTAACAGCCAGCTCTCATCATACTACCACTTCACGGTATATTGCACACCGGCCAGCCAATGTTATCGGCGATTATTCGTCGTCATCATCAAATTGGTAAACCTCAGAGGTCACCAATTCTTACTAGAACTCCAGACAACTCCATTCTGTAGCCAGTCATTAGTGAGTGGTCTCTAACAGGCTAAACAGGATAATTTTGGAAGCTCTTGTTACTTATACTCTTTTCATTTGTTACGGATACTGTCTTGGTTTAACTATCATCAGGTATAATATTAGAAAAGAAATTAGTTAGTAGAATAACAGCCAGGGGTTTGTCTTAGTTTTCTGATTTTCCAGTCCATATGCTCTGATAGACAGGCAAAAATAGACAAACACGATATTCGTTTCAACTTACTTTCAACATTTCATAGTTTTGTTTCAGTTTTTTAGATTTATACCAGAAATCTTCAGCCATTTTAACAAGAGGACATTGAAATTCATCCAAACATTCAATTTCATGCAAGACTCCAACAATATCAGGATCTAAATTCACATAGGGTCTACCGAATGGTTCTGGTTCTTTTGAAAATACAATCACAGACGACATAAGCCCAGTCATCTTTTTGGTTAACTAAAAGCATGTAAAAATATGGAGATTATGTGTGATGCACTGAACAGCAAAAACCTGTGCGACAAACATATTTACCAACTGTTGGTTTACAGGGATTTGGCTAGTTGCAGGATTCCCCACGAGCTGGCATGAGTTAGCGAACCATTGGAAAACTAGCTGGAAGCAATGGATAGCGGGATCTACCAAGTTGGGCAAGAGAATAGTTACCCACCTGTGACACTGGTTGGAGGTTGCGCTAAATATATATATATATATATATATATATATATATATATATATCACGAATTAGAAGTTTGAATTCATGTACCGTTGGTTTGGGGCCCAGTGGTTTAATGGTCTACGAGCTCGCCTCATACGTGGAAGGTCCTGGATTCGAAACCGAATGGGCGCGTACTGATGAAGAGACCCAAACTAGGCTGATGAAACAGCTGTGTAGAGTACAGTATGGTTTTATAATGGTTCTCTAACTGATGTCAGCTCGGGATTGATCCTGTAAGGGGATATATTTGTAAACAAGGAATAATGATCAAATGAATCCATGGTCTGATATTCTCTTTGTTTTGTCTGTACAGGCAGTTAAAAGCGTCATATACTATGAATGAGACAAGTAGCTGGTCATCCATTATATATTTTCAGTCTTGCTATTTAGTGTGTTGTGGTTTAAGTGAGGGCAGGAATGCTTTTTCTACGTAACTAGAATAACTCGCTTTCAAAAAGAGATACAGAAATTATTGTACCTAGCCTAAAACTGAAACTGATAATGAATCCAGTCTGAAAGTAAAAACGACCCACTGCTTTACATTTGTATCAAGTGATAACAAATAGTGCTTACCCATATTGAAAACTGGAAACTGTTCTAACTGCTGTAGTGAATCAATACTTCAATGTATTTCCTGAATAATGACTGCAGTATTAGAAGTTTAATAACCAATTATGTGTACGTGTAAGGGGATTGGGAGTGTGCGCGTGTGTGTATAGGTCACAGAGTGTTTCGCTCGTAATATTTAGATATGATGGAGAAGATGTGTAGCCCAGGTGGATGATTTTGATGTAGTTGTGTGTTGTCTGACCTAGCTGGATGGTTTGTTTGCTTGCGAAGCTTTCATTATTGAACTCCTACTCCTAATAGACAACATCTTCACAGAACACACTTCAGTTTGAACTGAAGTGAGCTTACAGATTTCTCCACGACTTCATCAGTCATCTCTCCTGGAATTGATGTTGTACACAAACCAACAAGATTACTTCACTCGACTGGCGCCATGTCAGCCAAACGACACATCAGTGAAAGAAGATAAATCCAACATCATCTACAAAATCAATTACAACGTTTGAGAAATACACTACATTGGTCAAAGTGCACCTCCCTCTCCTTCGTCTTCGTATCCATGATCATAAACTAGCCGTGAAAAGACATGATATCCATTCCCTTGCTCACTCATACCACCTCACTTCATACAGACAACCACTGACATCAATTCGACTAGGACAACGAGCGTTGAAACAATATTAGAGAGAGAGGAAATAACACCAAGAATGGTGGAGAAATTTTAGAAGCTTGTTTGGCATTCCAGGGAATCGTCAGTGAATAGACATATTGAAAGAGACAAAATTTACCTATTGATAAGGAGGCAATCTAGCAGAGAAAGGGTCAAACATCAGGTTGAAGAAAACAATCAACACCAATACCAATACAACTAGGCTAGAGGGTGTGGAAACACACAAAACAAGCGATCATGTTCAAGTTGACCGACCAGTAGAGATGACTAATGAAGTCGTTGAGAAATCTGAAGTCTGACTTCAATTGCAATTGAAGTGTATGGGATGAAGATGTTGCCTAGTAGGAGTAGTAGGAGGGCAATAATGAAAGCTTTACAAGCAAATAACGCATCCAGCTAGCTCACAGAACACAACTAGATCAAAGTAGGTTACGACAAATTACAAGTTGAGAAGAAAATATACTGATAGCTTTTCTTTCTTTGTTCATCTGATATCTTGACAGTGGTTCATAATATGCAAGAAACGCTACAAGCCTACCTGATTCCCTGCTAACCAATGCCACACTGTAAACTATTATTTACCACGCGCAACAAATGTGGTTCACTGCTTACTTCAAAAAACCATTAGTGACCAACCGAATGGTGAAACAAAATAAGTAACAATATACCCTTTATTAAGTAACGGAAGAAAGGGTGAGATAAACATGTATAAAGTGTGTAACTCACCAGTTTAACCCATGTCTGATAGACGGTAATTTCATAACTGACCAGTGTACTTGTCACCTCATTATAGGCACGCACTAGTTCTTGTCCACTTTCTGTAAGCAAAACTTTTGGTGCACGTTTACATATAGAATTCATTGGTTCTTCAAGACGATAATAAAATGAACGTGCCCAAGCTATTCGTCCTGTAATAGATAAGTGTAAAACAATGGTGTAACAAGATTAAAAAAAGGAGTAATGAAATCAGATTTCACAGTTGAAATACAAATAACCGGAGACACCTGACAACAAGGATTATGCTCTTAAAAATTAATTAAAGTTGTCCAATAAAATGCTAAAATTAGCATCACTGAAACAGTTGAGAAATTACTTAGAAAAATAAATCTCTATCTGGGAACAGTGAGATGTTCAAAAAGACGTCATCAGCGTTCGATTCAATTTCTTGGCCATGGTCATAAGCCTCACAGAAATAAGTGTATATTGAAAAAAATAACTAGATTTCAATGCAACAGTAGATGTATTAAAATCTCAAGACGTCATTCCAGAAATAGAAACAGCTTTAAAGTGCAATACATCTATGTATAAAAGAAGAGCAGATGAATCCGTATTAGTTTGTTTATGAGATGTGTCACAAAGTGAAACAATATCACTTTTTGTATGACAAAGTTTCGAACACAATTCATTATTGCTGTTCATAATCATTTCATCAATTATAATCACACGACTTCGAAACTTCAGTTTTATAGATTTCTTTGTCCTCTCCTACTTCTCGTCATTGGGGAAGTAGAATTTTCCAGATATCTGGGAGAGGTGTTGAATCACTCCTATCACACGTGTTGATTTGCAGTTGATTCGATAAACAAAGCTTCTGTTATCAATCTCTCCCTCCCTCCACCTTGTGACATTTGATTTTAAAACTGTCATCCTATCCAATCCACCTTATTGTAGGGTCTTGTGTAATTGAATGTCATGTAGTGCTACCTACGGCTGAACTATTCTCTAGGTTTCTTATCTTATTCGGTCGGGTCAACCAATCTAGATTTTGCTGCAAGGTTTTTATGCTCAGCTATTCTGACTCACTGACCCTGTTCTACTAGTTTGACTTATATATTCGACCTGACAATCATTGCAGGCAGGGAATTAGATAAACCAAATTTTTTTGTTTTAAAGGCTCCAAAGGATTGATCCTTTAACAGACAAAGCTTGTTTCTAATTCAGTTTGTGGTTGGTTTGAATTCCAGTCACTTTTATTCCTGCCCGGATTAAGGTGGTTTCCGAGGTTCCTACCTTGTATGGAATTACTACTGATGATTTAGATTCCTTATTGTTAGTTTTCTCTTTTGCATATTTGACATGCATTTCCTCATTAATATTATCATTATTATTATTATCACTATCACTACTATCATTATTTACTTTATTTTTACATTTCCCCACATATTTCCCTACATACTTTATCAGGGTAATTATTAAGTTTCAAGGCTTCTCTTATATTTATCACTTACTGTTTGTTCGAAACGTCATCCAGTAAATAAAACTGTTTCACTGACTGTGTGATACATTTAATAAACAAACTAATATGGAATTACTTACTACCACGACAGTGTCCAAGTCTTACACGCATATATTAATAAAAGCAAATGAATTACAAACACTGCTGTACAGCAACACTAAAGTGATAGAAAATCAATAGACTGTAGTTTATCACGGTGAACATAGTTGACTAAACAAGTACACTCTGAAGAAGACTAACCTGCAAACGGTGGCATATTTCTTTCTAAACTTGGATCATTCAGTCCATTTTTAAATAAACGTGAAATATTACTAATTTCATTCTTTAAACTTGTACAAATACTTTTATATCTTTCAGCATGTTCCAGTTCAGCTATGTTGAGTGTTTCTAAGCGTTCTTGTAGTTTAATTCGTGCAAGCAGATCGGCTGGTTTCTTAAAGTATGCATTTATAGTTGATAATAATTGACCCTGGAAGAGAATTAGAAATTTTTTTTACATTGGATGCAATGTAATCTCATAAAGAAGTGTGAAAGTGAAATGAATACACTTCTTCAAACTTGAACCTAATTGATCATTTTACAAGTATTTTTAAATTGTTTTTACAAAAAGTTTTGATTATAGAAGACCTAAATAATAACGTGCATAGAATGTGGTTGTGCACTGTGGTAGAGTATAATCGTATTGCGGGGTAGAATTTATTTTGATAAAGTATCACAGATATATACAGTAATATTCACTGATGAAAACGTTTCGAGCACAATTTATGGCTCAGAAAATATAAATATTATTAAATTTTTAAAATTTTTATATAAGCTTGATTCCACACCGTACTTTTGATACAAGTATGATATTTTCAGTGTGTGATATCGGTAGCCCAAATCTCTCAGGCCGACCAACTGATATCAGGTGTGCGTCAGTGGCAGGGGATCGAACCCCGGACCATGTGTATGGTCTGCGAGAGTCCTAACCGCTCAGACTAGTTTGTCGTCTGTTTAGTAAAAAATCTAGAAGTAAGCAGAGATTTCCGCATTCAATGATGAAAGTATTATCATCATCATCCCAAGCATGAAAGAAAGAAAGAAAGAAGGAAAGATGGATTAGGTGAAGAAGATTGGTAAGGATTTTCAGGATCTAAAAGATAACAAAGAATGATGACACTTGTGTTATCTTTAAAAACATTGATCTAGGCCACTAACAGCCTTCAGCCGTTGATTCTTAATTAGCATTTCGAGAACGCCTGAACAGGCAGTCTGTCTCTTCCTACTTGGATTCCTATTTTATGGATTGATGCAGTGCACTAGTTTGACCAGGCCTAACGCTTTTATTTGGTTGTCAAACTTCGGAAAAGAGCGGTGGCTCAATATCGATAAAGTTTAGTTTTCATCCCCATTGACTGATTTATACAGTCTAGTCGATGGCTTTCGCCTTACTACGTGGCACAAGAAACGTAGTTATGATTATTAGATACCTGGAGGCAGAGTTTGTTTCTTTCGACTGTTAGGTATCCTTCCAATGCCTGGGTGTAAAAAGAGATAGTCAATCAGCATCATTTGAGATGGCTGGGACACATGTTACTGGTGCCAAGCCATCACTTCCGACTACGACGATTCTTAGGCACTAAAGGCTTCGAATCGAAATAATCTAAGAGGATTCAAATCAGAATGTGGCATTAATCTATGAATCTGTCTATCTATCTGTTGGTTTGAGAGTCACATAGGAATCCTCCGGACGAGAAGAACCAGTGGCTGGGGAATTTCGGTGACATGACTCAAAATAGTTCACAAATGAAGCAGATGAATTCACTTTTGTTTTTACAAACCTTGAGGACAATTGAACTATTCTTATTCTCCGTGTTCTTATTCTTTCTCCCGGGAGTTTCTTTAGAATTCGTTTCTTTAAGTCTGTGTGCTATATTTATTATTATTATTATTGTATTATTTCCCTTAATTCCTAGACGAACATAGTGCTTCAGCGCCAACGTCTCCATTCCGTTCGGTTCTCTGTTAAAGTTTTCACCTGGCTCCAGGTTCGCCCACATGCTTTCGTCTCCTTTCACATCACCTCCTCCTCCTCCAAGTCACCCTCACCCTGACGACCAACTCGCCGCTTTCCTTTCGGCCGCGTTCCACTCGAGCGATGGCTTGTCTAGTGATGTCCCTTGATGGCTTCCTCAGAGTATGGCCAATCCATCTCCATTTCTTCCGGCTTACTTGTTTCACAATCGGTTCCTGTTGTGTTGGTTCGCTCATTGACAGAGATCCCTGTTGCTGATCTTTTCTGGTCATCTGATACTGAGCAGTGTTGAGAGAGAACAACTAGCTGTTGATGAAGGCCTGCAGTATGTTCGAGGTGCCCTTCGTGTAGCAGCGTCGAGCCAAGTCTCTGATCCATCCGTATAGGAAGTAGCACTGACTGACTTCACATTGGAGTTGAAAATCCGGATCTTATTTTCATTTTCATGCTGAGTGCTATTCATCTCCTCCACACAGACTTGAGATTATTGAAAACTTGTCTTGCTTTCCAAATTCTCGCTTTGATATCCTCGTCAGTTCCGCCTGTATTTAAAACGATGGTTTCCAGGTAGGTGAAGGAGGTTGTTTCTTTCAGGTTCCTCGCATTTACGCTGGGTGATTGTTGTCTGTTGTTGTTGTTGTTGACCAGGAATCTTCATCATCACCTCTGTTTTCTCTATGTTCACCTAAAGTCCTATCTTCTTCGGCCAACTTGTTGCTTTTCACTTGCATATCCTCCAATTTGAGAGTTGCAATAAAAATAAAGAGTTGCAATTTGAACTACTGAGGTTATGTGTAAATATTCTAAGTTTAAAATTCCGTTAAGTTGAGTTCATATGAGAGGGGTAAAATGCAGTCGATTAAGGTGTTATGCATTAACAGATATTTGAATCGTTTTGAACTGCTTGTTCATGAAAGAAATTCAGAGAGATTTTGAAAAGTCGTAAAGTCGACAGAATATATTCACCAAATGTTTCAAATTTTTCCCCTTTAAGATTATACATTTTTACATTTGAATTATACTCAGCCGAGCGTTGATTATTTTGGAAAACGTCTTACTCAGCCAATAGTATTAAAATTCCACAGTTTAATTAATGATAGCCACAATTGTACAAAAGGCTAATTATGAATTTATAGTGTTATGGCAGGAATGTTATGCGTCAGTGACACTAGCTTGAAGCCCTATGTTACACTGGGGAACGTGAAGGAAAAGAAAATAGGAATGTTAGAATAATGCAAAGGAAAAGTGAATATAAAACCAATGGGGAATCATTATGCCTACGCCTTCATCAACCTGAAACCAGTTTGGAAATATCCTGCACTCAGCCAGCATAAAGAACAAGATTCAGATTATATTCAACACAAATGTCAAGTCAGTTCTTCTATACGGGTCAGAAAATTGGCCAGCGTGTAACGAAAAGGATTTCCAACAGGCCATTACAGACTTTTATCAACAGCTGTCACATTCACTGGCTGGCTCCATACTGAAGATCAAATGACCAGCAGGCCAGGAAGAAGTAGATACTCTGGCTAGGAACAAACTAATCAAGAGAAAATGGAGATGCATCGAGCATATGTTAAGGAAACCGTCGAATGACATCACGTGCAACTGGGGCCATTGTTCAAGTGGAATCCGAATGGGAAGTGACAAGTGGGTTGTCGGTGCGAGTTTGACATGCAGGATATGGAGAGAGTTGGAGAAGAGGAGACATTGTGGGAAATCGTGGTCCCAGATGAAGAAGACAGCAGAAAATAGAAGAAGAAAGTAGAGATAAGTTGTTGAAGCAGTATGTTCAATTCGGGACCCAAGGGATTTATATATAAATAGAGAGAGAGAGAGAGGTAGAGAGCGATACCAACAACGGCGTGTAGACAACTGCAAGCTGACACCAATCCTCAAACGAAAGCTGAAGTCTTGAATGCAATCAAGCTCCTGAAAGCTGGAAAAGCAGCTGGACCAGATGGAATACCCCCTGAGGCACTCAATGAAAGCGGACCCAGAGACGACAGCAGACATGCTGACTCACTCCATTATTGCAAAAGGTCTGGAAGGAGGGAAAGTTGCCTACTGACTGGATGAAGGGTTACCTCGTGAAACTACCGAAGAAGGGCGACTTACGTCTCACTCTACAAGAACTGGCGAGGAATCATGCTCCTGTCGACGTCGAATACAATCCTGAGTCGTATCATCCTGGAGATAATCAAGGACGCAGTGGATACAGAACTCCGACCAGAACAATCTGGCTGCATTCAGGAAAGTCAGGTAAATCATGTTCTGACCGAATTGCAACTCTACGCATCATTATCATCACAGAACAAAGCATGGAATGGCCATCAATCAAACCTCAACTAGCTCAACTTTATAGACTTTGAGAAGGCCTTCGACAGACAGCATTGACCGTGAAGTAATATGGGAGGTACTCGAGTACTACGGTGTACCCCAAATATTCATCAAACTTATTTAGCTGTTGAACGGCTGTACGACAACGGAACATGTCAAGTGATCCACAACGGAAACCTCACTCAGCGAGGCGTTTGGAGTAAACACAATAGTCAGACAAGGGTGCTTATTATCACCAATGTATGATATTCCTAATTGGGGCGGAGTGACTGGATTATGCATCAGACAGTGAGTGGGAAACGAGAAGACAGCGAGGGATATCCTGGACTGACCAACGCGTGTGGATGATTTATGTTTGATGTCGCACACACACACAAACACACAAAATGGAAGACTTAGAGGTAAGTGAAAACCGACAAACTGGTCGGAGAAGCAGCCAGCGAAGACAGGACTCCCAGTGAACATAGACAAGACGGAGATTACGAAAACAACAAACCAACCAACCAACAACAACAACAATAATAACAGCTACATCCAGCCACCAGCCAATCACCATCAACGGGAGGGATTCGAAAGAGGAGGTTACTTCATTCACTTACTTATCTAGAGAGGGAGCATTGTCTCAACTACAGGAAGTCGGAACGGATGAGGACGTCAAATAGAGAATCGGACGAAGATGGATGCAGGTGAAGTGTAGAGCAGAAGATAGAAGCAAGTGGAGACGTGGAGTTGAAGCCCTATGTTCCACTAGGAACCCAAGGGAACAATAATATATATATATATATATATATATATATATATATATATATATATATATATATAAGTAACCTTGAACATTAGCAATACATTTCATGAAACGTTTTATTGAAAACATGAAAATAAAGTAGTGTGCTTACATGCAAATCAGATATTTTATTTTTAAAATCTTCATAGTCACTTTCAAACTGCTGATTACGTTGGTCAAGGTAATTATACTTCTTAGAAATAATATTCGAGTGAATACGATCCAGTTTTGATATGATTACATCTTTGCCTGTTTGGAAAAAGAAATAAAGGATGTCAGGATAAAAAGAGAATCTGAAAGCATACGACACAACAGGAGTTTATTAAGGCTATAAGATAATAGAAGGCAGTTCGGAAAAAGGCAACTTGCCTTTGAGGTAATGGGTGTACGGCTGTATACGCGGTTATTATGTATACCAGTAACAATCTGTCAGAGGTGATCAAAATTTATTAAAGGTTGTGTTAGACTTCATGCATTCCAAAAACAATATCATTCTATCGGGATAGTCAGTGAAGTTGTGAGTGAATTCAGTTAAAGGCTATTGAAGGCAGCCGAAGGCAGCTTTAGGATTTCATCTTATATTTTAAGTACTTACACAAATCATGTAAAAGAAAAGGTGTTCAGAGAAGAGATACTCCTCTTTTTGGTGATATCATTCACTCTCAAGCTCTACAGTTGTATATATATATATATATATATATATACATAGTAAATTGTCTTAGCAACAAAGTGAATATCATTCGAATTTATCATTAGAATTGTAAGTTTTATGTAGAAAATTTCGTTAATCGGTTAGAAACTACGTGGAGATTAAATAAGCAAGTTGAGTGACGTAATCTTCTAGTTGAAGGGATTGAATAGAGCTCAGGTAAAAATTAAAACTGAACGAAAATTAAGTGATAATAAGGGGTGAGAAGAAGAAATAATACAATTGAAAAGCAAAAAAATAAAAATGATGTCTTTGGTTCTTTCACTACACAGCTGTAACCAGTGTGATGTGTCTAGTCTTTTCTTTGGTGCAGGTTTGCAATGTGGCCCCCATTCCACTAGGTAGCTCGTCATCACGGTGTATATTGATTTGATGATATTAGATAGATGTAGGCAAGTGGCCACAGGAAGCCTTCGACCTAGGTTTTGTGCTAGTTGGTACTCGTCAGAAATCCGTGTCTGATGACGTCTCTGACTGCAGCACTGCGTGACACGGTTTCGAATCTCAGGAGGGACATGAGTTCCTTCGGGGTAAAGATAAGCTATCACTGTTGACCAGCCACATCACTGTGCATCTACCAATTCATCTGCTCCACCTGTGGAGCTGTTATGTCCTCTGTTTGCTATCCACAAACGTATCATCGAACATTTACCCGCAGTTATGGTTCCACAGAGAAGAAAATAGATACCGCCGAAGCTTTATCCTGGAACACCTAATCGAATCTGGACACCAAGTAAACCCACAAAGTGACTCCAAAGTTATCTACAGAATACGTGGGAATCTCGCACGAATCAAACTACCTCAAACGTCAGGGAAGCATTTACTATTCCCATGTTAAGTCTTAAACTTTGCATACTAAAGGAGTTTGTTCAGTCATTAAATCTACAGTGGACCTGATCTATCTTAACACCAAATGCATAATTCTAATTTTTGTATTACTTCCTCCCCCGACCCCTTATTAAATCTCTACTCCTTATTACCACTCTTGTTAACTTGACTTTTAGCTGAGCTCTACTCAATCCCATCTACTAGATTAAGTCACTCAACTTACTTATTTAATCTCGTTTTAGTTTCTAGCCAATTAACGAAATTTGCTATCTGAAATTTACAATTCGAATGATAAATCTTTGGAAATATTCACTTTGTTGCCAAGACAATTTACTATGCATATATGAAATTGTACAGCTTGAGCAGGAGATATAATAATAATAATCAACGTAATTAGGGAAGGATATACAAAATGAATAACCAAAATGAAAAATAAGTAGGGCATAAGTAGCGGTGGAGATTTCAATTGTTTTGGTGTAGATGGTTTAAAGCCTCGACAGTACAGATGACTCAGATACGCAGTTATCTGAACAGGTTATTATTTTTCACCTTGTAGATAACTTTAAAGAAAGCGGCTATAGGAATAAGGTGACGAGTATCGACCAATTATTGTACTACTTACAGCTGCCCCCCTTCCACCTTTACGTAACCAAGTCAAATAGTGTCTTTACAGCCTTTTGGACAAAAACCCGATGTGTCATGATAATTATCACCATACTCAGTAAGGTTTCAATTGTCTATTAATCTCAATACTTGTACACCACTTTTAGATTTACATTTTTTATTCTATTTATTTACTTTTTTTGATTATAGCTTTAAACTGCGTAGTATTTTCGGTACAAGTATGAAATTTTCAGCATTTGTTATCGGTAGCCGAAATTTTTCAGGCCGACCACTGATATCAGGTGTGCGTCGGCAGGGATTCGAATCCTGGATCATGTGCATGGTCGGCGAGAGTCCTAACCGCCGTTCCACCGACGCACATTTCATAGAGTAGTTTAGAGAAGTGGTGGTTTTTATTGATTCGCCTTTATGATCTGAGTCAGACCGGGTACATCGCGCTGATGAGCTCCGTCCGCTTTAACCAAACGAAATAGCCATCCGGTGTTCAGATCACTTCGCTCGATCTGGCTAGCTGGTAAACACTACTGGTTGATATGAGTGGTGGTATGCAACTACTCATCTCAATTAATCAGTAGGATATATTTCTATGCAAATATTTTTTGTCATGATTCATTGTATGTTTAAGAAGCAAAGCTCTTATCTGTATTTTCATAAAAGAAGTATTTTAAAGGTAACTGAAGATGAACTAAGGCTTTAAATATACGACTGAAATTCAAATAATTACGAAGAATTTAAAAATCCCAGTTCAAAGGGTTTTTAATGCTGGCAAACTAAAAGTCCTACTTTCTACAGGACCAGTGGTGGTTCCCTATCGAAAGATGAAGTACCTAGACTAGACTAGCCACTTCTAATTGTATCTGTCAATTCAACTGCACTTGTGTTGGAGTGAATTATATTGGCGGTTTGTCTAGAAACTTGATTTTTCATGCTCTCTCGGGAACATCTACCACTGTGGTGTGGCTAAATAAAGGTGTAGTAAAAACCGTCAACAGTTCGATATTAGACAACCTGGTTCAAAGATACCAGCCACAAAGTCAGCCAGAACTGAAGAATCTTTCTATATCATCCATCCGGTACCAAACAAACTGCCAAAAACATCCAGGTGCCATATAATTGAAACAGTACAGACTACTGCGATTCGCGTGGAACAACCAGTGCTCTGTGTGCAGAAGGAACAGGTTCAACTAATACTACTGCCTTGGCCGGCCTTCTGTGGAGACTATAAATTCATGAATTCTTTTTTAATATCTTTTCTAATTTTTCTGATATTCAGTATATTGTTATGTTGATGCTACTGAACTGTAATCCATTGATATTATTATTGATTTGATGTTATTTAAACAACGACATTAATGTTTGTAATAACACCAATTCATTCACTATTAAGGATGGATGCATATAACTGCAGAATCTGTTGATGAAATTATCGAAAATGTGAATATTCTTTGTTCGGTAACCATCCTTTTGAAAAATTTTCAGGATATATCGACATTAGTCCTAACTACTAATCATAAGTTGAAGTTATCTGTTAAGAATGTTTCTCATTTTACTGAAGGTCAATGCATGCTGTTTAACTTAAAGTGCTCTGTCTAAAAGTTGGTTAAAGATTAGGATTTAATTAGTGGATGGTGACTAGCAGTGGAATCCAGTCCAGGATAACGCGCATTTTGTCCTATTTAGGACTAGTGGTCAGCCGGATGTACCTGCATTCCGCAGTGAGTGCTGATGTTCCCACCGAGACACGAAGCCAGTTAAATAATTAATATGACCCGTTGACAATAGGTGGCTCTTGTGGCCCAAGTGGTCCAGTGGATAACGCTTTGGCGTTTGAAACTATAGGCACTGGTTTTGAGCCTCGGTGGGAACATCATCACTCATCGGGGAATGCAGGTACATCCAGCCAACTGACGAGTCCCAAAATGGGACTAAATGTGCATAATCCTATACTGGATTCCAATGCCAGTCACCATCCACCAATTAAATTCTAATTACATGTCCAGATATGGTGGAAGGATCTGGATCTGTACCAGTTGACTTTTTCAGCCCATCTAGTGTATATGTGGTGAGAGCTGGCTGTTAGTCAAAATTGGTGGACAGTAATTGACGTCAATGTTTATGTCCCCAATATTGGTCGTGAGAAAAATGAGAACAAAGGCTTTGAGAAGCGGGTACAGTTAACATATAGATGATGATCTGACATTCAAGAAACACCCACAAAGAGATGCAAGGTTAACTTTCTGTGAGAAACAACCACCAATCAGAAGACTGTGGTGTCTTTCTGCTGACAATAATCTGTTATATGTACATGAAAATCTATAAATGTGTTGATTTCATTAGTAAACGATCTGTTTGACTGGCCCTTGTCTTCTGTTGTTATATATATATATATATTCCAAGGAAGCTTCTATTAGTTAACTTCGTGGACAGCTGATAATTTTGCAAACACTAGTCGCAAAAAAGCCATTGATGCGAAAATTCTGTTTCGTGTCTTAGCTTACAATAAAATGCCTACTTCATCCTCGTTTATAAGGGACATTTACTCTTCTCCTGTTCATGGGTTGATGGAAGTCCGAGATATTTAAATTTCAGCCCTTATCTTTTGGCCAGTAAATATACTTGCATGATAATTAATGCTTAGCTCAAGCTTCAAATGTAATGTGTCTGCTATATCTGCTATTAGTGACAGGACCCTGTTGGCCCAATTAGACAAAATAATATAATTTACAAAAATACTCTGCAATGAATGTCACTTAGGTCAACTACATAGGTCAAACTAGTAGTTCAGGGATAGTCAGATTGTCAGAACATAAGGATTTATCTAAAGTAAGAATGGTTGACCCCACCCTACAAGATAAGTAATTTAGAAAGGCAGCTCAGCACTACATTGCACTGCATGCATGCATTAACACACAACCACACAATAGTATGTTGGGAGAGGGTTAAAATTCTAAGAAGTAATCTCTGGAGGTGGAGAGGGAGCGAGATTGATTACTAAATCCTGTCTGGTTCATCGAGTCTACACCCAACACATTCAACAGAAATCAATCTGTGCAAATGGCAGAGATTTGTATGAAAGATATTATTGCTGCCAGTCGGTCAAATCAGATGAGCGTAATAAATAATCTTAAATTGTATTCTATTTCAAACCAATTCAAGTACATCACAACAGTCTAAAAAGTTATTTATTACAACTATAAAACCACTCGTCTTATTTCCCATCTGATTGTTGTAATTGATCACTCATAACACTCATATTATTATTATTATTTCTGAATGTACATTATCCCATATTACTGATTTGTGTTCAAATGTCTAATCATGAATTCCGCTCATGTATATAAATGAAGGAAACAAAAAAGTTGTATGAGTGAGTGACTGAGTGACTTGATGTGATGATTATGAGTGGCAATGCTAAATTGTACTCGAAACGTGGTCATCAGTTAATATTACTGTATAACAAACAGTACACACTGTGTGACAGATTATCAAATTAAAATTTTATCCATAATGGAGTTATAGTCTACCACAATGCCAGCCCAAGTTTTATACTTATATAAATATTAGTGACAGTGACAGTGACTGACCTTCAAGAACAAAATCACGTAGGGATGAATATTCTTCTAAAGTTTTTATAACACGTATTAGATAGCCTAATCTTTGTGTGAATAAATTTATATTGCCAAATATTTGTACTTCAGAGAAGTTGAACATGCGATTCGCATTAGCATCATTCATTTCTTGTCTTGTCCGCTTATAAGCCTCTTGATAGGAGAGATTTAATTCAATGCATTTTTCCATTTTACTGACAATCTCTTTACTATCCTGATCCCAAATCGATTTTGTATGATGCATTGTTAAATAAGATTTGAAAGTTGAAATTATTTGATTCGAAATCTATTGAGACAAAATAAGAAATGAAAAAAAAAGAAAAATATGTTTAGCCTTGAAAAACAGTCATGATTGCATCACATCATATACTGCATATATATATATATACATTTAAATAAGGAATATGCTTTATATAAGCTTTGAAAACTAAAAAGCATATAGTCAGTCACTAAGTTATTAAAATGACCATCTCTCTGTGCCCAGTGTATTACTATGTACTGCAAGATATGGATAGGCATATCTTCGTTCGCCGAAATTGACGTTTTCTTCGTTCAAGTGTGCTGGGGACAAAGTGTCCATAAGACTTCTGTAGTGTGTCATTGTAACTGTCAGTGTGAAGCATTTAATTTTGGAAGTATTTTGAAATTAGATCATTTCCAGTATATAGCGAAAATATTCATTCAGATATCTAAAAAACACAAAATATCATTGAGCCAGCAAAGAATATCCTTCTCGATAAATTCCTTCTCTTCTCGCTCTACATTTATATCTATATATGCATGTTTATATAGATAGAATATTCTAGATTAGTAGTCAATAACAATATCGGCGTGTTTTTTAAATAACATAGATTTGTAGAGTAAGATCACAATGGAATCACCACAGTTCACCAAAGACGCTTTAATAATAATAAAGATATTTCAGTAAATAGAATATCAACTAAAATTAGGAAAATTCCACAAACATTCAGGATCATTCAAACCTAGATGGTCATGCGGGTAAGGAGAACGTCTGAGCCAACAAACTTCTTTTGGATGCACAAATTAGGCTTAATAATATGGATCCCAACGGTCAGCCAGCCTCACCAATATTTAATAGTCGAACTACTCTTAAGGCGAACGAAATTGAGATTTGTTGGTTGGTATGTCGTAGGTAAATCACCCTGAAAGTCGCCTAGTTAACATCAATCAGTCTTGTGTTGCGTTATGCATCCACAAGATGAGTGAGATAGAATAGCGCTGAGAATAGATTCTGTTTGTCCTTTACTTAACCGACTAAGCACTGTGCAGGATGATGTTCGGGAATTCGACGAGAAACATGCCTAATTGTACGGCCTATGAGAGTAACTGGCTCACTGCACAGGAGCAGTTGAATTGGTAGATATACACATGGAAGAGGCGAAATTAGACAGTTTGTCTTTTACTCCCGAACCCAAAATAGGGGTCGGTGATTTTGGAGACACTGCGTAATTTCGCGGCAGCACTGAATGCTCTTTTTACCGCCTCATTTCTAAGGCACTGTGTTAGTATCTCGCTGATGTTGTCCCCAGGGAACTGCATTTTGAAGAATAAGGCCTTCGTTTTTAGGAACTGTTGGTCTACCTTGGGCTGATTTGATTTTAGAATCATATTCTTATCAATAAAATTTTCTGGATAACCATTTTCACTCAGAAACCGTTTAATATTATTAAGCTTCTCATCAAGACATTCATCCGAGCAGATTGTTCTGGCTCTATGGTGGACAAAACACTTTATCAGATTGCGTTGGATCATTTTCCCAATCTTTTTCAATTTAGGACACTGGACTTCCTCATTTCATCTCCGAGCAACAATATTTTACAGTTCATTATCCACATTTTCAAGAGTTAGTTTGTAAGTATTTAATTTGTTTCACATTTGATCACAGATTGATATCAGTTAGAGAACCATTGAGAACCAACTGGAGAGTACCAGATGGTTTTGTAACAGCAGAAGGCAAGACATGGAAGCCAAGGTATATTTTCAAGTTACCAAACCGTTATTCATTTATATATATATATATAGTTTTATATTCTTTAACCAATCATTCAGCGAGTGATCTTGGTTAACACTAAACGACATGAAATAGAATACTCAAATATATACATAGTATTCTGCTGCCACACAGTAGTGACTGGTGGGAATATGTGGGAATCATATTCCACTGGCAGACATTGTCTGTATCACACCACCACAGTTTTAATATCCTAATGGAGGACTCTCCAACAGTACGCACCTATGACGCCATGACCTCCCGATTACGAGGCCAAGCTCGTATTCCTTTCACCTACTTGGGCCAGAATCCAGTAGCCCAAGAATTCTAACCTCTCCGAATTAGCAATTTTAGCGCCAGAGCCAGCCAATGTCTTTGGACAGTATCTGTCTTTGATGTCTCAGCCCTTTTAAGTCGATTCATCTGCAGTATATATATATAGGAGATGGGCATAAATATGGTCATTATTCCAATGAAAATCGATAACAGGCTTTCCTGCTTTCATTGCTAAGACTATCTGAGACACTTTCTCCAGTGTACAAACAAATTAGCCACATTCAGTTAACGAGACTTATTCGAATATAGCGACTGTAAAGCACAGAAATGATTCACCAACAACCGACACCAGTAAAATTTTAAAGCACACCAATAATCTGATAAAAACAAACTTCTAGATGACAGTATAAATAAGTTTCAAGTGAAATCTTTACATAACACTGAGATTATTTATGATCTTCACTGAAGTGTCATAACTGCTAAAAGGTAGGTGATCTTGAAGAATAAGTTTGTGATTATTCACTTCTTCACTGAACTAATTGTACGCATTGAATGGCTAATGTTATTGGTCACCTGGTGGTGAACTTCTTTTTACACGACTACTAGCACTAAAATATGACAATTAATTCTGTAGTAACATTATTATTAATGTTCCCTTGGGTTCCTAGTGGAACACAGACTTCAACTGCACGTCTCCACTTGATTCTGTTTTCTGCTCTACCTTTCACCTGTTAGTCTATACTCTTTCAACTCCTCTTCACACGATCTCTTCCATGTCATTTCCGCACAGAAGTCCCACTCGTCGCTTGCTTCCCATTTGAGTTCTCCTCGAGCAGTAGCCTGACGCGCCCGCGATGTCACCCAGCGGCCGCCTCCTCAGCAACCGACTGTCAAATCCATCTCTTCACTTCCTCTTGCATATTTGCTGTTGGTGGGCGATTGTTTTGTTCTTGTTTTGTTTGTTTGTTTGTTTGTTCCCATAGTTTGGTGCTTGTTGGTGATTATTTCCGGCCCCCGGCCTGGCCTGGACTGGCCCGGTCATCTCATCTTCAGTATACATCCAGCGAAGACAGTTAGTAGTTCATTATAATAGAGGTTTTTTTTAAAAGTGAACTTGCTTTGGATATATACAGTTAGTAGTTGTTGATAAAGGTAAAATGTGAAACAGACTGTTGGTGGAAATATTCTTTGTGACCCCTTCCCCCCTCCCCAACACGCCAACTTTCTGATCCGTATAGAAGAACAGACTGACCTGACGTTGTTTGTATTGAGAATCCGACCGACGGAATTTTGTTGTTGATGCTGGCTGAGTGACGAAGATTGGTTTCCAGATTGGTTGTTTCAGGTTGATGAGTGGATGTGTTTCTCGCCCCTCTCCACCCGATTCTCGATCGATTTGACATTTGTCTCTCGTCCGTTCCGACTTCCTGTAGTTGAGACAATGCTCCCTCCCTAGATAAGTAAGTGAATGAAGTAACCTCCTCTTTCGAATCCCTCCCGTTGATGGTGAGTGGGTGGTGGCTGGATGTCGCTGTTATTATTGTTGTCGTTGGTGGTGGTTGGTTGGTTTGTTGTTTTCGTAATCTCCGTCTTGTCTATGTTCACTCGGAGTCCTGTCTTCGCTGGTTGCTTCTCCGACCAGTTTGTCGGTTTTCACTTACCTCTAAGTCTTCCATTTTGTGTGTTTGTGTGTGTGCGACATCAAACATAAATCATCCACACGCGGAATCCAGGTCTTCTAGGTTCTTCACGTCGGTCACTCCAGGATATCCCTCGCTGTCTTCTCGTTTCCCACTCACTGTCTGACGCATAATCCAGTTAGTCCATCACAATTAGGGATATCATCGTGGGTGATAATAAGCGAGCACCCTTGTCTGACTCCTGTGTTTACTCCAAACGCCTCGCGGAGTGAGTTTTCCGTTGTGGATCACTTGACATGTGCCACCGTTGTCGTACAGCTGTTAAACAGCTGAATAAGGTTGATGAATATTTGGGGTACGCCTGAATATTGTTCATCAATAAAGTTCGGCTCCAATTTTATGCAGAAAAACAAACAAACATGTATATTAGTTAGTAGCTTAAAAGAAAAAAGGCCTTACTACTACTAGCCAGACTAACCTTAACGAATAAAATAGTCATATGTGAGAATGTATTGTAAAACGTTGAATGCTGATATATAAGTGCTAACGCTTTTAGTAAATTGGGCATTTTCTTCTTCATCAGATCCTGTAACACAAAAAAGTGTTAAGTGAATGCATAAGTGAATACCATTCAAGATACAAGAAAAACGGTGATATTTTCTAGTATTGGTTTTGTGTGGATTTTGTTTGATTGGTTGGATTATTTCATCATGAGCTGACATCAGTTAGAGAACCATGGGAAAATCTGCTGCGAGTACTGGACAGCCAGCTGTTTCGTCAGCCTAGTTTGCGACTCACAATCAGTGCACACCCACCACAGAGAGTTTGAGCCCAGGACCTTCTGGTTACAAGGCGAACTGGCCACTGAGACCCGATCCAATGGTCGGCCCATGAATTCTAAGTCCTGTCAATTTACACATGACATATCTCGACCACTTCGCAATATCTTCTTCGACAAGAAACTGTCCTCATCTTCAACTTACTGTACCCTACTGCTCACGGCTTCACACTAGAACCCTAGGTAACTAACCGCCTGAATAGGGCCACGCCGGGTGTTCTCTAACTGTTGTCACCTCATGATGAAATTCTTCAACCAAAAAAGGTGATAGGCGAAGGAAAACACTGGTTTTCAGCAAAATGGCAACCGTATTTTATTATTATTTATTTTATTATTTTTGATTACAGCTTGATTCCACACTGTATTTCTGGTTCAGGTATAGAATTTTCAGCATGGATATCTCCAGCCCAAATTTCGCAGGCCGACCATAGACCATATCAGGTGTGCGTCAGTGGCAGGGAATCGAACCTCGGACCATGTGCATGGTCAGCGAGAATCCTAACCACCGACTGTGCCACCGACGCACAGTCTAATGCGATAATAACCAATTTAGCGGTTGAGTCCTATAGAGTATTTCTTTAGAAAGAAATCGAAATCTATTTAGTCTGTCTGTGTGATCGTGTGTACTAGCGTCAATTGTTATTTACTGTCACTGTCTAGTGTTGAACTTCAATGCAAATAAATGCAATGTACCCCTATCAGTTTGAAAAATAAAACAGTGCTCAGTTATTAGATTATGCATTGAAAAACATATCACATGACTACACTCCAGTGTACCTACCACATGTGTTTTTCATTTATTTATAAGCGAAAAAATATGCAACAAAATGCCGATTTTCAGGGTGAATTTTAATTTTGCTTATTTTAATTAATAGGCGGGTGTAGTTATTTGTGCGGCCTTTTTAATCAAACTGGATTACAGAAATAGTGAACTTCTTCAGTGTTACGAATAAATATTTATGCATAGAGAAGGTTGGCTAACAGTGAACAAGACACAATCTGAACACAGACAGACATATGGCAAAATAAAAACCTTTCCTGATTTTACAGGACAACATCATTCATGGTGGTCAGTGACTAGTTGAGTTACTGGTCGAAATTTTACTTGAAGTAATTCCACATGTGTCTGTTAATTTTCCAGATGGGGGTTGAGTGACTTCCATCGCTGCACGATAGAGGTAGTTCAGGTTAGAGTGCCCGATCAGTGAAACCTGTTGGTCACTTGTAAATCCTAAGGATAGAATTAATCGATCATGTGGGATAAAATGTCTGACGGCTTAGATACAAACTTTCATTTCATGTGGTTCAAAATAAATCGATACATAGGAACCGATGAGGTATGGGAATCAAATATTGACTCGAAGCATTTAAAGAATGGGAAGAACATGTCAATAATTAATTAGAAGAATAGAACAGAGGAACAGAGCCAGCTGGCGAATAGCAACAACATCCTACACGCAGTATTAACTTAAATTCAAGATATAAATGAACCCAAAACGTTTGGACAGAATTCCACTGAAAGTATTGAAGATTGATCCAGAGACCACAGTGGATATGCTGACGCCAGTATTGAAAAAAGTTTTGAAGTAATGAAAGGTACCTACTGACTGGAAACAATGTTTACCTTGTTAAACTACCAAAAAAGGCCTCTGCAAGAAGTGGTGCGGAGTCATTTTTTGTCTACTACAAGTAAAATACTAAGTCGTGCCATCCTGGAGAGAATAAAGGATACACTGGGTGCAGAATTCCTCCCAGAACGACCTGAATTCAGGGAAAGCAAGTCGTGCGCAAATCAAATTGCAACTCTACGCATCATCAACGAACACAGCGTAGAATAGCAGTCAAATCTCCACCTCAATTTCATCAGCCTTCAACAGTGTTGTAGTGTAGTGCTCTAGATCTTTGTCAACCTCATTCAAAAGCCAGCCAAATGACAAAGGCACATGTTAGGTGATCCACAAAGGAAAATCTAACGAAGCTTTTGAAGTGAATACATGAGTAAGACAAGTCTGACTGCCCACCATTACCAACGATGATATTCCTAATTGTGATGAACTGGTTCATGCAGGACGCCGTACATGGAGAGCGAGGGGACAGGAATACGTTGAACCAATAAGAAGACTCTAGAAAATATGGACTTCGCAGATGTTTTATGTCTAATATTACACAAACTAGAAGACTTATAGGCGAAAATTAACAAGCTGGCAGAAAAAACAGGGAGAACAGGACTTCAAGTAGACACAAAGAAGACAGAGGTGATAAAGACAACCCACTAACAAACAACAAACAGCACCAACCACCACCAACGGAATCAGTTTAAAAGAGGTCACTTCTGTCACTGTTCCAACTACAAAGTATTCAAATAATATACAGTGATAACCAATTGTTCATGGTTGTACGCGGTTGAAAAGAGCCACTTTATCCTGCTCAATATATTCTTCTTGGTTTGTTCAACGCTTATCATCAAGCGACTTGAATGCCAAATGAAATTGGGATTAGACTTATAACATTATTGTGAATTCTTATGTATCATTATTTATTAATAAATCATTTGTTCAACCCAACATAAGTCCTCAATACTTTCTTGTGTATTATTCCTCTAGTCTGCTTGTTGTATTACATTTATCAAAAAGACTTACTAAATCCTTTTCCAATTTTATTAAAAAAAAAGTAGCTAGTTTCTTTCTTATTGTCATTGTCAATATTTAAATTATCATTTCAGAATTATCAAAGCTGACTTAATTGGGCCTTGAAGAGAAAAAAATGCTCACATGCTATAATGCTAAAGCATTGTCTCTTCATGGTATGCATGGTGGTGATAATCTACGGCCAGTGTGTCTGACAGACTATCTGCTGAAGGAAGAATAAATAATATGTCTAGTCTAGAAGCATTGTTGGCTTTTAAACTGGACAAGTATCTTCTTGTCGAAGTATGTTTAAAAGCATACTTGTATTCTGGCAGTCATTCATGCATTCATTCTACAAAAAATAACCATATATTCACTAGTGTCATGTCGCCTTGTGCTTATAGGATTTTATTACAAGTACACACAGGTAATCAGTTTTATATAGTCGTTCAGCTTTTATAATTGAATTATTTAGTACTTAGTAAGGATATATTGCTAGGAATGGGAGACAATAAAGAAAAAGAATATGCGACTGTGTAGGCAGTCATAGCTTATTTTATTATTATTATTATTATCATCTCTTTCTTAGTCCTTTTTGATTTTTTAGTGTGTGGCAAAAATTAATCGAATATATATACATATTTTCTATAGTTTGGTCTGTTAGGGTTCATTGTGTTTTTAAGAGTTGACCACGGATTGATATTAGAGTTAGAGAACCATTGAAAACCAGCCACAGGGAGTACTGGACAGCCAGCTGTTTCATCAGCCTAGTTTGGGAATCATCGGCAGTACGCACCCACTGCCAAAAGGTTCGAACCCATGACCCTCCAGTTACAAGGCAAGCTGGCTTGTATACCATTCAGCTACTGGTAGAAGTTAGAATTCATGAGCCATTGAATCAGGTCCCAGTGGCTGAATAGTATACGAGTCAGCTTGCCTTGTAACCGGAAGGTCATGTGTTCAAAATCCCTGGCAGTGGGTGCATACTACCGATGGTTCCCAAACTAGGCTGATGAAACAGCTGGCTGTCCAGTACTCCCTGTGGCTGGTTTTCGATGGTTCTCTAACTGATATCAATTCGTGGTCAACTAGTAAAAAATGTATATATATAATTCATTCAAAAAAGCCAGTCGGATTACAACTTTTCCTGAGTACTACAAGTTTTCATCGCTCCTATATACACATGTACACATGTGTTGGTAATATATACAACCGTTGTCCATTACTGCAAAGGTTGAATAACAAAAGAAAAAATAAATAAACTCACTAAATCTGTATGATTCAATGGGGTGCATAATTTTTCGACTGTGGATAGGAACTTCACATTTTCTTTTGCTTCATTGTATGCATTTGTCACCTTTTTGTCTAATTCAATCCATTTCTTTAATAAGCACAGAAACAAGATTTAAGTATTGGGAATATTATAAAGCAACAGTAATAGCATGTTAATATACTGAAGAGTATTAGTAACTCGGGTGAATTTTTTTTTCTTTCTGCTGTTATGTTCGCCAAAAGAAACCGTCATCATCACTTTCTGGGACAACATCGAATTGAATAACCTTCACTGAGAACTCCTGGAAACAATCTGTCACGGTCAGAGTCACCAGAAAAAAAGGTTATTTCATTGGGAGAGAATTCCAGAGGCTCATTTTATTATGCAGTGAGGACATGCAGCTCAGAGGAGACGATAACACTAAAGGAATAGGTGTTTAAAGCAACTAATAATTCAGGGAAGACGGTTAACTTTTTGCTGGTGGCTGCGTTTCTTCGAATCAAAAACACTACTCTGTATTTTAGCACTGTGCTTGTACAGTGTAATTTGACTTTAAAGTCAAGTGACTGATGTAATATTTAGATTGTGTGATTTGTGAGAATTTAGATTTATCTCAATTCGCAGAACCTAGAAGACCTGGATTCCGCGTGTGGGTGATTTATGTTTGATGTCGCACACACACAAACACACAAAATGGAAGACTTAGAGGTAAGTGAAAACCGACAAACTGGTCGGAGAAGCAGCCAGCGAAGACAGGACTCCGAGTGAACATAGACAAGACGGAGATTACGAAAACAACAAACCAACCAACCACCACCAACGACAACAATAATAACAGCGACATCCAGCCACCACCCACTCACCATCAACGGGAGGGATTCGAAAGAGGAGGTTACTTCATTCACTTACTTATCTAGGGAGGGAGCATTGTCTCAACTACAGGAAGTCGGGACGGACGAGAGACAAATGTCAAATCGATCGAGAATCGGGTGGAGAGGGGCGAGAAACACATTCACTCATCAACCTGAAACAACCAATCTGGAAACCAATCTTCGTCACTCAGCCAGCATCAACAACAAAATTCCGTCGGTCGGATTCTCAATACAAACAACGTCAGGTCAGTCTGTTCTTCTATACGGATCAGAAAGTTGGCGTGTTGGGGGGGGTCACAAAGAATATTTCCACCAACAGTCTGTTTCACATTTTACCTTTATCAACAACTACTAACTGTCTTCGCTGGATGTATACTGAAGATGAGATGGTCGGGCCAGGCCAGGCCGGGGGCCGGAAATAATCATCAACAAGCACCAAACTATGGGAACAAACAAACAAACAAACAAAACAAGAACAAAACAATCGCCCACCAACAGCAAATATTCAGGAGAAAGTGGATTGTGATAGATTGGTCACTCGCCTCAACAAAATTTAATTGGCTCTCATTGAATATATATATATATATATATATATTGGTTGACAGTGGCACTAGAAAACCAATCCGTAAAGTTAGAATTCACGGGTCATTGAATGCCAGCTGAATGGTAAACAAGCTTGGTCTCACAACCTGATGGTCTGAGGTTCGATCTCTTGTGAGTGGTTGTGGGTGGGCACTGCAAATTTAATAACCCACAAATCTTGTAGTGATGATATCACTGACTTAGGTGAATTGTACGCGATATGACAGATACCCTAAATGCCTACTGAAGATTAACAAGTCTTTAAACAAGCTTCTTTTTCAACTAACATTAGTGCGGACGAGATTTGTGTCTGTGAATTGTCCGAAAAAAAGGATTAATCCTAAAGCTACACACACTGTTGTTTAGTTGTGTTATTTGTATTTAATTTAACTCAGATATTCTCGCAAAAAATTTCATTCTTATCTAATCTTCTTATCATAACACACATATCATATATTCAGGTGGATGAAGTCGAATACAAGATTTGTCTAGGATTAAAAAGTCTTATAATATATGTATATAAAGAGAATGTTCACTCTGTATTAATTAAAATGTTCAAGAATTTGATATAATACATGTTATAATGCCTGCCTGCCTATCTTACCTATCCTTTGTTACTGTTTTGCTTGTAGTCGACTGTATACTACTTATGACTACTAAGTAGCAGTATGCGTTTGAACATTTGTTATTGGACTAAAGTGTTCACGTTATTTCACTTCACTTAGTGGACTAATATTCTGTTTGATCTATAGTAATTATCTGATAGTTAGACGGTATCTGCTGTACATGCTTTATTTATTTATGTATATTCTACTTCCCATTGTGCTTTGTTTATTCTCTTTTATCCGGGTATTCGCTCTTTTGTTCGCCTTTGACACAGCTTTGCTGTTTTGTCTTATTAACGCATAGTCGATATGCATTTCACAGGATTCAGCTAAAGACACCTCACAGTTTGAGGTTTGTATATTATATATTTCATTATCTTGCGGTGAGAGCTGACTGTTAGCCGAAATTGGCAGACAGTTATTTACGTCAATGTGTACGTCCCCAATATTTGGTTATGTGTTAATTTCCTAAACAAACGATCTGCTACCTGGCCCTTGTCTTCTTCTGTTACAATCTGATTTATAATATAGTTCCCCGCTTTGGACAAATTCTCTGTTTGGATTTTATTGCACAACTCACACGTTTTAGTCAGTTAACTAATGGCATTTACCTCTCCAGATTTCTTAGGAGAAATCGACAATAGCCGATAGCAGTAGTAAATATCACTTGCTTAACTGGCAGTCGTTTATAGCTCGTTAGTAATTATTTCAAACGCCAAGGTGTTATATACCAACCTACTGAGGGATGAGAGCCGCCTCTTTTACTTATTGGTGCGTACAACTACGCGTTACTGTTTCTGAACCGAATTGTACATCCTTATCTTGTTATTTGGTCCCTATGAATGTGTGACATTGCAGGCAATTTTTATGTTAAAATTAACGCTGATATACAGGCATCTATTCAAAGATAACATGTGCTCAAATTAAAGGGATAGATTTGGTCCACAAATATCAACAGGGAACCGTAAGTTTAAATACATAGCTTATTTCATTACTTAGTAATCTTAATAGTACAATTTTCTGCATTTCGTCCCCACATTTTTTTCATAATTCTTTGTATTCACATGGTTTCCACTATTTCGGTTACCAAATCGAGTATAATCACTAGATATATCTGAACAGCTCCCCTCAAAAGTTTTTTCCCTCATGTCAGTGCTTAGCATCACAATCGGCTAACTCTTGGGGAAATTTTACTAGACAAATGATTGGCAGTCGCTGTTAATATATATATATATATATATATAATGCGACAGGCAGCTGGCAGCGAGGAAACAGGCATAAAATGGACCCACACAAAAAAACTTAGAGGATCTGGATTTCGCCGATGATATATGTCTGGTTTCCCACAAACTGGAAGATATGCAAGTGAAAAGCAACAAGTTGGTAGGAGGAGCATACATAGAAGATAGGACTTCAGGTGGACAAGGAGAAAACAGAGGTAATGTTGAAGATTCCTAGCCAATGGCTTCAGCAACAGCCATAACAGCAGACAACAGTCAGCAGTCCGCATAAATAGGAGAAAAATGAGAGAAGCAACCTCCTTCACCCACCTACCTACCTACTCACCTAAATACCTAGCTGGAAAGCATCGTTTCAACTACAGTCGGACCGAACTCATCAGGTTATCAAAGTGAGGATCAGGAAAGCAAGGAAAGCCTTCATTGGAATCAGGTCTGTGTGGAAGCCAACAGCACTCAGCATGAAAACCAGGATCAGATTTTCAACTTTAATGTGAAGCCAGTGCTAACATACGGATCAGAGACTTGGAGCCACGCCGCATCACGAAGGCCACTTTGAACAAACTACAGTCCTACATCAACAGCCTTCTTCGCTCAATACTTCGTTGAAGATCAGATGGTCGGCGAGAAAAGATCAGCAACAGTGATCTGTGGGAGAAAACTAACCAGGAACCAGTTGTGCAGCTATGTACCCTGAAAAAGCCATCAAGAACCATCACATGACAGGCCATCGCTTGAGTGAAAACCGAACTGGAAACGCCGAGTTGGTCGTCAGTTCGAGGGTGACGTGGAGGAGGTGATGTGAAGGGGAGATGAAAGCATGTGGGCTGACGTGGAGCCAGGTGAAAACTTTAGTAGAGAACCTAAGACAATAGAGACGTGTGGGTAAAAACCTATGTTCCTCTATGGATTAAAGGAACCAATATATATATATATATATATATATAGGTGTTTGATAAACACTGTTCAACTTACATCCAAAGCTTTGGAACGTGCGTGTTTCAATGCTGCTAACACATTGCTTATATCTGTTCGTCGTAGTTGACTAACCAGAGAATTCATTCGCGTCATTCGACACTTCCAGAAATCGAACTCTCCATGTGGGCCATTATGTTCTCGTTCTACACGCAATAGTTCAACTTCTTTAACCTCCTAATTTTTGAAAATTAACTTATATAAATATATGAAAAATGTTTCTTTTTTGTTTTTTTAATAAGAAATCACAAAAAAACATTGAATGAGGTGATTTGAAAGAATGCGGTAAAACTTAAAATACGCAGAAACAGAAAAAAAATTTTTGGATGTGTATGCACTACATTACAAGGTGTTTAGTGTATGTGCAGTGTTCATCACTGTTGGCGAACCGCCAGTCTCACTCGTCTTTCACCAATATATATATATATATATATATATATATATATATATATATATATATATATATATATATATATATATATATATATATATATATATATATATACATATATATATATAATCCGAAATATCATGCTAAGAGTATATATGAAAGTGAAGTTAATTTTCATATTTTTGCTAATCCACAGATCTAAAGCACGACACTGAAAGTGGATGAAAAGATTACGAGTTTTCGAGCACAGGTTTCTTCTTTTCGGTGCTTCTTTGAAGAGGAACAATGTGGTAAGTAGTACTAATATTAAAAGCATAATTTAAAGTGGGACATCTTCAGCTAATTAGATGATCGGCAAATGCGTCTCACATGCCTTAGTGGACCGACAACACTAACAGATGTAGATGTTGGATGATAACTGAGTCAGATAGGCTGAGATCAGATATGTGTCTTACCAATTAAGGGGTTGGTTTCTTTGCTTATAAATGTGTGCTTCTCAGCATATGGTTGTAGAGTTACTAGACTCTGAGAGTGATGGATCGTTGAGGAATTCAGCCATTATTTTTGCGTGACTAGCAGCGTACGTGAACATGCTCTGTGTAGTGTAAAACGACTGTACTTCCATTTTCTGGCCCACGACAGCTAACTGAAAACTGTTACATACCACAGGAATCTGGATATCTAATTAAAAATAACCATTACAACACCCACTAACGGGTATAGACGCATTGTGATTACTAACCAGTGCAGTGAATGTCGAAGCGAAGGAATTCAATCAAGCGTGCGTAAACGCTGGGTGTACCTATGACCTCATTCAGTCTGCGTTTAGGAGGAATATAAAATTGGTGTATTCTTTACCTTTATTTGGAGATAACTCAACTTTGACTAAAAGTGTTTCACAACTTCATCTATCCTATAGCGCTTATTCAAGGTCTTAAAAAAACCGGAAGATCTAAATGCACATCCCATCTAAAAGTCTGTTTAATACCTTCAATCGATCTGCCATCAAATGGTTCTGTCTGGTGACATAACAAGCAAAGATGAAATTCATAATGTTTCACATAATAGAAAGCTGTTCAAAAGACTAAAACTTTGAAATATAAATAAACTTTAACGCGGACATGGGCGAGAGAGAGAGAGAGAGAGGGAGAATTTAGACTGTGAAAGTGAAATTTATGAAACTTTAATGTTGATTAGTAAACTGATAAGGCATAATGTTATTTGATAGACTGTGACTAGCAGTGGAATCAGGCGTGGCCATTTCCTCCTGTTTGGTGCTTATCAGTTGGATCAGTCCATAATGAGTGACGGTCTTTGCAATGATTTTAGAACCCTGCACCCAAATAGAGAGACAAATGTGCATTGTGGACTCTACTGCTAGTCACCATCCACCAAATAACACGACTGGTAGTCCTCAAACTTTGCCGAAATGTCTGTACTAGGAGGTCGGACATTTCTGTTCAATCATTCAATCAATCAATCGATGGGAAAGACAAAACTGACTTAATATGTAAGTCAGACACATTTGACCTTAAGACAAATTAAATACCACTTCATTGGATTGTTATTTGTGCTTGGTGTTAAGTTGGAGAGCAGTTTTTTTTCAGATTCTCAACCTGCAACCTATTGACTATCGTTACGTTAGCTTATAGTTAGCTGTGGTTTCTGGTCTTACTCATCAGTCGTATACTGTTGTCTGTTGAAGTAACAGTTAACATGAGCCACTATTATTCAGTATTATCTTCGGACACAGTCATCTCTCTGTCGCACACTTCTTTTAGTTACAACTGGATATCCGACTGGTTAATAATAAGCGTATGATGTAAATCTGTTCATTCATAAATTCGAGACGACTGCCAAAAAATTTAATGAATAATATTATTTAAGTGTTGGTTTGTGGGGATTTGATTGGTTACAGGATTTCATCATGAGCTGACATTAGTTAGAGAACCATTGGAAAACCTGCAGGGAGTACTGGACAGCTGTTTCATTCAGCAGTGCGCACCCACCAGGATTCGAACCCAAGACCTCCTGGTTACAAGGCGAGCTCGTAGACCATTAAGCCACTGGCACCGAACCCAATGACCAGCCCATAAATTCGAAGTTCTGCCAATTCATGATATAGCTCGACCACCAGCGAATTTCATCTGTAGGGAGTATTTGTCCTCTTACTCGACCTGCTGTATCCCACTGGTCACGAAATCCCACTAGAACCATTGGATCGGGTCCCAGTCGCTTAATGGCATACGAGCTCGCCTTGTAACCAAAAAGGTCTTGGGTTCGAATCCTGGTGGGTGTGCACTGCTGAATGAAACAGCTGTCCAGTACTCCCTGCAGGTTTTCCAATGGTTCTCTAACTAATATCAGCTCATGATGAAATCCTGTGACGAATAATATCATATTTTTAATTGAATTTGAGATTTTCCCGTCGATTGACTGATTGGAGCGAAGTGCTCGATCTCAGGGTGACACATCTGTTGGCTTCTTGTGCAGATGCTTCCACGATGTCTGGGCACGTAATTAGAATTGAATTATTGGATGGTGACTAGTAGTGGAATAAAGGATAACGCACATTTCGTCTTATTTGGGACTAGTCAGCTAACTGGATGTACCTGCATTCCCCAGTCAGTGAGTGGTGATGTTCCCTGCACCGAGGCTCAAACCCAGTGCTCATAGTTTCAAACACCAGCCAAAGCATTATCCACTAGACCACTTGGGCCACGAGAGCCACCTCACCTCTTGTGCAACGGGTCATATTAATTGATATTTAATTGAATTGAATTTTAGATTTTCCCGTCCATTGATTGATTGGGCCGAAGTGCTCTTTGGTATCAGGTTGACCAGTCGGCCTGAATAGAGCCAGTCACTAGTGAGCATCATACTGATCACTCACTGGGAAATAATATTATAGTTGTGGATAGATCGAAGCGAATATATATATATATATATATATATATATATATATATATATATATATATATATGAATTCATTCCTAAGAGAAGTGATGATATGTGAAACACATTTAGTGCTGAATAATACTATTTCGGTTAAAGTAGATATGATGATTGAATGAATGAGTGAGAATGTATAACAGACAACACCACCTTTTCAATTTGTTTCATCCAATATGATGCATTTTCTTCAAGATGATTCAATACATCTGGATGTGTACTCATTTGTATTAGATAATCTGCATCTGCATTTTGTAGATTATCTGGTAATTTAGATGGCTCCAAGACAACTTGCTCTTTTGAACATGCAATTATAGCTGCAAAAAAAGATAAATAAATAAATGAATATTCACAGTTGTAATCAGTATTGGAAAGAATGCATCAGTCAAAAATGATGATACAACTATGTCGAAACTAGACTATATCTCGAAAGAAAGAAGTAATTTATCAGTAGAAATATACACTCAACTCCGTTTGGTCTTTGAATAAAACTATTCGCATATAAATTATAGGTAGTTTTAAGGTATTCTGAGTGGATATATCAGTACTGGAGTACTGGACGGCTGTTTCGTCCTAGTACGCTCTCACCGCCAATGTTCGAACCCAGGACCTCCTGGTTACAAGGCGAGTGAGTTAGTAGACCATTGAACAGCCACTGGGACCCGATCCAATGGCCAGCCAGCCAGTGCATGAATTCTAACTCCTTCGAATTCACGCAGGACATAGCACGACCATTTTACAATGTCTTCTCAGATGAGTTACTGCATCATCTTCGACCCACTGTACCCTACTGGTCACGGCTTCCCACTAAAACCCCAGGTCACAGCTTGTACTGATGTCAGTTCATGGTGGAAGCCTCTATCCAACCAAACTATATCCCTACTAAACCAATACTTGAAAATTAATCTAATTGATTTATTAATACTGCTGAGAAATACACATCATTTTATTTCATTTTATTAAATTAAATATGCACATTGAACTTTGACAACAAACCAGTCAAGAAATTTAATACGCAACAAATAGGCAGAAGGGAATGAGTGGAATTACGCCCTTAGGTGCACGAGTGGGAAATCGGATGGGAAATGACAAGTTGGCTGTCTGAAAGTGATATATGGAGGAGGTTGTGTAAGGCGGAAGTAAGAGTCAGATAGATTCGACAGTCTATATGTCTGAGGTTTTACATAAATCTCTGATTGCTTCTATTTTCTCTCACTCACTTGAACATATAACATGCAATATATGAAACCTTTACACACAAAAGAATGTCTTTTTACTTTGTCTTTTTACACACTTAGGCTTTTTTCTTTTAAGTAAGTAGGCATGAAACATCGCCTGTAACCAGTAATAATTACTTACAAATGTCTAGTTATTATTATTATTATCATCATTATTATTCTTTCTCCTGAAAATAACTCTGTGATCCACAAACAGTGACTTCGTCTCACTGTCCTGAGTGTGTGTGTGTGTGTGGGGCGGGGGAGGAATCGAAATCACATTTGTTCAGCACATTTTATATCTCACCTATTTCGGTACAACAAACGCCATGCTTATTGTTGTTCTAACATCACATTGAATTATTCCTTTAAGTTATAACTTGATTTTGTTTTCTGCTGTAACAATTAAAGCAATGCATTCGACATTAATTTTTGTGTTATATACGCTGATAGACACAGTGAATTCACTTTCTCAGATGTTGGTTTTCAGGGATCTGATTCATTGCAAGTTTGCTGAGATACCGATTTCAGTTAGAGAACCGTTGAAAACCAGCCAGGGAATACTGTACAGCTGATTCGTCCTAGTTTTTCTTTTTTGGGCGAAGGGGGAGGAGAGGCGGTTTTCAGCACTTCCCACTCACCAAGGTTCAAACCCAGTATCTTCTAACTACAAGGCAAGCTTGCAGACCATTCAACCACTGGGACCAAACCCAATGGTCAGCCCGTAAATTCTAACTCCTGCCAATTCTCTGCAAATATATTTAGCACTACTACCAACTGACGTGATAGGCGAGTAGTCGTTCTGTTACCTGACTTCGTGAATCTCGCTATGCACAACTTCTCACTGGAACTCCAGGAGATTTCCTGTATGGAATAGTTATCCAGTGTCGGTTTGCAGGAATTTGCACTATTTATCGCGAATCAGCAGAGCTCAGAGTTTATGCAACATTTGGTGGCGTCCCACTGGCTGAGTTGTCCACAAGGTAGAACAAGGACCTTGTAACCAAAAGGTCGTAGGTTCAAACCATGGTGATTGCATATCGCTGAAGAGTCTCAAACTACACAGCGAAACGGCTGCCCAATACTCCCAAGGTTTTCAACTGGTTCACTGACTCATGATCAAATTCACCTTCTGACTACATTTATGATGCTTGTGTCATTCTTTAATGCTTTAGAATATGTCTATCGGAAATAGACACTCAGATGTGAATGAACTAGAAAATAAGGTGTTTCCTACGTTTGGTAGGTTTGAAAATCAGGAAAATAAGAAAACTACAGGGGTGCGTATTGTCAATAAAAAGATGAAAGTGGTCACCATCGAGGTAACAAAAGACGATATTCACTCGAGTAGGATTATTTTCTCCTTTTATTTCCAAACGGCTACACATTCCGTCCATGCCTTAAAATAAGCATATTTTAAAAGCATCAGGTGAATGTCGTATTCACTCTGAAAATTCCTTTTTTTACAAAAAAACTCATAAATTCTTGAAGGTAGCCTTGATTTATTCGCCTACCTGGACATATTAATCACGACCTGATTGAAACTTAAGTTCTACAGATCATAGCTAAATGTACTATAATCTATAGAATCACAAATATTATAAGAGCAGTGCTGCTGTAACCTATGATAGTTACAGTTATTTAGGTTTTTTGGGGTTGGAAAAATACGGCTCAACAATGTGATTTACATTCACATGCAGCTGGCAGTTAGTTACGCCCAATGTGTGAAGTCTGATAATATCAAAAAACTACTACCCATCATTATTAAATGAATTCCCTAGTGTATTCTGCATAAATCTCAATATCTATGTTTTCATAGAATAATAAATTTTTCATGATCATAACGTCCAAAGTGGACCTTTATCTCATTCGTTGAAAGGATAATAAGCAAATGGGATGTAGTCAAACTAGCATAGCCGAAGTCAAGATCTATCAAAGCTGACCTTCGAGAACCAATCAGAATTAAGAAGCACAGTGAAAGCTCATTCTAAATCAAATCATGTCTACCTTTTTGGATTTGGTGAGGGCACAGAAAGTATTTTGATTATTCCCTGAGTGCTTTTTCTGTGAACCTATACTCTTAGTTAGGGTTAATGTGTAGTGTTAAGGTTTTAATTAGGTGTTAGGAGTATGGTCTGAGTTAGGGATAGGCAAAAGAAAACAGTGTCAGAAATATCAATGGATCTCAAAGTAACATGATCTACAGTCACCTGGATGAATACCTCTATTGCACATGGTACAATTTTTCCACAGATTATCTATATAGTGATGGGGAGAAATTCTTACTGCACATAAGTGACAATTATCCAGTGTAATATCATGTTGGAAATTTTTAAATTTATTTTTCACGAGTTGATCACTGATTGATATCACTTAGAGAACCATTGAAAATCAGCCACAGAGAGTACCGCCGGATAGCTGTTTCATCAGCCTAGTTTGAGAATCATCGGCAGTACGCACCCATCGCAAGGAGGTGGATCAAGCCATAGAACATTCTGGTTACAAGGCAACCTCGTATACCATTCAGCCACTCACTGAGACCCACCCGATTCAATGTCTAGTCAGCCTAGGATTCTAAATTCTATCAATTCGTGATTTAGCACGACTGGCAATAACCCATTTCATCGGTGAGACATCCATCCTTACACTTGACTGGTTGGACTTCACTGGTCACTAATTCTCACTAGAACTCTAGAAAACGCCATCCTGTAGCAGCTCGCTAATGAGCATCAGCATCGTACAGCTGTTGAATAAAATTGATGAATATTTGGGGTACGCCGTAGTACTCGAGTACCTCCCATATTACTTCACGGTCAACGCTGTCTCTTGAAAGCCTTCTCAAAGTCTATAAAAATGAGGTAGAGGTTTGATCACCATTCCATGCTTTGTTCTGTGATAATGATGCGTAGAGTTGCAATTTGGTCAGAACATGACTTACCTGACTTTCCTGAATGCAGCCAGATTGTTCTGGTCGGAATTCAGTACCCAGTGCATCCTTGATTCTCTCCAGGATGATACGACTCAGGATTGTACTTGGTGTCGACAGGAGCATGATTCCTCACCAGTTCTTGCAGAGTGAGACGTAAGTCGCCCTTCTTCGGTAGTTTCACGAGGTAAACTTTCCTCCAGTCAGTAGGCACCTTTCCCTCCTTCCAGACCTTTTGCAATAATGGAGTGATTCAGAATGTCTGCAGTCGTCTCTGGGTCCGCTTTCATTGAGTGATCCAGGGAGTATTCCATCTGGTCCAGCTGCTTTTCCAGCTTTCAGAAACTTGACTGCATCCAAGACTTCAGCTCTCGTAGGAGGATCGGTGTAAACTTGCAGTTGTGTGCGCGCTGTTGTTGGTATTTCTGGACGGGTTGCAGGTGATGGTCGGTTCAAGAGTCCTTTGAAGTGATCCGCCCATTGTTTAATCTGTCTTTCTTCCTTGCTAATTGGGTTCCCTTGGCTATCTTTTATAGGCTTCTCTTGTGTTGCTCTCTTCTCGGATAGAGATTTGGTTGTCTGATACAGTGTCCTCAGGTCCATTTTGCCTGCTGCCTTCTCAGCTTCAGTGGCCAGATTGTCGTAGAATTGTCTTTTGTCCTTCCTAACACTCTTCTTCACTTCTTTGTCCAGTGCACAGCTGTGTAAGTTGAGCTCAGCGTCTCCTTCTCCTGTCCGTCTTTGGATTCAATCATTTCCTCTTTCACCATTCTACTTTCTTCTATTAGCTTCCAAGTGTCCGTTGAGGGCCATTCCTTGTATTGTCTCTTCTCTCTTCCTAAAACCGTTGAACACGTTTCGTTGAGAATCGCCTTCAGAGACTTCCAGTGGTCTTCCACGCATGATTCTTCAGTGATGTCGCGTAGTGTTTCCTGCTTCGCTCTGACAGTTTCAGTGAAAGTTTCCTTTGTGGTTGTGTCCTTCAGTCTTTAAGTGTCGGACTTGCATTGTGGCCTATCCCAAGCTATCCTCGAGGCTTTCAGCTTCACCTCGAAGGTCCCTTGTACTAGATAGTGAACTGTCTGAAACCACATCTGCTCCTCTCCTCGACCTTGTGTCCAGTAGACACCGTCTCCACTTTCTTGAAATTGAGATGAAGTCTATTTGGATTTTG